AGTTAATATGCTATATTTAATATAATAATTAAAAAAAAGAATAAATTTACTTTTTATTTTATAAAAATATTTAAATCTTTAATAATTATGCTAATATTAATTATTAAAGCAAACTTTAATAGCTAAAAAAATATAATTAATGAATATATTGCTAAGTAAGTTTTAAAAATATTTAAAGCTTTTATAAAAAAACAAAAGTTATAATAAAATAAGTAAGCAAGGAATTAAAAATAGCAATAATAATTAAGATTATAATAAGGTAAATTTTAAAATTTATAAGCTTAATTAAAAATAATAAAGTTTTGTTTTAATAGTTTTTGCAATACTTATTATAAAGTGCTTAAAAAGGGGTGTATTAATAGGTATAAGGAATTATATAAGAAATAATATTGCATTAAATTCCAGCTAGCTATAAAAAGCTAATTTTTATGCTTATTTTAAATATTCTTTTAAGAAATTAACTCTTTTCTTTTTATATATATTTAATGCTTTAATTAAGCTTTTCTTATTTTTAAGAATTTTTAAAATATTTATCTTTTCCCTTTTTTTAATTCCCTTTTATTCTTATTTTCCCTCTTTATTGCATTAAAGCTCTTCCTTAAGTTACCCTTAAAAGGATTTAGCAGAACCTATTCCCCATTGTTTGGGTGGCTTGTTTTTAATACGCTATATAACTTAGCTATAAATAGCTTTTTAGTTGCTTTATAAGGGGCATTTAATATAATATACCCTTAAAGCCTAGCGTAATAAGCTTATTATGCCCTTAATAAGCTTATAAAAAAGCTCCCTAAGCAACCAATAAATCCCTTTCCCTTTTAATGCAATAAAAGATTTTGCAATTATATTAAATAATAGCTATAACTATCTATTTATATTAAATAAATAAAACCATGCCTAAGAAGCTTTTATATAAAAAAAAGCGCTATATATTAGCAATATAAAGGCTGTAAATTTAATTTCCATGCATTTTAAGCTTAATTCAGCATAAAAAAACCTAGCCATAAGGAGGCCTATAATAAGATATAAGCTATAAGGGCAACCCCTTAAAAGGCGCACTATATAGCTTAACTATAAACAACTTCTTAGTTGCTTTATAAGGGGTATTTAATATAATATGCCCTTAAAGCCTAACATAATAAGCTTATTATACCCTTAATAAACCTATAAAAAAGCCCCTTAAGCAATTAATAAGTCCCTCTCCCTTTTAGCATAGCAAAAAATTTCGTAATTATATTAAATAATAGCTATAACTATTTATTTACATTAAATAAGTAGGACTATACTTAAAAAGCTTTTATATAAAGGAAAGCGCTGTATATTAATAATATAAAGGCTGTAGGTTTAATTCTTATGCATTTTAAGCTTAATTTAATATAAAAAAACCTAGCTATAAGAAAGCCTATAATAAGATATAAGCTATAGGGGCAACCCTTTAAAAGGTGCGCTATATAGCTTAGCTATAAATAGCTTCTTAGTTGCTTTATAAAAGGCATTTAATGCAATATACCCCTAAAGCTTAGCATAATTAGCTTATTATGCCCTTAATAAGCCTGCAAAAAAGCCCCCTGGGCAACCAATGGGTCCCTCTCCCTTTTAACGCAGCGGAAGATTTTGCAACTGCATTATAAGCCTTTTATATAAGCTTCCTTACTTAAAATCTTAAAACTATAAATTTATTATATAATTTATAATTAATTAACGCTTAATTGCAAGTAATTTGCTTTATTAATAAGGATTTCTTAGATTTTAAGTGTTTTTATAACGTTAAATTAGCTAGCATATAGCTAGCTTACTTTAAGCCTAAGCTGGCATTAAGCTAATAATGCTTTTAAGCCCTACTTTATAAAAAAATTTTACGCCCCCTTAAATAAACTCCTTTTTCTTATTAGCCTTAATTAATAAAAGCTATATTTTTATTTTTTTATAATAATTAAAGTAATTATGCTTATAATAGCTAAGTTAGCTATATATAAAATACTTAACTTTACTTATTAAGATTGCTATAATATTAATATTTATTACTTTATTATTTTAAGATTAAGTATTATTCTTCCTTATTATAATATTAAAAACGTCCTTATATTATTATAAAGTAAAGCAAAAGGCCTTAAATATATTTAGTTACTTTTTATAATTAAGTTAAGCTTTTGCTATAAAGGTTAAGCTATTAACTATTAATAATATTTTATATTTATTTAATTAATTTTAAGTCTTTATTATATAAGCTAATTAATTAAATTAAGTAAGAAATTTTGCTATTTTTTCTTTATAGCGCTATTATAATATAATTAAGTTAAGCTTAATATATCTTTATTTAAAAGAATTTCTAAGTATAAGGTAAATCTTTTTTAAAAAGCTTTTTAATTACTCCTTAAATATCTTTATAAAATTAATATAAAGCAGAAATTAATTGCAAAAAGTTCTTAGTTAATTAAATATATAAAAAAATTAAGCCTTTTTAATATTAATTACCTCCCTATTTATTGTAAATTTAGCCCTTATCTTTATTAATTAAGTTGTTAAGTATTCTTAAGATAAGAGTTTTTTAAGATAAGGAAAGGCTTAATAAGCTATTATTATTCTTTTTAAGTTTTACTATATTAAATTTTATATAATTATATTATAAGTTTATAATGCAAAAGGACTTTAAATATATATTATAAGCTAGCCTTAAGTTATTTGCTATAAGGTATTTAAATAAGGTTTATATTTAAAGTGCAAAGGAAAAGGTTTGCTTCTTATTTGTATTTGCATTAAAGCCTATTCTTATAAAGCTAAAGCCTATTAATTAATTATAATGGGCAAAGCCTAAACCGTAATATAAAGTATAGTTTTAAGGATATAAAAGATTTTAATAGCTTAAGTTATAGGTAGGGGTTTTGCATTATTTTTTTTAAATTTTTAAATTGCTTAAATAATTAAAAGGATTTTATTTTTTTTAAATAAAGGATATATTAATAATTATTAATTTTTAATATATTAAATATTTAAATAGGTAAATTAAAGTAAAATTAAGATAAAAAATTAAGACATAATTAATATTAAAATAAAACCTTTTTATTAAAAATTAATTACTTTAAACTTTAATATAATTACCTTTAATTACTTTAAATTAATTAAATTAATTAAAAATAAGGAATTAAAAGTAATTAGCATTAATTAATGTTAACTTTTTATTTATTTATTAGCTTTAAGGTAGTGCTAATATTGGCTAAAGTTAGGTAAAGTTATGAAAATCCGCTACTTATTAATATTCGCTACTTACTAGTAAACCACGTTAAAGAAAGGTTAATTCTTTTTTAAACGAAAGAAGAGAAGGGGGGCTATGGACTTATATATATACCCAATTAATTCCGAACAGTGCACTGCCATAATAGTTTGGACAGTTCCACCGAAAGACGGTCCTCACCCCTCCAAGTTCGTCTCTTGAAATAGAGTTCTATGTTTTCAGCGTCGGACGTATACCCTTCCAGGAGGGAAATTTCAGAATATCGAGTCCAGGGTGTTTCAGAGGTTGATTCGCTTTGATCAAACAGAACCTCTGGCTCTAGGGCAGCTGGCAAACGATATAAATCCATTTCTCCGGGTATCGTGCACACTTCTGCAAGAGTATGGAGGGTTGATTTGGAATGGGGATTTAGCCGCTCTGCCGCGCGCGAAGTAGGGGTATCGTCTGCCCACGGGGTGGTCCTCTCTTTGGTATCGAGAGTCTCATCCAGTTCGTCGATCTTCGTCGCCTTTCGGTGACGCTTTAGAGCATACGAACGGATGAACCCTTTGGAAGGTCGATGAATACCGAACCTCCAGGGACACGGCGCTTGAGCCCCAGGGGGTGCAGCGGAGAACGCCGCCGTCGCCGCAGGGTGTCGAAGGCGCCGCTCTCGACGCAGATGCGCCGAGGCATTGGTGATGTGTCTGAGAGAACACGACATGTCTCTTGGGTTTCGCGGGGCGAGAAGGCGAGATCTTCGGATGTTGACAAGGGAGAGAAGTGTGGAGGTGTTGACGGGGTGGGGTGACGTGCTGTGCTGTGCCGTGCTGTGGCCTTGCGGCTCTCCATATTTCGCTGCCCTCTGAGCAGATCATTTGAGCGGCATGCAGGGGGGCTTGGGGGCTCCCAAATTGCTTTTGCGACTGCTCAGGCAACGACATAACACAATCCTTGCTGGCTGGTGGAAAGTTGAAAAAGTATTTCAGAAGCAAAAGTCGTCTAGGCAGAATCAAACAAAGAGTCTAGCATAATAGGAATCAACATGTTTATTAGGTTAATGATGAGCGCCAGTAGTTCTCTGATTCTATATGCAATTAAATACAGCCACCTTCTGGGTGCTTATTCGCACGAATTCAGCAATTATTGATTTTAAACACCGCTGTCAAAATACCTAGTTGCATTATTTGTCCCCTCCTCTGAAGTAATCATTCCAAGATCAGTCATCAGTCTCCTGACAATTATATTTCACCAAGCTGTGCACTCGGGATCGGTACCACCGAGAGACACTTGTTAATGGCCAAGTCACACACCACAGTCTAGGCTATCACCCATGATTACTTCCATCAATCATTGCCTGGAGCTTTTCTGCTTCCGTCGTCCCATCGAACCACCTCAGCCTTATCATCATCCCGTAGAGCCCGATGAACGGTAGTCAAAGTAGCCAAGAAGCTGTTGCCACCCCAGATCTTCTCCAGATTCGCCTCGCAGGACTCCACAAGGCCGTCAGCCTCTCGCAGTACTGCCTCGTGACCCTCATGTTTCCTTACTGCGTGTATCAACATTTGCCCCGATTGCCACATGCTTGCTCATGGGGCTCGTTGCGGGCAAGCTTCCAGCTTGCAGGTTCCAGTACTACGTCCCTTGCGTCAAACGCAGGCTAGCAGAGTCATCAGTGAGATGTCACTTGGACTTGACGGCACGTAGGCTCGAGACAAACACCGAGTTTCGTGGGGCTTAAGAGTAGGCTGGCCGAGGAAGGAAAAACAGGAGTGAGAGCTGTTACAAATGCTCAAGTTAATGTGCTCTTGCTAACATAGACTGGCCAGTCATAAGGCACCATGGTGAACCAAGCCTTCCACTTCCAAGACTTGGCCGGATCAACGAGACGCAGGTCATAGTCTCGCACGATGGTCGACAGGGTCTTGGACAGCTCCATCTTGGAAAAGTTCTGGCCGGGGCAGGACATGTATCCAGCACCGAATGGGCACCAATATTTATCTAGGCGAGAGGCATCTGGGCCAAGCCATCGGTCAGGATTGAATTCGAGCTGAGGCGATTAGAGAAGGGATCAGCTAAAGTAATTCTTTCGCGATTCTCTTCCAAATTAAGAAGAGGGTCTGCAGATCTTACCGCGTCGGGCCCAAAAATCTCTTTCGAGTGATGAATCACCCACGGGCTTACGGACACCGTCGTCCCCTCCGGCAGAGTTGTTTCTCCAATCCTCAAGCCTCCCTTGGGCGCCACCCGAGGCAGGCCCATGGGCACGGGGTTGTGAATACGCAGTGCCTCCTTCAGACAAGCCTGGAAGAAGGGCAATTTGCTGGCATCATTGTATTCGATTACTCTGGAGCTGCAGCTCCCGCCTGTCTCCTGGGAGGCTCGGATCTCGTCCCGCGCTCGCTTCCACAACTCGGGGTGCCTGGTCATGTGGTACAAGAAGCTCTGCATGGCGCACGAGACCGTGTCCGAGCCGGCGCCGACGTTGGCAGTCGCGTTGGCGAGGATGTCTCTATCGGTCAGGCAGTGAGGATGCTCAGCCGCGGTCCTGAGCCAGTGCGCGACGACGTCGAACCGCGCGTCGGGGCTCGCCTTCCTCTCGCCGAGAGCGCGGAAGGCGGTGTTGAACAGGTGGCCCCACGGCAACAGCTTGGTGGTGAGGGGGTTGAGGGTGGCCAGCTGGACGCCCCTGAAGTGCGAGACGATGGCGTGCGTGCCGATCAGCTTCAGGTTCGTCGAGATGCTGCCGCCTATGTCCTCCCCCCGCGGCGATGTACCCAAACGGCTTGCTGAAGAGGACCTCGCCGAGCATGTCGAACGTGAGGAACGTGACGTATCTGTCTAGCTCCATCGGCTCCTGGGAGGCGGCGAACGTGTCCATCCACTCGAGGAGCCGGACCACGAGGCCATCCATGGCTTCCTCGGATTTAAGCGCGTTGGTGAGCGTGTAGCCCGAGGCGAACTGCTTGGAGAGCTCGACCTTGCGCTTTGGGTCGACGATGGACATTGGGTTCTGGTACCGCCAGTCCGGGAAAGTGCTCATCTTGTACATGTCGCCTTTCTTGAGCGGTGCGAGGAGGACTCGTCTGATGGCATCAGGGTGGCTGACGCTCACCTCGTTGTTGGCCAGGCGGACAAAGTGTCCATACTTCTCGTGGGCCTGGGTGAGCTGCTCATTCTGGTTTCCGTCAAGGGTGATGCGGATGTGCCACAACCGGGAAAATGAGGCCCAGAAGGGACCGGGAATGTCTTTCAACGGTGAGAAGTGTCGACGATAGATAATGACGGTTGTGAGCAAGACTAGACCAGCGGCAATCGAGGCCGGCCAGCTGTTGACCAAGGTTAACGCAGCTAGGCGCTTCTCGAGAGTCGCTGGTGGGACAGTGTTGTTGGCCATGCTTCCCGTGATGCATATTGGGCGGGTGCGCTGTAGCCTGCTGTGTATTGCGCAGCTGATTTGATCTTATAGTTATGTGCGAACAAGATTGTGGGGCCTTGGTAATGGTAACGTCCTGACTTGGCTGGCGCGGATGCAACGCTGCTGGCATGGCATCCACCGGCAACCACTTGCCAGACCCACAACTCTGGGGCGTCATCGCCATCCAGGATGTTCCTACTGGAGTCGCTCGGGCAGCCGTGAGACTCTGCCGCAGTCATCGTGTCCGGCATAACTCAAGATACTTGTCCACTGAGGATGGGCACCCTATGTCTCCGGCCTCAAATACGTCTCTTCAAGTAAAGTAGGCGCTATCTCTCTTTTAGCAAAAAATGAGGGCATTTAGAGGGGCCCATGGGTGGTGTAGAAGAAGCCCAGAGGGCGTGTGGTCGGGGCTTAGTCAGCCGCCGGTGTAAGCTGCATTGCATCCACGCGCCCACGCGCCCACGCACCCACACGTATCCTCCCATTGCTCACTATGCACATGGATGGCGGAAGTGTAAGTTGGTTCTCAGAATGGGCCGTTCCTCAGCTGGCTGTTGGGCTGACATACAGTTCCTATCAGTCCCCTCCGGAATGGGCCGAGCGTGTCTGTTTCCTCGTGCTTGTAGCATACCCACCGTGGACTGGCGGGTAGAGCGCCTGACTGGGCGGGCGACATGCTTCTGTATCTTTAGACGCTCAAGATATTCGTACAAGCTGACCGCAGAGACCGGCATGGTATGAAGCTTGACAGGTATATTGGCTGATACCAGCTGCTCCTTATCCCTTGTATGAGAATACTCACTCAATACTCAGGCTGACAGCTAAACTAGAGCTTGTCAACAGCGCCAGCACGAATGCGTATGCACTCAACTCAATCTCCTGCTAATTTCTACCAATTTATTTTTTTTTGGGGGGGGGGGGGCTAACATACAATCACCGGAGACTAGGCACGGCCTGACACTAAGACCTTTGGTGTGAATTCGCGACTTCTGACACAACACTGGTTTGCAGAAGGCATAAGTGATCCCTAGCCCATCTTCATTATTCAAATTGCTAACATTTAACTAGCGGACTGAGTAGTCACTGTCGAAAGCCTTGCATAGCGAAACTGACTGCAATTGCCTACAACCTATATTGTCTCTTGTCCCATTAGGACAATCATTGTGGTTCCAGCTTGTAGAGGAACTCAAAGAATACAAATGGTCTTATGACGGCGGCCCATGCACCCGCCCATTGGATGTCCCTATGCATCTCAATGATTTTTGATGACTGTCAGGTGACCCGTTTGGTGACTGGCTTAATAGTCCCCGTGGACCGGCCCAAGGCATATCGGTCAATTGTATGTGTTTGGCCTAGGATCATTTGGCACTAAAAGTTGTAGTGCCTCTCAAGTGTGGCGCCCTAGGACGTTCAAGATGTGCACGCCGAAAGACTCACACCACAGTGGCTCTGATTAGCCGGAGGCCTGTGCTCGGAGCCTGGCTAGCACTGTTGCAACTTGCGCTAGCTTGTCTACAAAGACCTCCCACCCCAGACAAAGCCAGACCTTCAAAATTCCTATACACTGTTATACCTGTGACGCGGTCTCCTAATTGGTGCTTCTGCTTGGGCTCACGGGGGCGGAAGGTGCTTGCCGTTGCGCAAAGTTGAACCACTCCGATACTTGCAGTCATCTCGTGGAACGAAGGTCCGGGCGAGTTACCATCGATCGGTGGGGCACGGATTTTCGCTCCACTGTCAGCAATATAGGAAAACCTTTGACCATTGTACTACATAAGTACTGAAGTACGTAGGGACTGGACAAATTGACGAGGTGCCGCGGTCCCATCTTGCATAACCATACTATAGCATTCCAGCCATTCTATAGGATCTGCCAGCAGAGTTCAAATGCCATTCGCAAAGTGGTAGTCGGTCCTGCTGTTGAGTAGTCCCTTCGTCAGACAGTGGAGAGTACTTGTTGACGATGACATGATCATGAGGGTCTATAAACAATAATGACACCATAATGGCCCCTGGCTATTTACTGTATCTAAGCAGCCATCGACTGTAAAGTTTGTAAGTAGTGCGACGTTGGATACCCCCCGTCCTGTAAAAAAGGCCCTGAATTTATTCTGCGTTCAAGATATCCGCCAACGGCTATTGCATCTGATGCCTATCTAGCGGCTCAGCATCGACGTGATGTATTTGAAACTGAAAACCAAACAAAAGTCCTTCGTCAGGTGTCTTTGGAGAGTTTCCAGGGAGCCAGCCGTGGAAATCTGGATGGGCCTGATCGAAGTATGGTCGCAGAAGGTCTCCAAATTCCTGCTTGAGTTGCAAACGTTGCTCCTTATTGAGAGGAACACCGAGCTCCAAGATCCAATCAATGACCTTTTGCAGATTCTCCGCCTGATTGGGAAACCACGTAGATACCAACGTCCGCAAATCCACGCGGTGGTCGGCCTTGTCAAGGGCCTCTCGCTTTTCCTCTGGTACCTGAACAATGAGTCTATGTCGACTGTTCTGGGCTTGAGGACTGGGTACCGGGCTCGATGTCGATCTTTGGCGCTGTATTTCATGCACGGGCCTCGGCCATTCACATATCGGGCAACTTAACGTCATCCAGGGCTGCCATGGTGCGAGAAGCCATCCCAGATTCAACGCCGTGCCATTGCCGCTTCCTTCTAGCTCTTTCGTTGGCGTGCACTTATATGAACGAAAGGATGCCTTGTAGGAGAGGAGCCTTGATCCCGCTGAGGTTTGATTCAAGGGAACTTCTGAATTTGATCCTTTGAGTGGCTTCCTGCTGAGTGTTATGGAGAATCCTGGGTTAGCCCCATGGTAGAGCATAAACGCGATTATTGCCAGGCATGGTGGCCCCGGGTCGACCGCAATGCTCTGGATACATAATGTCTGGAGGAAAGTGTGGAATAGAGGATACGCTGCGAACCTCTCGAGATCTGGAGAACCACCACGATCGAAAAGCGCCTCGAGCGTTTTGAACAAGCAGCCCATGCCTGCTTCGACTTCGGGAGTCTTTTCTGGCCCCCAAGAATGGAAGTTTGACAGACACAGTCTTGTACAACGCTCGATCATGGCTGATGTGAGATCCTGCTCATAAAGCATGTACTCATGCAGACCCATCGCGGCGGCAAGGAGAGCCACCAGTTCTGAGGCATTGCATCGGATATCGTCGTCAGAAATGGTAAGGATACGCGTAGCAGCCGTGTCCATTTGTAAATCACGAATTGTTGTCCGAACTTGGGACAAGAAGTGACAAAAGCGCAACGAGTCCACAGTGGTGTCCAGGTTGAGTTGAAGAAGCATGAAATCAGTCAGATCCTCTCGAAACGATGGTGATGGACTGTACTGCAGTACAGGATCCCCATAGATGAGATACAGAGGTATACACTTGCCCTTTATGTTCCTGAGCTGCGTGTCGAGCGATACTGGTCCGCGATTCTCGCTTCTTCGGTCCGGGGCAAAATAGAATTCAGGAAGATCGACGTTGCCTATTTGACCGAGATAAGTTTGCAAGTACGCGTCCCAAGGGTTGAAGTCTGGCAGGATGGGATCTCGTCTGTGTGAAAAGTAATCGCTGTCCAAGAACTCGACAATGGAGCGATGGTTGAGTCGGACGTACTCTCCGAGCATGTCGGAGATTTGCACAACCCGCGGTCGGCTCCCACAGTAGTGTTGACGCAAGTCAAGAAATCCCTTGCATACACCGTACACTCTCCGCCTTGCTTTTCTCAAGCGAATCGCATTTTCTGAGGCAGACTTCAGGTTGGCACGAGTGGGCTGCATCAGCATAGCAAAGTCTTTGTTGGCCATGTAATCCTCCACGAACGAGAACTGCATCAAACGGCAGTCATTCTCGATCTTTCCAGCAAATGAAGCAAAAGAGAGCATTGCGAACGCCAGCTTCAGGTTCGAGCGAGGGATCGAGTCCAAGAGATTCCGCAACATCGGTTCCAATTCTGTGGGAAGAGAATCGGTTATCTTCATCAAGTCTTGCATATCATCTCCATTGATGAGGCCCTCTTCAAGGTGACGAAGCACAAGCGAAAGCCATAGAAAGACACCCTCTGATTTTTCAACGAGGTCGTCTTCCTGCAATTGCGTCTGTGGCTCCCCCGCCTGGGTAGTCTCGCTGTTAAGGGTATCAATATTCAGTTGCTGGAAGCGGTCCCTGACTACCCTTTGCATGTCGGAACGCGTCAGGTCATGGAGACTAAAGTGCGGGCAATCTTTGAAACCGTCGTGGAAGACAGCCCATTCGCGGCTGGAAACGCAGAGCTTGACATTCCGGCTGTTTGTGACCCAGTCAAAAAGTTGCCGGACCAGGTCTGAGTGGTTACCGTCGAACTCGTCGAGGCCGTCAACAAAGAATGCGAACTTGTAGTTTCTCAAGTTAGCATTCATTGACGTTAGAAGGGTGAATCCTTGTTGACATTCGTGATGCTCAATGTGGATTTTGTCGTTGAACATAGATTCTTCCCATTGCGCAGGGAACACAACTGGGATCAGTTCCGGTGCCTCTGATAGCACGCAGTGCAACAAGCCACGAATGATACCCTTGAGGCTCTTTTGGAGTGCCGAGCCGGGTCGCCAGAAAAAGAACTCCCCAATGGAGAGAGTCTTTTCGCCCGCCCAAGCCTTCAGATGATCCTTGGTCCTCCTGTGCTGGCAAAGGTACTTCATGAGCGTAGATTTGCCAGATCCCGGCTTCCCAGAGATGTGAAAAATTCCATGGTCACGCTCCAGCCAGACAATAAAGTCATCACGAGCCTTTTCCATGACTTGCCACAAGTGCTCGGGGACGTCCTGCACACGAGAAGGCGAGACTGGCCCTCGAGGATGCGGAGCGTTGTGCATGACTGATATCTGACCTTCCGACAATATTGACATCTGATCGGCGGAGGGCAGACGTTCGATCTCTGCATAGCTCATGATCGATGAATCCGCGTCACTTTCATAGTTACCAGATTTTCTGGCGTTGTCCACCAGAACCTCCTTTTCCGTGCTGTCGCGTTCATGCTCTACGCTTAGTGTGGCCGAGTGTGACCCGGGAGAGCGGGTAGAACCATGAATGATTTGAGACGGGCTTTGAGACCGTGCTCTACCGCGTTCACCCTCGTCACTGCTTAGAGGGATGTTGTTGTGCCGGCCCCCTGGGTCCTGTGGGGCGCCAATATCTTTATCGACTAGATCATGGTCTTCGCGGTCAGACGAGTCGGTCGTTGCGGATGAAGCTTGGCTGCTTCTGGACGATCTACGATGTACTCCAACAGCATCACTGTCGAATATCCAATCAAACGTCCTCTCGTGTGCTTCTTCCACGTCCTCGAACCTTTCGTTCATCAGCTGGAAGCGCAGGCACTCCAGAACGCGGGCCTGTCGGACTCGTAGTATAGCCGTATCGGTCAGAGAAAGCAGAGAATGAATCTGCTCCAATGTATCAGGGCTGATATAAGACGCGTTATTCACGAGCCGTAGCTGTTCCACATTCCTGTTCAAAGACTGTAACTCGCTCTCACTTGCTTGACCAAAAGTGATGAGCTTATCGAGTCTAGCCAGGGCCTCCGATCTTTCCCTTTGGTCAGCAGGAACATGTCTGCCAAAATAACCAGAGATTCGAATGTGATCAGAATTTAAGTGTTTACTTACCTCATCAAGCTGGTTAGTTGCAAGTTCAGTTGCGACCGGCAACGGTCCAGTCTGAGCTGTAACTCGTCTTTCTGATCCCCTTTGCGCCACTCCCGAAAAGCGGCGCGCAGGCTCTCTCGTTTCGACTTTGAAGTTCGAGCTCTCAGACTATCGACCAGCTCCATGAGCTCGATGGCTACACTGTCGCATTCGGCCGCCAGTTCCTGGATTGCAAGCTCGTCTCCGGTCGCCGCACCGGAGACTTTCTGGGCTCGCAGGCTCGCAGTCACCCGCTGAAAGTGTTGTGTGAGAGAAACCAGGTTTTCATTCGCAGCGGCTGTGCCACTAGCCGAAGCTTGGATTTCTCTGGCCTTGGAGAGCAGCTTGAAGCCAAAGTCGAGGAACCCGACAATGTTGCCGGCGAGACCGATGGCGCTGAAGGGATCCATCATGCCTCAGGATGCTTTGTACTCGAGGTCGGTATTACGGTTCGACCCTTCAGTGATCAGAATTGTGCATTGGAAATCTTGTTTGGCAGCCGGACGTGCCTTGAAGCGGATGGACGTTGACAGTGTGAGCTGAGGGGTAAGTCGCACCCTGCAATTGACGCCACGCTTTTTTTTTCGTCAGCATAAGCGGCCATGTGCCACCTGGGAATACATGTGATGCTTACTAAGTATTGGAGCACCGAAGCGCCACATCTGCAACCTAATGTATGCACGACTCTTTGCACCGCCCAATCATCAGCGTTCAGTCTTCTTCTGTTTTTCTATTTCAGTTATGAATGCCTTGAACCCCAAATAGGCTGGCTACATTGTGCAGCAGGCAGTATTAAGATGATCCCCAGTACATGGTTTATAAACTTGTCAAACAAATAGTATTTACACTGTTTGATAACTAAACTCCCGGGTGCAAATTCACAGTCAGTTTCACTGGATTTCAAATCTTGGATCTTGGAAAAAAGGTAGAACCAATTTCAGTCGGAATTCCAACCATGTGTAGCTAACTGAAAAGCTTTTCAAAGCTGTGGCACCAATACCGACACATGAAAGTAGCTATTTAGTTCGGGTTATACTCGCAATATGCAACAGCGATTTGAATCGCATCCAGTCGGTCATAGACGTCTTCTCGGGGCGCCGGACGAAGTTTCTCATTAACAGCACTTCCCAACTCCTCAGACAAAGCTTTCTCCTTCTTAAGATCGCCCAGCACCCACGTCACCGGTTTCAGCACACCAAGAATAGGAAGGTGAATGTTCTTCAAGTCCACAAGGTGGCCCTTAGGGTTTTCCATCGTGGCGTTAACGACCTTGATGAGGTTATCGGTGGCGACGAGCGGTCAGACGATTTCGCAGTGCAAAGGCTGGCTAGTAATGCAAGTATCTCTCCAGGCCGTCAGCTTACGGGATGACGGGCAATCAATGACTTCCAAGGTAAGGAAAATCGTCCTGGTGAGGAACGGGGAGAGCAATGAATTGCTTCAGGTGTGGGATTGTCGAGACCACACACGCATCGTGCGCGGAAGGTCTCCGTTTCGAACCGCGGGGCAGTTGTCTATCTTGTTGCAAGCAGCCTGGCGTCAGTGCGGCCAGCCTAGGTGGTCTCAGCCCGAAAGGCCAGAACATTTGCTGAGACATCTTGCAAAGAAGGTTAGCCGGAAATGATTAGGAGCTCACTTTCTGGTCTAGGAATTTCAGTAGTAAATGCGCTGCCGGTGCGTGGTGAGATCATGATGATTCAGCAACTCTTCGTTCGCGCATTGGCTCTCTTCTACGTCATCGCCACCATCTCATTTAAGATGCCGTCCTCGACATCTTCACACCTGTATAACCCTATTTCATACATCACACCACCATAAACAACAACTTCCGTACCTTTACCTACCATTTTTCCCTATTAAACACATCCGAATTTTTCACCAGCAGCACAAGATGGAGGCAGCAAAGCAAAAGTTCCAGGAAGCCGTGGCAAAGACCCAAGCACCAGGAGGTACGCAGATATAAGCGACAGCTCACTTCCACAGTTCTGCAGCCATCATTGTCAACTCCAACTTATGGCCATGCGTACATTTACATTTGCTGACTTGATATTTACCGTACCAGACGCAAAGGGACCCCCGGGAGGAGAAATGAGGGTAGCGCAACCATCTAAGAACGACGCCTCTATCAGCAATACTTTCACAACGCCAGACAGCACAGCAAATTCGAAGCCTGCGGAGGACAAGCACAAGGGGACAGGCAGCAACGCACATTTCGGGACGAGCTTCTTCAAGCCCGGAAGCGCAACCTAGTGGGCTGCAGGGTTTTGGGAGAGTGGATATCGAAAGGGTGTTTCTCGGCTGAGGACCCTGAGAGTGTATAGATGGGGAGGGCGAATGCGAAGATGGTGTGTGAGATCAACAGCGCATGCGGAATGTATCAAAGAAAAAACAGGGCAGTGTCAACGCTATAGGCTACTATTTCCCCTCAGCAATGCCTCTAGGCAATGACATTGTACAACGTAAGCATCACCAAAGAAAGGGACTAGAGTCTGTCATCAAGTATTGCTATATAGGTGTCCTTGGTGCGGTGATTATGCACTGGCTTTCCAATCAAGCCTCCACAAGGTCTCTATAAGCCACAAATCCCTCCATGACCACCACTACGAGGTGAGGTCTAACAATGTCGTGAGGTCTAAGAATATCTATCAGAACCATGTCTGCCGTACCGTGGTGGGCAAGCACAAAATTGGATCCCGCTTTTGGATCCGTCGGCCTCAAATCACAATACCTCGCCTTTTTACGTTTTTCTGTCTCCCCCTTCGTGTCTGTACTGCTGCCCTTTCCATCTCAAGTCGTCCATTGAATCGGGCGTTGTACACGATTGTCCTCTGATCTTTGATCAAAAGGTTGCTGTCTTCCATCCGCTTGGAAATCCCCGGAAAGGGTCAAAGCCTCTGAAGTGTGGAGTTAACGGAGTCAAGTAAGCGGCGAGTTGAACAAGAGTTGAGTGTCGCTGTCGAAACCAAACTCGCTGTCTTTCGTTTCCTCCCCTCTGAATTTTCACCGTTGTTTGGAGTCTCTGACTGTGTCAACAACTGATTAGCGTCCGAATTCAGTCCGCAACTCGAGATCGCAGACGAGGACTATCGCCAGAGGCAGCGAGTCGACCTTTGCGGAATCGTGACCGGGAGTGAGCACCTACTGTACAATGGAACGCCTAGAAGTCCATGCAATCCTCATACTCATCCTCATCGTCGTCGTCCTCCTCCTCCTTCTTCGCATTGTCGGAGTATCCCATCATCTGGTCCTGGATGGCGTTGTGATCATCATCTACCGTCGGAAACATGCTCGGAATCTCCCCAGTGTAGACGTCGCCCCCCTTTGGGGGGACAATTCCCGACAGCACATAGGTTCGATGAGTCTCTTCAACAGCCGTGTCATCCTCGAGATACGGCGGAGACTCCACAAATGGGGTGACAGTGGTGGTTACCGCAGGCGTGTCATCGTTTCCCACCTCAGTAGGCGCCGCTGACCAGTGCGACTGAGGGGGGGTCGGAGTAGTAGGGACTGCCTGATGCTATTGTTAGAGTTCCATCTTCGGCGCATTGAACGGTGGAAAACTTACGGGTTTCGAGTCCTGGCACTTATCCTCGGACTGATCGTCACCCAAGACTTTGGCGTATCCAGTGGCCTCGTCGTTGTTCTGGTCCTGGGAGTTACCCATGGTCTGGTCGTAGTCAATGGCCTGCTCATAGCCCGTGTACTCGTTGTCCGCTCCCTGAGTAATGGGAAGGGCTTGGCTGACCGAGCTTCCGGGCACAGGGTGTTGGAAGTAGTTGTTCACTATGTAGCTATGGGAACCATTCAGCCGAATTCGAGCCATCCGACCGTTACGTTGGATGCTAGCCATGCGACCGTGCTGTTGGATACTAGCCACTCGACCGTTCTGCTGGAAGTTAGCCACTCTACCGTTCGGCTGGAAGCTCGCTGCGTGATCGCTATGCTGGAAGCCGACCGCCTGACCGTTGTGTTGGAGGCGAGGTTCCTGGCCGTTGAGCTGGATTCCAGGCATTTGGTCGTGCTGGGAAATTCGGCTATGAGAAGGAACCTGCGCGACGCTGCGTTGAGGTCCTTGAATCTGAAATTGCTGACTCGGCTGATGAAGGCCGTAGCTCTGTGGAGTGCTCTGCTGGAAGCCGTACGAGGCCTGCTGGTTGTTCACGTACTCACCAGGCGGCTGGGGCTGCTGCGGAAAGTAATGACCGGACAGCCGGGCCTTCTGAGGCTGCTGGGGCAGAGAGTATTGGCCAGGCGAGTAGGCCGGGGGTCGCTCGTTGCCATGTTGAGCCATGGGCTTTCCCAGCGGTCCCGGGAACTTGGAAGTATCATAAAGCTCACCCTGCCCCTTTGGCGCTGCTGTCAGAGCGGCCTGCAACGCGGGACCGTGGTCGACCAAAGCGGGGCCTGCAAAGATGTTGTTGGTCTCGTTTGAGCCACCAGTCTTCTTGGGTGCTGGAGTTGAGGAAAGGCTGCGCTGGCTCGAACGGCCAGCATTGATGGGCACGAAGGCTGTACCACTGGAAGGCTGGGTAGAGCCACCAGTGTTGTTGGAAGCTGGCGCTGGGGACACGGCGATCTGGCTCGAATCGTCGCCGTTCGCGGGCTCTGATGCTGTGGGACTGGCTGGCTGGGGGGATCCATCAGTGTTGGTGGACGCCTGGGCTGCGGGATCAGCAGGCTGGCTGGCAGGGTCAGTGTCGGTGGCTTGCTCAGCCGAGCCAGCAGCCTTGGACTTCTTGCCGCGGCGAGCACGAGTAGTGATGTTGATGAATTGGTCGGGTTTGATACGCTTGGCCCTCTTGTTGCCGGGCATTGGAAGAACAGGAGTGGCCTCGTTGCTCGCATCCCTCTGGTTGTCGTTGTCCGCGTTGTCGTTGTCTCCACTGTCGCTCTCGAGTTCAGCTGCCTCTCTCTTCTTGTTCTCCTCAATGATTTTCTTCGCCTTCTCCTTCTGGTGTTTCCGCTGGAGATTGAGTCTGGCGTTGGTGGCCTTCTTGTCCGCCTCTTCCTGCGGCTGCATTGCAATGCGCTTCTCCCAAGTCATCTCCGTGTAGAACAAGTCCTTGCACATAGCCTTCCACAGAGTCAGGACCTCAATGACCTTCTCCATACGCTCGCGGAAAGTCTTGAACATGTGGAGCCGCAGCCCGGCCAGCATCGGCCAGCCTGGGACTGACATCTTCCCAGACTGCACGTTGTGCACGGCGGTTACGAGCTTGCCTGCGATCAACTGGATCTCGAGCATCCCGACGGAATCGATGAAATCCATCATAGCGGTCTGCTTCTTGAGCACTTTTCCGTTGATGTCCTTCTGGAAGGCGTCGTCGGCCTTGTCCGTCGACCGGATCGCGTCGTGGACGAGCCGGACGTAGTGCGCGTACTGCTCCTCGGTGATCTCGCCCTGGTCCTCTTCCGGAGTGTACATCTCGTCTTGGATAGAAAGGTAGGCCTCCCAAAGCTCCCTGACATCATCCTTCTTGCCGACTAGGTGGATGTAAGTCCCCTTGGGAGCTTTCTCGCCTTGTGCGATTCGATCCTTTACAATTGTGGTCAAACTCATCTTGATAGATCGATTGACGATTTCAGAGCTGTGAATAGAAAGTTTGTCAGATACTAGTCGGTGTCTGAGCGTCGACTGAAGTGTATCGATGTGATTATGTCGCGATATACGTAGAGATTGCCTGGAATAACAGTAGGCTGGAGATTTGCTGGGCAGAAGGAGCGTAGTTGGTGATGGAAGTGAATTTGGCGACAGGACAAACGCGGAGAGTAGGTGATGGGACGTGAATCTGTTTGCGGACGTTTGAATGCGATGGTGTACCACGATATAGCTTTGTGGTGATCGACTGCGGCTGTCTGAGAGTATTTGATTCAAATGTGAGGTTGGCTGAACTGGCTAGCTTCTTCGCAAGCTGCAAGCTGCAAGCGCCCATACGCACTCACCTCGGCCACAATGCACACCTTGAATAGATAATGGCGGGGCACAATGTGAGAACAGGATCTGGGCGATGATGGTAGGAGGTAGGACATGCACTGAAAAAGGCAGCAGGTGTGGTGGAGAGTGTAGAAGGTTGCAAGGACAAGGTCGTTTGTATCCTCAAGGTCTCATGCCTGGTGCTTGGTGATGGGAGTGAAGATTGATCGTGGAGAGACACTACTTACTTGTGGACCTGTTGGATGCTTCCGAGAAATGGAGTTGCTGCTGGAAGGTGGATGGTCTCGCGAGGAAAGTTCGCAGGAGGACGGGCCGAGTGGCTGCGAAGTTGTGGTGGTGGGATTTGTGACGATGTGCATAGGAGGGGATTGATTTTCTTGGGACTGGGGGACTGTGAATGGATTCCATTTGACTGTGAATTGACCCGACATCTAGCTGGAATAGTCGTTTGCATATGTTCCAGGAATGATGCCAAGTTACTTCGTTCTACCACTCTTCGTTTAATTTTACTGGTATCGGCACCATTTGGGCCAGCTTCTCCCGGCTACCTGGGTATCAGATATCGGTCGAGTGACTGCTATATCAAGGCCGGGAGAAGTTGTCTACAATAACTTCTGGCTCTCGCCAGTTCCCAAGTGCTAGTATATATTACTCGATGCGTATGTAATAACTCCATTCTTCAGAGAGCACATTCCATCTCAAGGCACATTTCGATTCTTGCGTACTCCGACCAAGGTAGGGCCAGCTCCCAGGATTTACTAAATTGGAGTGATTCGAAAATATACTGGATCGGAAAGCTTTCTTTAGGAACCAATGCTGCAGAACAGTACAGTGGAGAGGTGATCCTGAGCGGTGGAAGATAGAGTTATCTTCAGATGTGCACTTTAGGACGAATACGGACGCGATGGGATTGTGACAGCAAGGTCGGGACGACAAGGTCAGGACGAAAAGGACGGCGGGAGGAATACTGACCCGAAAAACAAGGGATGAGTTAGAGACTGAACTGTCCAGTCTTGTGGTAATTCCGTGCAATTGTTACTCTGTGTAGCCGTTTTACGCTGACATTAGTCATGCAAATACATAGTTTGTCTTGTACGTGGGTGTGCTCAAGGTTCATCACACATGAATACGAAGATTTGTACTTCTCGTGTGCAGTGTCTTTGCACATTTGACGCTGTAAGTCTAGAGAATCCACCCTTGGGAGGGAATTCATGTGGGGCAAGTCTGGATGTAGTTATGTTTTAGCTGTATCAAGATACCAACGTTTATCTAGGGATATCAATGTCTAGATCCCCTTCTATAGCGAGTACGGAACAAGAAGTTGCTTCTCGTCCCCCGAGCTCGCGGCATCACTGTCCTCGTCGTCTTCATCCTCTTCATCAGAGTCTTCATACTCAACATACTTCTCAATCAAGAACTTGAGGTCATCCAGCGCCTGAGCGCGGGCCTTGGTGCCGGGGACGTGGGCCGAGTACATGATCTCCTCCTTGACGGCGTACAGCCTGTTCCGGTCGTCTGCCTCCTCCTGCGGCTCGTCGGGCGGGTAGTTCTTGAAGTACTCGCGGCGGTACTCGCGCGCCTTCATGTGGTGGTGGTCGACGCGCCACATGCCCATGGCCATCTCGTGGTGCGCGTAGTAGGCGCACGAGTCGAAGATGTAGATGCTGCCCGTGCGCGGCTCGGTGCCGATGTTCTGCTCGTGCAGGTCCCCGTGGATCAGGCACGGCTTCACCTCGCGCCCGCCCTCGGTGAGGCGGTCCAGGAGGCGCGGGATCACCGTCTTGAGGGTGAGCTCCATCGCGTCGTCCAGCTCCGGCCAGGCGCCGTTGACCTTGCGGTCGAGCTGGTGCACGCCCGACAGCAGCTTGGTGAAGAAGGAGGTCCAGCTGCTGTCCCAGTCTGCGGCCAGGGGGAGCTTGCCGTCGTAGGGCGTCAGGTGGAAGCCGAACTTGCCCGTGGGGGAGACGCTGGCCCGGTGGAGCTCTGCGATCTTCTTGCCCAGCTGCTCGGGGTTGGCAGGGCGGTGGTCGATCTCGAGGTAGTCGCATAGGAAGAAAGCACCCTCGGAGTCAACGCATTTGCCTGCTGCCTTGGCTGACGGCACAAGTGATGGCACTGCATTCTCCAGCTCCTTCATACAGGCAAATTCGCCCAGAACACGGGGCCCTGCAAGATCGCCCTTGATAATCTTCAGGAAGTAGTCGTGGAGTGTTCCATCTGACCTCTTGGTGGTGAGCTTGCCAGTCGCCGACCACGAAGAGTTGCCGTAACGCTCCGCGTTCACGATGGTCTCGTCATCTCCAAGTGCTAGTACCGCTTGGGGTCAGCTCGGCGGTCAGATACGACGAAAGGGGCTTATCTCACCATTTATCACGGCTTGGTCAAAGAATATGCGCTCAGTGTCTCTCCTCTGAAGGGCTTTTACTTGGAACTCCTCATACGGCGGCACTGGGTTAGTCGGATGCCTCGCCGCCTGCGCCGGATCGGTCTCCGAGTACTTGGGGGCAGATTCAAAATGCGGCATCGTGCGCTACTTCTCACTAGTGTCAATGCTTCAGAGAGGGGAAGGAAATGGATCGTTTGCTATTCTCAGTCTCCTCCATGGCTTCGGTGTGAGATCTTTATCCACCCGCGGGCGCCCACCCTGCCTGCGCAGGACAGTGATTCATGGCGGCCAATTGGCCGGACGGCGGCGATCTGGCGCAGGTTGCAAGATGTGAATGAAACCTCTTGGCCGCATTTCCGGGTGGGTGCGCTTCTCAGCACATTGATCTGGCGGGTTTGGACCACTGATCAACCGGCCGATGGGTCGGGCTTGGAACGAGGAATGGATACTCGGGGCTGAATTTAGGTGCGTCAGACTGCCCTAGCAGGCTGTGCCTCGTGACTGCGTGCATCCTTCGGCACCGGATCCGCCGCGGATGTAACTTGATCTTCCAATGTCGTGGTACCCCGATAACACCAACGGTTCTCGAACCTGCATCGCTGGAATGACGCCAGACTTGTTGACAGTGTCCTTGGAACTGCCTAATGCTTCGACAAGCTGACCAACAGAAGCAACAGAGTCCCATCGTGTGCGGCACACCGAGTACAGCAAAATGAGGCCCCGAACGGAAGAGGCTGGTGGCGGAGCGGCACAGCACTCCAGGGGCTCCCTTGGCCCCATCCTCCGGCCAAAACGGCCCAAATCCTCGCCCCGGCGACGTACTGAACGAGCCCAAACAGCAGCCCGAAACACCAAACGATGCTTTGCACCCACGATTCCGAGCTCCGGCTGGCCGGCGGCCTAGGTGCTGACCATGGCCGTCTGGGCCCGTAAAACTCGCTTCATCATCAGCACTCTGGGCACTATGAGCGCTGTTTCTCTGTCCCCTCCATCTCCACGACTCATCGACTCTCTGCATTGACATCAGAGTCGCACGCTTAGTATGCCCCCAATTATTTTTCATTTCTAGGGATATCTGACAAGATGGTAAGTGCATTCTGGATGACGGCTTGGCTGTGATGTTGTCTAACTGCTTTGCAGTGGAAAAGGCTCAAGTCAAGGAAGACTGAACCCAAGGCGGTTGAAGTCGAAGATGGAAGGGGTCGGAGCCCGCAGCCCAAGATCGTGGTGGACTGCGATGACCAGCCAAGCCGAAGTGCGGCTTGCAGTGACTTTGGAGACCCCCTGAACATGAATGATCGTTTCCCAAGCTTGAGGAGGAAGGCATCCGTGCAAAGCAACATTTCGGACGTCTATGGCAATTTGATGCCGTCGTCGTCATCGGCAGTTGCCAGGCAGCGCTCGCAAGACCGGAGATCTGACCCTCTCGGCTTTACTGTCTTGTATACGCCAGAGCCAGGGCAACGGACAGTCGACATTGTGTTCATCCATGGCCTCGGCGGTACGAGCGTCCGGACGTGGTGCCGGAACAGAGATCCGAGCTATCTCTGGCCGAAGCATTGGCTTCCTGACGAGACCGATATGTCAACTGCAAGAATTCTGACATTCGGCTACCATGCCCATTTCTCGTCGAAAAAGGAGCAGACGTCTCTGACGCTCAATGACTTTGCGAACGATCTTCTCTTCCGGATGAAGTATGACGAAGAGACAGAGGAGAGGCTGGGACAAGTACCAATCGTATTTGTTGCCCACTCCATGGGAGGGCTTGTTTTCAAGAAGGCTTGTGAGTATTCCAGGCACCAATTTCTGTTGTCATCCAGCTGACCTGTCTACAGTTATTCATGGCTCAATGAATAATGAATACAAAGACATCATCTCCAAGATCAAAGCGGTGCTCTTCCTTTCTACTCCTCACCGAGGCACAGATCTTGCAGACATCCTCAACAAGATCCTCTCAAGCTCTGTCTTTGGCCACTCTCCCAAGGACTACGTCAACGAGCTGACCAAGAAGAGCCCCACCATCGACGAGCTCAATGAGCAGTTCCGCCACCATGCTGCCAAGCTGCAGATATTCTCCTTCTATGAGACCCTGACGACTACCGTTGGACCGCTAAAGACGCTCATCCTGGAAAAGCACTCGTCAGTGCTCGGCTACCAGCACGAGACGCCCCAGCCACTTGTGGCAAACCACCACGACGTGTGCAAGTTCAGCAGCCCCGAGGACCCCAACTACCAGTCAGTCAAGGGCGCGCTTCGCAGCATCGTAAACAAGGTGCGGTGCTCGACCGAGCACAACTGCGAGGATGAGCGGGATCTCTCTGTTCTCAGAAAGTGGCTGGGCGCTGGCAGTCGCCCCCACGATGATCTCGCAGACACCGGCTCAAACCGCAAGCCTGGGACGTGCGAGGGCTTGATGCGGGCGCCTCAGTTTGGCAAGTGGCTCAACTCTGAGCTGCGATGCCCCCAGCTGCTGTGGACGCATGCACCGCCTGGCAGTGGCAAGACGTACCAGACGTCATTTGTGATCGACACACTGCTAGAAAGAAATGCCAAGTGCGTCTACTGGTTCTTCGAGTACCGGGATGCACGCAAGCGATCCCTCAAAAACATGCTGCGGTCGGTGGCATACCAGATTGCCGTTCACGATCCGACGTACAGGAAGGCGCTTCTGGATATGCAACGCACCGGAACTCAGGTGGTGAATGGGGATGCTCATTCAATCTGGCGTAACGTTCTGGGTTCAAAGCTGTCAAGATGCCAGTCTCGCATTTATCTGGTCATCGACGCCCTGGATGAAGCGGACTCGGCCAGAACTCTCCTGGAGCTCTTGGCCGGCCTCGGCAACATCCAACTGAGCATCCAGATCCTCATCATGAGCCGCCCGCTATCGAGTATTCGAAACTCCATGTTGCGGCTGCACAAGAAAGCGCTGAACGTTATCTTCAACGAGATGGCCTTGACCGACAACCTCGAAGACATCCGGCTAGCCGTTACTGATGAGATGGATGAGTTCCCAGGCGAAGAGGAGTTCAAACAGGACATCATCAAGGAGGTTGTCTCCAGGTCCGAGGGCAACTTCCTGTGGGCTAGCCTCGTACTCAAGCGGATCCTCCAGTGCCACCGACAGGAAGACGTCAAGAGAGTGCTACACAGTACTCCGGACGGCATGGACCAGCTCTACGAGAGGATGGTGGAGGCAATCGCCAGTCTCGACCTGGAGGAAGACCGCAACCTGTCCAAGATTTTTCTCTCGTGGGCAATGTACTCGGTCACACCCGTCAGCACAGAGGAGCTCAAGGGTATTTACTCTGCTGAGCTGTCCTCCCTGATTGACCTCAGGCACACCGTTGGTCAGCTTTGTGGAGAATTTGCCACCCTTGATGGCCAAGACCGTATCGTCTTGGTCCACCAAACGGCACGCGAGTACCTTAAAGGCACCACTGCCCTACCCTTCTCACTGGCAGCTAGCGAAGTCAACGAGGAGCTCCTATCTCAGTGCCTCACCTTGCTGTGTGATCCGGCTCTCAAGGGCCAGATGCGCCAGGCTAAAGCACCACAATTCCTCGCTTATGCCGCTGCATCATGGCATATCCACATGGAACGCGCATCTGTAGACTCGGAAAGGGTCCTCCAGATGCTCGTCAAGTTCTTCCACGACAGCGCACCTCTGACGTGGATTCAGTATCTTGCCACCAACGATCAGCTGCCGATGTTGGTTGCAGTGTCGGCCTCATTGCAATCCTTTGTGCGCCGGCGCAAGAAGTCAGATTCAATCAAGCCTCCAACTATGCACCGCATCCCTGAATTGGCCCTCCTGGAAGGCTGGGCAGTCGATCTTGTCAAGATGACGGGCAAATTTGGCAATCACCTCGTCGACGACCCAGAGGCAATCTATAAATACATCCCATCACTGAGCCCCCAAAACTCGGTGCTTTACAGGAAGTATGCCGACAAGTCAACCTCGAGGATCTCAGTCACTGGGCTCTCGGGTGCTGAATGGGATGACTGCCTCGCGAGAGTGACCAACGGGTCTGACCCGTCGCTTCATGTGGCTGTTTCTGCGCAGCATTTGGCTGTAGCCAATGACTCCCCCAATGGGACGATTCGTCTCTGGAGCAATGTTATCTTCCAAGAAGTGTATACGTTCAGCCCCGGTGAGCCAATTTGCTCCATCACCTTCAGCCCGTCGGGATCTCTTCTGGCTGTGCACGGCCTCGATCACACCTTCATCTGGAGGGTGGATGACGGAGTTCTTCTGAACAAAGTCAACAATCCCCATCAAGACCGAGCAGACACCCTAGCCTTTGGACCTCAGGAGAAGTTCATCATAATTTCCACCAACTTGCGTCGGGTGTACAGACTAGATCTCGAAAGCGAGGACCAGCAGCTGTCCTGGATCGCCTTTGACGAGTCACTGCTCGAAGAGACCGCCCTCCCAGATGGGGCGTTCATCAACTCGCCCTCGTCCATGGCCTTCAACCCAGACTGCACCCAGCTCGCAGTAGCATACAAGGGCTTCCCCCTCTCCATCTGGAGCCTCGACCCACCGCAGATGATAGCCCGCTGCTCCGTCCGCCGCCAAGCCCAGGGCCACACCAACAACACCGCCTGGACGGGCGTGTCGCGCGTGGTGTGGCACCCCTTCAACGGGCAGGTCCTGGGCATCTACCGCGACGGGCAGATATTCAAGTGGGGCCCCATGGACGACACGCACGAGGAGGTGCGGCAGGAGCTGGACGCCACCCCGTCCGAGATCACGGTCGCGCAGAGCGGCGCCGTCTTCGCGACGAGCGACGTCCGGGGCACCATCAAGATCTACGACTTCGCGCACATGGCGCCCATGTACAAGCTCACCAGCGACGACATCATCAAGGCCGTGGCGTTCAGCCCGGACAGCAGGCGGTTCTACGACCTGCGCGGGTCGTACTGCAACGTGTGGGAGCCCAACTGCCTCGTCCGGCTGGTGGAGGGCGGGACCGGTGCGGGAGGGGTCGGCGCCGATGGGGGCAAGGACGACGAGAGCATCACCAGCTCGGAGCTCAAGGAGCGCTCCGACAGCTGGAGCATGGCGGCCGCGACGGACAGGGACGACTCGCGCAGCACGGTCACGTCCCTCGCCGCGTCCGAGGCGCACGCCGACTCGCGGCCCGCCATCACGGCCGTCGCGCCCGCGCGGGAGAACCAGCGGCTCGTCCTGTACGCCAAGGACGACGGGACGGTCGAGCTGCTCGACTCGGGCCGGCAGCGGTCGCATGTCCTCGCGCAGTCTGCGTACGGGATCGGCGTGGGCCGTGCTGCGCTGGCGCCGAGGGGGAATTTCGTTGCGTATAGTCTGCTCAATGGGAGGGTTACGGTCAAGAGTGCCAAGATCTCGCTCAAGTCTGGGAAGCTCATCGCCAAGGAGATGCTGGTCGAGAAGGGGGACGTCGGCCGCGGGATCGTCAGGCAGGTCCTCTTCCACGGCGAGGCGGAGCGGCTGCTGATCTGCGGGTCGAAGAAGCTCGAGGTGGTCTGCTTTACGAAGGACGATGTCAGGACGGTGACGCAAAGGGAATTGGATGATGCGGAGCCGGAGGCGAACCAGGTCGCGAGATGGGACCACCACCCTGCTGACCCCGGTCTGCTGCTTGCTTTCACTGCGAGCAGCATCGAGGTCTATTCTTGGGACAATATCACCCGGGCCAAGTACACTGTTCCCATCGACCTTTCACACGGCGAGGGGTTGATCTCACTGCTTCCCGAAGCACCAAGGCTCACCGTCGAGGAAATCGTCCCCTCGTCCCACGACAAAATCCACATGGCGATGGTCTCGTTCGAGGAGAACAACAACAAAGTCTTCGGCTTCGTCCTGCTCGACACCTCGCCCTTGCATGGTGAGGACGCGGCTTCCGCGACGATACTCCCGCTCGAGGTGCCAGAGGTGGTTGGGAAGCGGATCGAGCAGCCGGTGGGGTTCCTTGAGGACGGCAGGCTCGTGTTCCTGGACGAGGCGCTGTGGGTGTGCACGACGAGGGTTGCATCGCCAGGATCTACTGGTCCTGATACCGCTGCTGCCCCAGCCGTGAAGAGGCACTTCTTCGTTCCAAGGGACTGGCTCAACAGTGCAGGGATGGCCCTGTGCCGCGTGCAGCCCGACGGGACGTTCCTGTGCCCCAGCAAGGGGGAGCTGGCGGTAGTCAGGGGCGATCTGGGGACAGACTGGGGTGGGATCTGAGATTGACTTTTTCTACTGGGGAATTATAAGCATTGCATGGCGTTGGAATTGGATATCTGGGACTGGTTGGCTTTCGAGGGTAGAACGTCATTTATGCAGCGAAGTGAAATCGTGAGCGATCATTTCCTGTTTGGGCCTGGATTGAGGCCAAATGTGGCTCTGCCTGTCCAGCTGTTGCGCAGCGGTCCGACACTGGGCTTAGTGTGACAAAATGTCCTTACTAGTAGGCTAGCGCCAATTCAAACAGTCCTCGTATGTCCTTGAATTTCGTGCATATGAAGGGAGACAGAGATATAGACCAACATGTCTGCAGGGTTTGGACATTGCATCTTCACTGGAACAATTTAACAGTCCAGAAAAATCGAAGTACTGCAGCTCCGTCCTCCAATGTTGGGAATGTGTCGCACATGTCGAAAACGGGTAGACGTTGCCTGCAGCCACGACAAACTGCACAGCCCCGTTTTGCTGTTGGCCGGGTTTTGTCAGACATCTCGCTATGGCGCGTTTGGCCTCAGTGCAGGTAGATTAAACGGTGTAAGCTGATTGGCTGTGTCGGACCCACCGAGGCTTAGTTGTCGACGGGAGTGAGCCGCTTAAAATCCGCCCAGTTCCCCGGTGTGAATCATCCCGTCCCCTCCCTCTCTTCGCCATCCTATACACCTCTTTCCGACCTTGCCCCCAACTCCTACCCTCCCTCCTGCTTCCAGTTGACACAGAATCTTTCAATCAATGCCTTCAGTGGATCCCACTTCGATGCCGACCTGACCAACTCTGTTTGCAGAGATGGTGGCTCAGCAACTCACCCCCGAGCTGACGCAGCCCAACGTTCCGGTCGAAATCGACCCCGGGCCCCCGATGGGACTGTATCAGGAAGCTCAACGGCATGCGCCGGGAAAGCCCCAGGCCCAGATGATCAAGTCTAAAGCTCGATTATCATCGACCTTCAGGCCGAGTAATGAGCTCGGTGACGAGCCTATCGAGGCCAACGGATGCCCGGAGCCTGGTCGTGAGCTAGGTTTTGAACTCGACGACGCCGCTCCTGAACAGGAGAGGGAAGTACAAGTGCTGGAGGACGCAGGTATTATCCTCACTTCGTGCCGACCTTGCCGAGGACATCGCGCAACAGCTCAGTCTGAGATTAAGGATGCCGCGGAGGAGGAAACCGCTTTCGATGGGATGCACCATTTGAAGTTCATCGGGGGCGACAAGCTGCGCCAAGATGCCATCAGTCCAACCCCAAGCCCGAGCTCGGGCTGGAATCCACCAAGGATTCGCCGACGGGCGTCATTCGCCACCGATCTTTCTGTCCCTGCAGTGTTGCCATCTACAGCTGCCACTGAGCCTAGTGCTATCAGGAACATGAGACCCCTCAATGACGGACCTGTCAAGGTCATCTGGACTTCGACGCGCGGGACGATCCCTCGGCTAAATCCTCCGCGGTCCCGCGAGGTGCTCTTTAACAAGTCTTCCAACGGCCATGGGAACGCCCACAATTCGCTCGTCGTCGACACAACGAGGGTCGCGGAAGACCAACTGGCTTCGGTCTTTGGTGACATGCCGAAGAACACTTGTCATTGCGATCTTCCAATGGGGCATTCCTGCACCGGACGGTTAAAGCAACCTCGGTCAACGGGTCGAACAGCCAGCAGCGACGTCGAACCTCCTTTGCCCATGTCTTGGGCCGCCGGTTCCAAGACAAGCTTCAGTGTCGATATTGGAGAAGTCGCACGGGAGGTATTCATGTGGATGAATCAATACAAGATGGTAAGCTGCTCAGCATCACAAACCTCGAATACTTACATGGCTGACTCGAAGGATAGATGACCTTGCAATGCGAGAAGCAATCGCCCGTTCGTTGGTTCGAAATAGGGACCGAGCTGCTACTAAACTTCGTGTCGGCCGCGATCTCTTGCCTCCATGTCCTTCTACACCAGCTCGTGCGGGGAAATGCGAGAGTCAAGCAGTGTACTGAAGTAGTTCACTGCCTCCTGGATGACCCAGGATAAGACATTTGTTTGATCAACGTTTGGATATTTCTGAACGTTAGAGCGCTGAACTGCACCATACCTTGCCTCGTCCCTTCGCACGACTGCAACAAAGACGTGTGACTTTGGTGCGAACAACATCCTTGAAATCAGAGCTTAGACACAGGCCACAAACAAACCCACTTCCACAACTACCGAGCCCAAGAGGGCGACGACAGAATGGAGGCCTACACGAACTTTGCGTCATACGACATGACGCTCGACGACATCGATCCGTCTGAGATGCAGCAAATACTACAGCAGATTCGTTGGGAGCAATCGATCGAAGAGCAAATCTTTGCTGGACCGGAATACGACATAACAAACTTCAACTCAGGCCTCTCACCGCTGTCTGGATATGCCAGCCCAAGCAGCATGACAACAGGCAGCACGAATCAAAGCCCCGTCGTGCCACTACTCGACTATGATATGTCTTTCCCCGTGGCCTCGTCCACGGACGACCCCGAAAACCTCTTCCCAGAGCTCATGGACCGCTCTATCAACGTGAATCCAGACTGCGTGGGGTCCACGCCTGAGGGCTACAGCGGCCCCTTCCCAACGTCGGGCGATGCCCAAGTCAAGGTCTCATCCATATACCCTATCGACAGTCAGCTATACCCGACTGCCGCTCCAGAGGCGACACTATATAACAACAACTCGACCTTCGAGCCATACCCTACCACACAACCACCGCCAGCCTCAGCTCAAACCCCACAACCGACACCAACACCATCGTCACAAAACACGACCGCCACAAAGACCGACCTCACATGCTCCCACTGCGGGGCCACCTTCACCGACAAGACCAAATTAAAGGTCCACACCAACAAACACACAAAGCCCTTCCGGTGCGCCGCCGCGGGCTGCGACTACGCCACCGCCGAGAAGAAGAGCCTCCAGCGGCACCTGCTGGCCAAGTCCAAGTGGGACGAGGAGCACCGCGCCGCGGCGCAGAGCGAGGGCGTGCGGCAGGTGAAGCACCGCTGCCCGCGGGCGGGGTGCACATACTCGACTATCCGGGAGGACAACCTCAAGAGGCACATCAACACTTGTGCCTAGTGAGCTGTGGGCCGTGGGCAGGCCATCTGGGGCGGGCGGGGGACGGTCGGGGGCTGGGGTAGTGAACGGGCGGGGACGAAAAGCGGTCTGGGGATTTCATTGTCTGTTCGCCTTCCGTGATCTGCTTGTATATGGCGTTTGGTATTTTCTGCTTTGGTTCCAGCGTAGTACAGTGTTTTTCCGTCACCAAATACATTCTATGTCTACTCTTTTCTTGGTATCCTTCCCCATGTACAATGCCGTAGTTAAGTGACTGGTTACAGAGACATCTTTGCAGGACGAGTTTCTTGCTGATCGGCGTCAAGCATACCTAGGTACGAATGCTCCAGAGGCATCGCCACATAATAGCGAGACGATCCCGTAAGCCGTGACGAGGCTGTCCTCTGCTTTTGGTTTTTTCGCCTCAAAGCCCCAGCCATCGCGCCAATTGCCGGATGGCACCCTTCCGAGGCCGGCTTTCTGCATCGATGGTCCTCTCTTGGGGCCCAACATGCTCCTGGTGGACACCCTTCTTGGACCAAAAGTGCTCCTCGTGCCAGTCCAAAAGCACAGGGACCTCCTCCGGGCCAGAGCTGTGGATCTGTATGCTGTGATCGCCCGGCTCACGGTCCCGTTCGGAAGCGCCAAGGTGGAAGACGGCAACGCATGGCGCGCCATGTGCCCGGGCGCTGTGTCTCATCCACTCCAAGAGTCCGGCGAGCCGGCGGAGGTCGTCCTGTTTCTCCTCCTCGAACTTCCTTACGAGATCGCCCATCTCGACAACCGTGAGCCCGCGCGCGCCCGCGCCCGCGTCTTGTCCGGGAGGGATGATTTCGGCGATTCCTAGTTTAGTCTGACCACAAGACCACATGTACGGGGCCCTTCTCCGGAGGTAAGCGGTCTCCAATTGCCATCTAGTCAAAGGGTCTGTCTCTCGGCGGCGTACGCCGGCCTGGAATGCCGCGGGCGTTCAGACGCCTTGCCCGGCGGTGATGACATCGATACCGTTGACATGTCGAGTCTTCGGCGGTTCGGAGGGTTCTTTGGCAGCTGGTAACTCTTGTACGGTGCCATGAACCCTTGCACGCACAACACAAGAAAGTGGTCCGATGTTGTAGCGCAGAAGTCGGTAGTGACGGGAGCCATACTTGACCCCAGGCACTGGCACCGTGGCTGCCTCGCAGTGATTCCGGTCCGGGGGAGCTGGCAAGGCCGCACCGGTGCTGTTCTTTCGTCCTTGGATGACAAGGGTATTATTGATGAGTGACAGATCGACAGCAAGGCCATCAACACGCGTACAAACGAGCTTTTCCGGTTTCCAACTTGCGAACGCCAAGAGCGTAACCATCCACATCGTCGAGTTTCAGATTCGGCTTCGTAGCACATAATGAGGAGAGGGGATCATCCCAAGCCAACCCTCGTGGGACTCTGCCCAAATTGAAATCCCGAAATGACGACTTAGACATTGGAATATGTAGAGTCTTTGGACGTATGCCCAGTAAGTGGCAAGCCCGCCGTTCTCGGCCTACTTGCATCACCTTGGATTTTGCGGTTAGCCTCATCTGCCGGTACTATATGCGTTCCAGTCGATCAATGACGGTAGGAGCATTTACCTGGGACAGTAATTGCTTGCCTGGGACCGCTGGCTATGTTCCAGCTACAAAGGCATCTGATGTCGGAGGGTACAACCCTCACGGGCTCTTTGCACTGCACAAGAGACCATGCATCGATGGATGTGATCATCTCTCCGACATTTCCAAACAACCACAAATCCCTTTTCCTGACTCTACGTGGGTGGACGGAGGTCAGTTGGTGAAGTCCCGTTTGTTCCTCGCTGGATATCCCGAGCCAGAGTACGCCCACCCAGCTTTCATAGTATGCCCACCCATCTTTCAGTGTTGGCCTACTTAGTATAAGGAAATTGGCTGTACGTGCTATAAAATATTAATATTATGGGGTTATTAATAAAGCATAGCTATAGCTATCCCAAAGGGGTTTTATAGCTACCCCTTTATTCATAACTTAAAAGTTACTTCTACCCTTCTGCCCTTTGCCCCCTCGGCGCCCTCTGCCCCCTCGGCGCCCTCTGCGCCCTCGCCCGCCCTGGGCGCCCTCGCCGCCCTGGGCGCCCTCGGGGCCCTCTGGGGGCTCTGGGGCGCTCTGGGGGCTCTGGGGGCTCTGGGGGCTCTGGGGTTTTTAGGCTTGTATTTTTAAAGTATTGCTTAAATTAAAAAATAACTACCCTAGCTTCTTATATATAGGGTAAACTTAAAAAAGTACCTAATCTTATTAATATAATATTAAGAAAAGGAAGTACTAGGTGGGCCAACGCTAAAAGCTGGGTGGGCGTACTCTGGCTCGGATATCCCCCTTGTCGTGTGACTGCTCATGAATTGCAGCGCGCGTCGCCGTACTGTCGCTCGCGGCAGGACTTGCCAGAGCCCCCCTGAGCGGGCCCCTACAGTAGCCATGCAGAATGGGAGCCGCGTGGTTGAGACGTGGGCTGTGATGGATGGTCTGGAAAGTCTCCGCGTTGAATGAGATTGAGCCAAGTGGAAGCTGGAGAGACCGCCGCTTGTGAGAAGTGCAGTGCGGGCAGGCAGGCATCGATTAGTCAGCGCAGCCTCTGGGAGACAACGTGGTGCCCCCCTGTCGTTTTCGAGAACACAGACCACGTTGAGGGATTTGCCAAGACCGAGCCTGGCTCATGCGTTCGTGAGGCGCAGCAAGCCACGGTCATTCTACTTATAAGTTAGACTATTAGGTAGGAGTACAACCAACCGCCGATTCCTCATCCCTTCCGTTCCTTGAACAACATCTCACACTCGTTTACGTCGGAACGGGTTATCACGACGGTTCACATTACACTCGTGCACTCTAGGCCAGGCAGCAAGCAAGTATTCATCGGGTCCGTCTCTTCTTGAGTCGCCGCCCCAGTAATGAACTATGGGTCAGAGATTGAACCATGGCGAGGAGACAAAGGTGCTAAGCAAACTCGGAATCAAGTAAGCACTTCTTGTCGCATACTGGCAGGGCATCTCGGGCATCTGACCAACGAATACGTGTCTAGCGAGTCGTACCAACTGGCAATGTATCTCCTGGACCAGTACCGTGGCACTGTTCTCTCTTGTCGCTATGAAATTCCACCGCGTCTTGCATCGGCAGAGTCGCGGACCCAATTGGAGGAGTCAGTCAAGGTCGCTGTCGTGGACACCATCATGCGACATCCCATGATGCAGGTCGGCATGAAAGATGCCACTTCCAAGGCCCCCTCGTGGATCCAGCTGCACAGTCTCGACTTGACGCAACATATAAAATGGATTTACATCGAAGAGCATGACGACTTTGAACAAACAGTACAGGAAACCTTTCGCGCTAAGATCGACGAACGATTTCCAGACCTTTCTATTAAGCAGCCGGGCTGGTGGGTTACCGTGATTCGGCAAGGGGATGCTCCTATGATGGAAGTCCTACTGTCATGGAATCACCCCCAATTCGACGGTGCTGGCGCCAAGGTATTCCACGAAGACGTTCTCGAGATACTCAATGTTGAGAATGGGACAAACGAGCGGACGGGCTTGGATGGCGATATCCTGAAACTACCTCAGGCCCCTCCTTTGCTTCCAATCCCAATTGAGCGCTCGAAGGGTCTTCCAGTAGACCCCAAATACCTCGCCAAAGTATTTTGGGAGGACGTTCGGCCCAGTTTTCTCAACCGGGACGCATCCTTGGCAGCCTGGTGCCCGATCCGCACCTCTCCGTACAAGACCCAGTTCCGGGCCTTCTTCATGGACCAGGAGTCTCTATCTGCGGTGCTCGCCCTCTGCCGGAAGAATAAGACCACCATCACCGGCCTGATCCACGGATTGGCGCTTATTGCCTTCTCCTCGCACCTCAACAGCACGGGTGCCGCCGCTTTTCAGAGCTCCACCATCATGGACCACCGCCGGAATCTGCCTCCGGCCCCACCAGACGCTCCATGGGGTAAACCTGACAGGGCGGTGGCGAATTACGTGACCCAGGCGTTCCACAGATACGGCACCAGGACGGTGGCGCGAATCCGCTCCAAGCTGCCGGCCGACGCCAGCGAGGGGGCAGACCTGTCCGCCGACCTCCAGCGCGACCTCTGGGCCGCGTCGGCACGGAGCCGGCAGGACATCGTGCGCAGGCTGGAGGCCGGGCTGCGCAACGACCTGGTCGGGGTGTTCAAGTACGTCACGGACTGGCAGAAGACGATGAGCGAGCAGGCGAGGAAGAAGCGCCAGTTCTCGTGGCTGGTGACCAACATCGGCGTGCTGGAGGGCGGCAACACGCCAGCAGCGCCGGACACAGCCACCGCGAAACAGTCGCCGACCGACAGCGACAGCAAGCCCGACGACGCCCAGAAGTGGTCGATCGGCCGGGCGCAGTTCGGCCTCAGCGCTGAGATCCCCGCTGCCGCCATCGAGTTTTCCCCGGTCAGTGTCGCCGGCCGGGGGATGTGTGTTAGCGCTAGCTGGCCGGACTGCGCCGTCGATTCGATGCTAGGGGAGCGTATCATGGCTGATATGGAAAGGTGGCTGGCCCAACTTGCGAGTCAGCCCTGATCTGCCTGCTCCCGATTACGTTATTTACATGTACACGAAGCGACCTGGACAATACAGTCCCTCCTTTTTTATGATTTTTAGAAGACATTTTCATCCTTCCATTGTCTTAGTAAATAGATAAGATGAAATTCAAGCCATTGTAAGTTTAGCTATCGAGAAGCAGAGCGCAGCCGCTGCTCATCTAATTTTCATGTCATAGATTTCCCGGCAGCACGTTCAACTTGTTCCTCGCTGTCAACAGACATTGTGCCCAGACGGTTCAGCAATTGCTAAAATCGCCGTGTTGGAATTTGAAAATATGACGTGCTTATTCAACAAGTCATGGTACACCTTCTGATTCCGTGCGTTGAGCTCTGCGACGCCGACTCATTGGTTGGGCTTGCCCTCTCTGCGTGCCGGTGGCTGTAAGGTACATATAATGCTATTTGCAACAAGGCTCCCCCCTTCCACTTCAAGCTGGTAATTAGACGTCCACGCGGTGGTGTGCAGCTGCGTCCGAGATAGAAGCTAAATTAATTGTAGAGCGATACCCTCCGGGAATCAGCTTCTGCCTGTGTCGCCTGATGGATGCCGCTCGACATCCAAACAAGTCTCCCGTATCTATGAGAGTCAACGATGTTAGGGATACTGACGAGGAAGCTAAACGCTGCGCACACGTCTTCCCCCCTCATGAAGCCCTGAATTCGAGCCACCTAAAAAGCCCGCGAGCTGCCCCTGTTGCGAACCAACTGCGATTGCCGAAACCACCCCACGGAGTCGGACATTTTACTTATTCTTATCGACCAGAGCACCCCATTGTATGTCTTATTCCACAAGCCAAGGGGATGCAGCAGCTGTAGGTCACAGTCGCAATAGGCATAACGCCAGCGTGGTCTCAATCGCAATTTGCTGTCAGAGCAGTAGTAAGCGATCTCATGCAGTGCCCAGATTGGAATCCAGAACCTGATTTCGGAGTGGTTCCATCGCCATCAGCGCAGGTCATCAGCACTCGGCTTAGTAGACGGCAGGATACACCGGCCCAGACAGGGAACCATTAAACGTATGTTTTTTGACATGTGAAAGATTCCAACAATGTGCTGGTAACGCTTTTGCATGGTTGGGCTGTGGGCTTATGTATTCTTCGCGCGAACTGAAATCCGAGAAGAGACTTACACGTGCACACATGGAGTCAAATCTAACAACTGTTCAGAGGGAATGCATCAGATGGCTATCTATGAAGTTCTTAAGTAGGAGGTGCTCCGCACAACGTGGTTCGTGAGCATGAAAGTCGTGAAAATACCTTTGTATGTCGCCACGAAGAGTTGTTGCACGTCAATCAACCCCATATGGGTTTCAAAGTTCCGGCGAGAGTTCTACAATGCCAGTGCGCTTGTACCTCCCTCGAAGTTAATTATCAACCAGTAATTCTGTAAAACTGTCGTACAAAGTAGAGCGTCGGATGATTGCACCGTGTCTAGTTAAACCACGTTAGATTAATGTGGTGATCCAAGGCACCGCACAAGAGAATCACGTGTGAAACATTAAGTTGCCAGTAGAATCTCGCCCAACTAGCCCAGACTGCGCGTTGTACTCCCCAGACGTCTGTCACGCCAGAGCTAATATTTCATAGCAATCCCATCTCCTAAGACTTATATGATGTTGGAAAGTCGACATTATGTATTCAAGCCAACATGCTGTGATCTATGTAGGCTGATACCACGCCGTAGTCTTTCATCCTAGGTAACGAGGAGGATTCAGAAGCAAGCTCTTATGCATATTCTTGGCTCGAGCCCAACTGAGCACTTTCATCGTAAAGGGCACGATAAGACCATACCTTGAAGACATGGTGACATGAAGCCTTTGGTTAGCAACTCCTCAGTTCCATCATCAACGACAGTCATCATCAAAGCCTTGCACAACACTGCCAGTGACTATTCCAATTTTTCAAATATAAAATGGAGCGAAATCGTCCCAGAGTTTTCAGATCTTTCCACAACTCAACACAAGGATCGTCAGCAACAGCCTCCCAGCAAGCCCTACTTACAGATACACATCGAAAGATTTCGTTCAGCATCACCAGAGTCCACTCCTTGACCGATCCTTGGAAAGTCGCGCCAAAAGAGGCAGGGTTGACATAAACCCCAGCTTTGCCGTACGTTAACTTCGACTGATGTCTAGACGTGACACAGAACCCATCAATCCTTCTACCAAGATGTGTTTCGATTCTTCGAGGTCGGAGGGACATTCGTTACAGCCACGACCGGTCGAACTCCAGCCGCGAATACGTACCCGGCAGGTTAAGCCACTGGAGCAACTGGGATACTATGCTCAAGAACTCCGACAAGGAGATAATCCCATCTATGATCCAGGGACTGGTCACCTAATCAACTTTTATACCATCCGGCATCGCAACCAAACCAACGAAGACGCATATATTGCCATACTGGCTGCGGACCCTGCAATGGGCGGCGTATTGTATGGATAAATCTACCCTTTGATATTCTCTCGCGATAAAGAGATGATGTTAACTTATTCGCAACCGTCTAAATGAACCGATCCCGCTCTCTTGGATCATCAGCCGTACCCCATTCAATATATCATGATACATGAAGAAGATAATGCCCCTCATGGGACTATTCAACCTCCAGCCCACACATCAGAACGGCAACTGACCGAGGAGGAATGTGTCACAGGGTTGTCCACGAAATCTACACCGTTCGAGACCCTCGACCCATAGGCGAACGACCGCTCGCCGCGGACATCTTCCTAAGCTTCTGGCACTTTTTCCTCGGCCAACCCATAGAATCTTTGCAGATGCTCTTTTTAGATACCGTCCAGGAGGCTACCATGATTGACGCCATACCAGATATATACGCACTTATGCACAAGAATGACCTCGGTCAGAAGTTAGTCGTCCGACGCGGAGGCGATCTGGATGGAGAAACTCATGCTTTCAACCTCGGCTTCCATGGCACCCAATTCGGCAAATGTGGGAGGACTATGGAGAACGAGAACGAGGTGATGAGGGCGTTTGGAATTCACGTCTCGCGGTTTGAATTCGATCCACGGGATCTCGTAGGTTCCTCTCACAACGTGAAAATCTACTTCGAAATGGGTGCGAGCTACCACCACCAGCAAGTGGCCCCGAGCCACCACCACCGGCAGGCGGTCACCAGCCACCACCAGCACCACAGAGGACATCGGAGACATCATTGAAACTTGTCTTCCGCGGGATGATAAATGGCATGCTTAGCATGAACGTCTTTCTTTCTCCCATTAGTTTTGGTCTTTTTGGATTCTCGATGATGCCCAGGTAACTAGCCATACGAGCCTGCGATGCTTTAATAATGAACTGCTTGTTCCATATCTTCGTATCGACATATGAGTGAGTGCATCAAAAGATACGATCTTTCCGACCATCATGTACACAGTTGGTAGCATGCAGCATTCTCAACGAGATGGTATGTTCTTAATGTGATTAGGTTCGGTGCACCACAGTCGTTCCAATCTCTGGGCTGGGCAGCAGAACTTGACGATCTCAAGAAAAGTGATCAAGAACCGCCCATGTGGTGAGCTTCTTCAAAAGAATCACAGAAAGTTGTCTACAGATATACCATGAATCTCCCCACCCCTCGCTTGGAGAGCTTTGCATAGCCTTATCTCATCACAAAGTGTTGTTAGTGCCTGACTTTGACGTGCGGTTGAGTCCCGCGCATTGCACCCACCGTGGGGTCCTGCCCTGCGTTTCGCTGGTGGAGTTACATACACACATTTCCCATTACATATTGTACATCCATGTTTTGAACCAAGCAGATGCAATGAATCAAGCGAGCGTCATTCCAGGCTGCAACGCCAGAAACTTCGGAGTCCAGGCTCTCCCCAGCCCATTGTTTCATTCGCTGGCGCCGTGCTCACCGTTGTGATTCCATGCAAAATAAATCTGAACCTAGTGAATGTCAGACTCGGCTCACTGGGAGACATGTTGCTGGAGTGCACTGTACGCTATCGCCGCCTGCATTCAGCATCCACCGTTTTCGGCATGCGTCGGCCGCATCTCCGAAGTAAAAACACTTTTTATACAAACTGCAACATAATATCCGCTGGACATGTAAAGGAAATCAATGCATTGAGTCGCTATGAATCAACCAAAAAGTCCCGGAAGATCCAAAAAAGTATACGAGGTCATCAAAATCCTGCATATGAGCAACGAAGTTTGCTCGATCAAATGAATCAATATCCTACCCGTTGACCGCACTCCCTTCCCTAACCCGAGTCTACCGATCATAGTCAAGCGCGACCACGAAATGGAAATCCGCGCCTCGTGGCCCGTGGGGAACAAATTTGAACTGTACGATTCGGGCGTGGCCCTCCTTCATCTCGATGTATTCCGTAGCAATCGTTCTCACACATTTGCCCAGTTTGGCTTCTCCATGTGCCCGGTCGAACTCCTCTCCCTCGATCCCTCCGCTTTGACTTCGAAGGCGGACAGTTCTCAAGGACCCCTTTTGGAGAACGCGGTAAGCGTGGTCCCTGACTCTCTTCGTTGATGGCTCTTTGACAGTCTGGAAAATGATCTCCCTCAGAGATCTGACGGGTTTCTGAGCGAAGTGTTTCCAGAACGAGAGGAGCACGTCACTTGCAAGCGGCCTCCGGACTTCCCCTCGAGTATCTCTATCGAGGTACAGCTGAGTGACAATCCTGTGTGGTTTTCAGTGTTAGCAATGGCTTCAGTATGTGAGATGTAGCGCCAGTCGATTCAACACAGCTTGTTTCCCATCTGCTGCTTAGGCTTCCAGTCAGTGGAAAAAATAAACCAAGTGACACGAGCGGGTCAGATAAGCAGACAGAGAGCAAGACCTGAGAGCCTCTCGATAGTTACATGAAAATGGAAAATGGAGGTAGGAAAGTGCATTACAGCGAGTTATGTGACACCCCTAGCATCGCGATGACTTGACCGCCCATATAGTCCACGACTTGATGAAGTATTATTTGCTCTCGAGTAATCGGATGACTTCCGAGCACCGACTTGTTGATGTCGATTCCATATCCGTGTTGTTCCAAGGTCTTGACGATCCGCCGGTTGTTGTGGGGCCTTCGTCTGGGTTTGGGTTCCCGACCAAAACACATGCTGATAGAGAGATTGTAGTTTCTAGTCATGGAGCTTTTATCAGTCGAAGGATCTGGTAGTCTTCCGGAGATGTGTCTTCACTGTACCTTCTCAGAAGTGAATGGTGAAAGTGTTATCACCCAGTAGATTACCCTGGTGTTGAAGAAGTGATGTAGGCGTATGTTGGCAAGTAAAACATGCAGATCCTGTACTTGATTTGATGCAGTGGACACATTGGGAAGCCATAGGAAATTTCTTCGTGCATTTTATACTGGTTGATTGACGACGGTGACTCGTCTTGACGAGCCAGACATTGACAGCGGTTGCTGGAAGTCGAGAAACTGAGGAAGAGGTTGCTGACCAGAATGTCCAAATCACTGTGCCGTTTGAAGCCATCATGGTATCCTGCTGAAGGACTATCATCCTATGCCAAAATGAGTTCGGGATGGTTTGAAGGTCTCGCTGTACCTAGAAAGCTGTTTCGATTGAAGAGCAACTTGAAAACTTTCAAACGGCAGGAGGAATATGAAACGTAGGGCTGAACTGCGCCTGACTTTATCAGAGAGTTGGGGATGGAATTCATGTTACATTGAGTTTGTGGAAGTACGTGGCTGAGCGCATATGCTGATCTGAAGAGGTCTGATATTACTGTTGCACCCGTGAATATGTTGTGCATTGACACATTGTGGCTTGGATGGATATCACACGGTAATAGTTGTTCAGTAGACACGGCAGATTTCGAGGAGCCCAGTCGGTTGATTCACTTGAAGGACAGAGCAGTTTCGCGATCAGTATGTCGCCGCGATCGTGAAAGTCAACCAGGCATCTAGACTTGGATTTCGTCAAGCTTAGACAATGGCGATATACTCATATTTCTCATCTTCCCACTTCCAGGCATTGCATGTGATCGCCGTAACATTTCCAGTCCAAAATGTTGTGTCCTCCGAGCTTCTACAATTTTCAAGGGCCGCGAGTACATGGCTCTCCTCAGACTGAATCCAGGTTCGGCTCAGGGCCACAACTAATCAAACAACTTGCCATTTTGTATTAAATACAACAGCAACGTTGAACCGACACTGGAATTTGAGCAGCCACTAATTCTGTGACACGCTGGAGTTATAACTTCCATAGATTGAATATGGTGCCGTCAATATTATGGTCTTCTCGTTTACCTGTTCTTGAGTATCCCAGCATGCATGTTGAGTACACGACTGCAATATGTTCGCCGAGGTAATCCCGTTACCTTTTCATATTGATGTTGCTGTCACATTTCCTCAGTTCAGGGATTGATGATCAGTGTTTATATGTTCTATGTAAGTTCGTCCCCTTCATCTGGACAACACCTCGGTTTTGATATAAACCATGCTCTCCACGGCGCACCCTTGGTGCATCAGGTATGGGTCAAGATCCACTGATTCACTGCCCGCATTCGGGGGACTAATTGAGCTACTGCAGATGCAATGAGAGCTAGACCAAGTCCCAAGAGTTTATATGCTGACACAAGGGTGTAGCGCTTATTTATTACCCCATTCTTCGATAGAGGAAGCGCTAGTGGCTTGGCATAGTAAGCTATATTATGCCATTTACCTGCTGATATTGTGTGCTGGTCACCGAGCTGGCCGGAATACTTCAACCAAACTGCCCGAAGTTCGCCATGGTCATCTGTTCTGTCCTTGTCCCCGTCACAAACCTCTTTTCAAGACTGTGATCTATTCCGCATCTACATCACAATTATCAGTCAAGACGCAGGAGCATTATTGAGATTGGCGTATACGGTAGTCATGTCTTCCAACAAGCCAACAATAGTCATCATTCCTGGAGCTTTTGCTAGCCCAGAGTGCTACAGCCAACTCACCACAGCTCTCGAGGCTCACCAGTACGAGGTCCATGTCCCAAGTCTTGTGACAAACAACGAAACTCGTCCACCAAGTGGAGATCTGAAGGATGACACGGAGTTCATTCGGAGCTACGTTCAGGGCCTTGTTGCAAACGGGCGTAGGGTTGTGTGTATTGGCCATTCCTATGGAGGTCAAGTTATGACCAACGCTTTGTATGGACTTGGCTTTGAAGATCGCTCTGCGAAGGGTTGGGAGGGGGGTGTCTGTGCTTTGATTTATATGGCTGGCTTTGCCCTGTCTAAGGGACAATCTACCTTCGACAACCTTCAAGAATTCGGAATACCGGAAGACCTTGGGCGTGTGGTATTCGATATGGCCGAGGATCAGACTATGATCCTCCGTGATCCCATCACGTTCCTAGGACTCAATGAGCCTGGACTTGGAGAGGCTGAGATTGAGGCATATGAAAAGACTCTACGTCGCTGGAATGGAACGGCGATGACGCAACCTCTGGAGCAAGCGGCTTGGAGGGAAATCCCTGTCGCCTATATCCACACCACGAAGGACTTCCCGATCCCTCTCCTGGCACAGCAGAGCATGGTCCGGTTCCTTGAGAAGGAAGGCCGCAAGGTCCAGACATTCACCATCGAGACTGGTCACTGTCCCCATGTAACAGCGACCGAGAGCGTTGTTGACGCCATCAACAAGGTTGTGTTTACTGATGGAGTTGCTTGAGCGGAATTTAGTAAGCGAATGGGATGAATTGAGACACAACGATTGATTTTCGAAAAATAATTAAATGTCTTGTTTTTGGAGAAATACTTTTGTATCTCTTTTGAGTCACAGATGCCACCACCACCACCATACACCCGTGGAAGTATCTCAGATCTACTGCCTACGGAAGATGAAGACACTCTGGAAGTAGATAGCTCTTCCCAATACTGACGGCAGCCTAGATGTGGGGACGAGCAGAGGCTTGGAGTGGAGTTGCCGAATATGTCTAGTCCCATAAAGACATATATCAGCGCATTTATGAACTTGCACATAATCACCCATGTAGCATCCACTGGCATAGCTTCCAGATACATCGCCATTAGACGGGAGGGAACTATGTAGACACCTCAACCTGGCTTTTCAGGACCTTGGACTCATACATGTCATTAAAATAAGGCATAAATCCCCCCAGGGAGGCCGATTGTACTCAACTGATGAAATGGACAGGTGAATTAGGAGGAACAACTATCCATACCCGAGGTGTATGTCACCAGGGATAGTGTTTGAGATTGTGACATCTCCGCGCAACGTACCTTAAGTGACTACACAGAGCCTCGACTTAGGCCAAAATAACTGCTGTAATGTGTATGTGTGATTAAGCGGCTGACTTACAAGATTCATCCCAGAACTTCAATCCGTTTGAATCTGCGCGTCCACACAATTGGGGAGCCAAAGTGCCAACTTCTCTCAGAGAAAGGTTCAGATGGCTATTATATCTCATCATTTTTGGTGCACTATGGCTCGCGAAGCTGGTAATCTGGACAATATTGGGCCATTGGACTTCATTTTACCTCTGTCCACACTATGTGGTATTCATATGTCTGGTGAGAAGACCACAATGAACTAGCCTCTCTATAAACATCAACCCATGTTTCTCGGAACCTGCCGTGCACTCCAAAAATAGCGAAATACTGCGCTGTATTTATCAGGTCCACGTTGATAAATGTAGTGATACAGGGCACCGCGCAGGACGACCGCGTATCAAACATAATTAGTGCCAATACATACAGTCTAGCTTGATGCATCTAGAACAGACTCCACGTTGTACTCCACAGGCGCTTGATATGCCACAGCTTCAATTTGAAAGCAATATCATACCTGAACAGGAATTTCAGCCTAGTCTGTTCGTCTCTATACACTCATAGGAACATACTGTTGTCTTAATAGGTGGATATCATGTCACAGCCTTTCATCCTAGATAACCCGCATAATTCAACTGCAATCCCATGCTCAACAGTACCTTCAGAAAATCATGAGACTTTAGTCCTAAGGGAGATAGCAAAGTCACCCGTTGAGGGGATGGTGACATGCATTATTCGTTTAGCAACTGCACAAATCCAGCATGGTCACTGTCGAGGTGATGCTCATCGCTGCCAGTCACTCTTGCAATTTTAGAGGTATAAAATGAAGCAGATTCTTCGCGAAGTATTCCAAACATTTCACCATTCAACGCGAATTCAATGTCAGGTGCCAATATCGTATGTACAGTCATACACCGAAATACCTTGTTCAGCATCAGCCAATACCATCACTCATTCATTCATACTTGAATTGTCATACCGACAAGAAAGGGTGAAACAGGAACGATGGCCTCACTGTATGATATATTTGACTAACATCTGTACCTGGAACAGGAGCCATAGACCTCTACCACGATGTGCTTCGGCGATTCCAGCAAGAACAGACGTTCGGCACAAGCAAGGCCAGTCGAACTGAGACCCCCTGTACCTAGAGGTATCCGGCACCCTGAGACACTGGAAGAATTAGGATACGTGGTGTATCCAGCTGGAATCGACGACATCTCTGCTATTCCAAGTGGGCCTGGTCAGGCAATCGACCTCTATACAATCTATCATGTTGATCGGGTCTTTCAGGGTCAAAACATTGCGCTGCTTGGTGCCCGCGAGGAAACGGGCTTATTGTATGAATAAATACAGCATCTAAAGCCTTTGCCGCTATGAGGCAAATTCACAACTCTTCATTACTGTCTTACGCCTCTGACCGTTGCTCCTTTTCGAGTAACCATCATTTACATAAACGAATATCCCTGGGATTAGTAATTCCCATGCAACATCTCAATACAGCTGAAACACAAGGACAACGACTAACTTCCAAACTCTCTGCAGGCTTGTTTACGAAATCTATACTGTCAGAGACCCCCGGCATTGGAGTGAGAGGCCACGCGCCGCCGCCATCTTTCTGAGCTTCTGGCACCGCTTTCTTGGTCAACGCATCGAATTGCTACGGACTATCCTTTTCCAAACTGTTACAGAGCGAACCACGGATGTCTTAAGGCGAAAGGTATACAGGAAGATGGGTTACCACCTGTGGGAGGACCTTGATATCCAACGTGGGGGTCGCCGCCAAGGAGAGGTAGACTCCTTCGACCAGACCTGTGACGAGAGCAAGTTCGGCAAGGGTATGAGGCTTATGGAGACAGAGAATCAGGCGATGAAGGACGCTGGAATCCATATTTATTTCCTCAAGTTCCGTCCACATGACGACTCGGGCGTGTTCTACAACTTCGTCGTTGAGTTCCGAGCGCCTTCGAGCCGCCACCACCAAGGAGGACGCCGGAGACGTCATTGAAGATTATTTCCTATGGGATTATGAAGCTCATAAATCCTATCAGAGCCTTCGATTTTTACATTTTGGATTTCTTTTGGGTTTGCTTTCTTTATGATACCCAGATAATTAGCAATACACACATGCAATGCTTCTAGCTGCGAACTATCCACCCCGCGTCATCGCCTGTCACCAAGTGAATGTGAGCGGGGACACAGCTACAACCCTTGGGGTTTTAATGAATACAGACAACGGCGTCAGGGATTCACATCAAAGGGCTAGGATTTAGAGTCATGAATCTCAGTCGGCTACAAGCAGTCTCTAGGTCATGATATCTAGGAGCAGTGTCACACCAATCATAGCGAATAACCACGACGAGAATAGTGTTTACTTCATCCACTCGCCTTGATAATGATATGACCACTAATATCTAGGCCAGACCCTAGTCCTCCCTCTCAGCCGCGCAGTATGGACTACGAGCCCTAAGCCTATCACCGTAAAACCACAAGACGACGACAACACCTGTTCCGATAACCACGAACCCACCCGCCAGCGCCGTTGCCCCAAGGCCGAACCCCAGCGCGTCAAACATGTACGGAGCAAAGAGCGGGAACAAGGCAGCAGAAAGGCTGCGCGCCACGAGGTTCGTCGACACGGCGGACGCGGCATACTGCGTATATGCGTCGATGGTGTAGACCGAGACGCTGGTGGAGCACATGTAGACGCCCGCCGCGAAGACGAGGCTGCCCAGGTTCGGCACGATCCAGTGCACCCTCGTCTCGCCGGACCAGCCCCACCACAGGAGGCCGATCGGCACGAGGGCCGTGCCGATCGCCATGGTCGGTATGCGGAATTCGGGGCGGCCCACGCCGCCGTTGCGGGCCTTGAGGCGGGCGTAGACGCGGTCGCTGAGCCGCCCGGCGATGTTCACGCCGATTATGAGGCCGATGGCGAAGGAGATGTAGTTCAGGCTTCCGATCCTGACGGTCTGGTTGTATTGCGTCGTCCACATCGTGGGGTACATAAATAGGAAGAGGAACATGGTGCCGTAGAGGATTGCCATGTAGCCTGCCAGGAGCTGTATGATGACCTGCGTGGCGAGCATGCGCAGTGGTCGCTGCAGGTTGATGCGCATGTCCAAGATGAACTTGTCCTTTGTCTTTGGCTTCTCCGTTGTGTCCCTGCCGTCTTTTTTCTCGGGCTTCTTGGCTCGCCGCTGCTCGAGTTTTGGCGCGTACGTCTCGTGAAGGAATACTATGGCAAGGGCGATGGTGACGGCGGAAGCGATCGAGATGATCCAGAAGACCCATCGCCAGTCGATGCCCTCCGATATGAAAGCTCCACAGATTGGGCCGAGAGCAGGCCCCATCAGCGGCGCAGCCATGAAGACAGCGAACGCCTTGCCTCTCTCCTCCGCCCGCCAGAGGTCGCTCATGAGCCCGCCGGCGAGGGCGTCCGCGACCGATGCCCCGAACCCGGAGAGCAGCCTGAAGGCCAGCAACTGGCCCAGCGTCCTCGCCGCTCCGCACCCCGTATTCCAAACGACGAAGATGATGCTCCCGACGATGAGGACCGGCTTCCGGCCGTACACCTCGGACAAAGGTGCCAGGACCAGCGGGGCCAGACCGATGCCGATCAGGACCAGGGAGTTGACGAGCAACCACTCGTATGCGTGTGCGATGTGGAGGTCTCGGGAGATGTTCTTCTCCACTGGGGAGAGCATAGTTTCAGAGAGGGGCTGCAAAAAGGCAAAGGCCGACAGGAGGAGTGTTGTGGTCCATTTTCTTGCGGGAGCCCAGTTCTTGGGTTCCCAACGAGGTGAAATGTTTGCTTCCACCGTAGTCTAGGCATTTGTTGAGTCAATGCTGCAAACGGGTGATTTTTAGTTTGGTGGCAGAGACTCACTGATTTGATCTCGTTGGTCTTATCACCGTCTTTGGCTTCGACTGGTGTCTTGTGCCTATCGTCTACATGGGCCAAACTCTCGAGCTCTCCCTGTGTAGGCTCCATCGCGAAGGAGCTGCCCGCAAATCAGTCTAGAGAATGTGAAGCTAGAAAGTCCGGGCTAGCCAGAATTCTTTAGGCCATTCCTTGAAGGAACTGCGTTGGTGGAGGGGGCGTTGTGTCTGTCATGCCGATATCGTCCGATAAAAACGTTCTGTCACCCTCGTGGTGTTTGTGGCACGTTGCCAAGTGTTGTTGGTCGCAAGGCACCCTCGATGTTGGCTTTCGAAATGGTGTTGGACAGGGGCAGCAGGTAAGCAAGGGACGGATGGATGGGAGCGGGAGCCAAGCGAAAATGCCAGGCACCGCTAATATTCCGCCCACGCGTTGCCAGTGTGTCTCAACCGTGGCCAAGTCAGAAGGATCCGCGCTAAAAGACTGGTTGATCACTACCGTGGAAGGGATCTCACAGCTTTCAGCCCTGGCCACAGCTGCGGTTGGTGTCCGGTAACAGGTCCGACATTGGGGGACACAGCATTATTAAATTGGTCCTTTTGAGATTGAGTGGGAGCATTGGCATCTGTCACTGGGCCGGCTAACTGCATGGGGCCTGCACCTGTGGAATCGATTCAGAAGGTGCCACAGATTGAGATAGAACATCTGCGGGACCAGCCGGTGAGACATCGGACAAAGGAAACCCATTGGCGGACTTCTGACTGCACCCCACGTCACCTCATTCGCTTTCTAACACTCGAGGCTACTTCTAGGGAGGGGGGTGTCTGCAGCAAGCGCCAAAATTTGTTATACCTCGCTGCTCGATCAAACCCTGATTTAGGGTCACTTCGAATTCGGGGTCCTTTTGTCAGTTCCATACATGCACATCTACAGGCCCAACCGGCCAAGACCGACCTGCAAGGGTGATGCATTGGTTTCGTCTGCCGGACAGCCACCAACGGCGTGGCGCTAAATCTTGCCCTCTTGTCGAATCTTGTCACAAGCCATTTGGGGAGCCGCACTCCGAGATTCCGAGCCGTCCATTCAGGTCAGGAGGTTTCACGACGACACCGACCCTGCAGCTAGTATTATGGTTATCAGGAAGGCTAACAGCATGTCAATACCGACGATTCATGCACCTATTTTCTGGTTGACAGCCCTAAGATATTACTACGCGCATACATGTAAGCACTAGAACACTTGGAATTCGGCAGCCGGTATATATGGTGGCTCTGCATGAGATTTGAAGAAGATGGCTGGGAAACCCCGATTGCTGGAAAATGGGACACTACCACTTAGGGGACCTCAGCAACAGGGACTTCCGCCGAGAAAATTAGTGTGCGGACCTCAATGCTGCGTCTCGGCTTGGGGTCTTCCACTGGCCACGGCTGCTTTATGCTGGAGTGGATGGTATCTACTGAAGTCAGCCCAACCATTTCTCTCTGTTTTCTTTCTTGGTTGTTGGAGGAAGGGGCGAAGGGGCGGTTTCATATCCATACATGGAGCCTCAACCCAGGATTCGAGTCGAAGTGCTTGAATATCAAGGCCTCTTCTGAGGTCTGCCGATCGAAGAAGTACCATCTCTGGCCTGGATTATATCTGACATAGTAATGGGTGCTCGCGCTCCCCCGGCGGATCGAGTCTGTCTCGACCAAATCATCGGGGCTGACGGTGGTGCCGTCGCAGACTGCAAGCGGTCACTCATCCACTGGGTGCGATAGTGGCTTCCACGCGCTGTGGTAACAATCAGTATCTGTTTCACAATGTTTCTAGCCACCTCCGTCTTCAGTTTTTGAGCGCGGAATATTGATAAATTTGGCAAGAAAAACAAGAGAATAGTGGGATGGCATACTTGACAGCCCTAACGCGCTGTTGCAAGATCTTCGCTGTATCGTTCGGGAAGCTTTGTTGAATGCGTTGAATCACAGAAATCGGACTCGTGTCGATGTGGGCATAGTTGCTCCGGAGCAGAGGCTGAGTTTGATCACCGAAGTTGATCCTACTCCCGACCTTCACCTCATTGTAGCTTTCTCTGATCTGAATTCTAGCTGTCAGCCAAGCGTTCTTGTTCTGTCTGTATTATTCTGTCATCACATGAGTGTATTTGACGTACCCTCCAATCGAATACAAATACTGTTCCGACGTCTTCTAGCTCTGCCTTCAGCATTCTTTTGATGGCTGGTATGTATTTCCCCGCAATAATTTCTCCGTCTGAGAGCTCTGTAAGTTCTGGCAAACGACACATAGTGAAGTCGCGCGAATCAAGCCCGAAACTGTGAGCATCGCCTTGAAGATCCTGCACCGCAATTTCTTTTTCCTCCCAAGTTAAATTGGTTTTGCGATGGTCCACAGACTCTGTCATGAGGTCACCAAATATTTGAAACGGCTTCTCTGTGTCATAGAGTGAGGTCCACTTGAGGAACTGCACTGAGGCCTGCTTCATGATCTTGACTGAGGCTGAAAGGGGCCGCGTTCGTTCAGATACGAAAGTAATGAACCTTTGGTCAACAGAACCTGAGATGAAGTGCCTTTCAAGCGCTTCCGGTAATTTTCAAGGAGTTCTCCTCAGTTTGAGTCCCTAGAAGTGCATTCTTCCAATCACATGCCATACGTAAGTACTTGTCTCGTGTAGCATTCTGCTCTCTAAAGGTTGGACATCTGACGCCGCAAATCGTCCGATCCATGTTACACCGATGGAGACAGTATTCTTGGCTGGCTGCCTCCCCTGTGTAACCTCGTCTTCTTGGAAGCTATCCGCGATGTGCAGGATATGGTCCTTTTGGAAGCTAAGTCAGGGTCTGCACATTCGGCCCACCCCCTGATTCGGCCCACCAAAACGATCCTCCTTATCACATCATCCCTTTAATTAAAGTTACTTTAAATTATCATCATTATTTATAATAATGCATTTCTTTGCATTTATAATGTTTTTAAAAGCATTTATTTTTACTAAGTTATCCTTAATTACGCTAGCATTAATTTACGCCTTATATATATACTTAATTTTAATAAATATAAAGTTTAAGTTTATTTTAACCTTTCTTTTTTTTTAAGGTATTATAGCTATTAATTTATCTTTAAAAACTTAATTCTTTTATAAAAGCATTATTAATTATTAGTTTTTTTTATTATATCTTTTTTAAATTTTCTTAAAGAATAGTTATTAAGTTATAATTAAGTATTTTTATAAATTATAATTAATAAAAGCAATTTATATTTCTTAAAATGCTTTAAAAATTAAAAAAACCTTTTTTTATAGCTTAATAAGTATTAAAGTAATTAATTTAAGTTTTTTAATTTTTATAGCATTATTAAAAATAAATATAAATATTATTTTATTAAAGTTTTTAAATATAATTATATTTATTAATAATTTAGCTATATTAATTAATTATAAATTAATTCCTTATTACTTAAAAAGCATATACTTTTCTTTAAATATTATAAATCTTGCCTTTTAATAATAATAAAGGAATAATTATTTTTTAATATAAGTATTATTAATATAAATATTTAAAAAACTTACTTCCTTTTTATATATTATCTTAAAGCTAGAAAATACCTTTAAATTAAGAGGTTATAATATATATAAGGTATATAGCGGTAAATAAAGGCAATAAATTTTATATAAAAAATATTCTTATATAAACTTTAAAATATAATAGCTTTTATACTTATTTATTATTAATAAATACTATTTTTTAAGGGTATTTAGTTTTATTTAAGGAATAAAGATTTTTTGCAGCTATTTAAATATTATAGCGTTATTTATTTAGCCATTTAATATTACCATAAACTCTTAAGTTTTATAACTTTTAAGGATTTTAAATCATTACTGCTAAATTAACTTCCTCTTAAAAATAATAAGGAAAGGATATAATTTGCTTATTATAAAAATGCATTTAAGGAAAGAAGTTTATATATATAATTTATGGCTTTTTTAAATAATAACCTTCCTTTTTTTAGGTTTTAAAATAATGCTATTTTTCTTCTTGCCCTTAGGTATACCCCTTTTATTAATATTATAATAATTTTTTAAATAAATATTTATAATTGCTAATAGCTAAAAAAGGTTAAACTATTTCTTAATTATGCTTATTTTTACTTTATTTACTTAGCTTAAAATTATTTAATAACTTTATATACTTTAAATCTTAAGATTTTTAATAAAAAAAGCTCTTAATTAATGCTTATTAAAGGGTAATTAATATTTTTAAAAAATAATTATTTAAGCTATAAAAAACCTTATTTTAAAATATATTATTAATAACCTTAATATTACTTAATTAATTACTTAATTAAATAAGTATATTTTTTAAGTTTATAATAACCTTATTTAAGATTTTAAGGTATTTAAATAGCTTTAAATATTATAATAATAATTATAAAGTATAATCCTTAAAATGCCTTAATATAAGGAGGCTTTTTAAATATTAATATTAGCTTAAATCGCCTTAAATACTATATTTATATCTTCTTTTATATATAGCTTTATAATTAATAAATAATAATATATTAAAAATTTAAGGAAAAGAAAAAATTCCATTATAAAGAAAACGCGTAATAGATAATAAGGTGGACTTAATGCGCACGCAGGTGTAGAGTGGGCCGAATTAGGGGGTGGGCCGAATGTGCAGACCCTGACTTAACGGTTGTGTGGGTCCCGCATTCTGCAAGTACCTACGGTACTTTGAGACCAAACAACCTCCCGGGGCTCACTAGAAAAGAGTTTCTCTCGCTCCAGTGTCATCGGAGCATAACTGCGCAACGAGTACTCTTCTATTCCTCCTTGTTCCTATCCACCCAAACGGTCTTCCACATTATATCTTAAACATGTCCAATAGCTATCACGAGGGCTTCGCCCAGGCCATCATTGCGCAAGCCGCGCATGATAAGCGCACTCAGCCCTGGAAGTGCTCGGCCAAACCTAGACCAGCCACTTCTAATTCCAAAGAAGAATGGTACGAGGTCGCTGGCCAACAGGTCAATAAGCACTGCGAAGACAGAGTTGATATCAGAGAGCATGCCTTCCCAATGGGAGAGGTTGATGTTCGCACGAATGTCTTCCCTATGGGAGGGGGCAGCGTACTCACGCATGCTTTTCCCATGGGTGAGCTTTCCGTGCATACGAATGTACTTCCTATTTAAATTGGAGGTACGTGTGAGGCCGAGAGAATGAAGTTTGTCAAAAACATACTTAAACTATACCTAGGTTCTGTGATGAGAAGAATCAGCGTCCTCAAGCCATGAAGGACACTGCACATGGGGTTCGGGAACGTCACGGACAGTAAACGGTTGCCCTCGTGTCTACATAAACTGTCACTTATTCTCGTATTTTAGTCAAGCTAACGTGGATACATTCACTGAATCAAATGATTACTCAAACCTTGAGACTTGGCATTCGGTGCATCGTGCGTCCAAAACCTTTGACCCTGCCAGAGGTATACATGTTGCTGTAGCCGTCGCATCGGGACTGGAGAAAGCACAAGGATGTCAGTATTCTGGCCCCAGCAAGCTTGATCATAGTGCCAACGGAGATTGAAACTCAGAATGGACAGTTGATTCAAAACGGTAACGAGCTGAGACTTTTCTGATCTTGTGCACCTGCATGCGAATCTGAGTTCTACTGCTCTTCTGCAAATTTCATCCTCAACACGGCAAGCAACAGGCTCACTCGCTGGCCGCAGCCGGTTTCGCTGCATCCGAGTTGTCCCCAGCAGCCTTCCACATCAGCCAAAAGGTAAAGGGACCAACCTTCTTCTCCACATTCTTCCATGCCTCATCCGGGGAGTCCGTTTGCGGGTGGTTGATGTTCTCCTCGATGTAACTGAAGCCGTTTGCCTCGTACAACGGGCGGCCGTACGGGGTAGAGTCCAGGTAGAAATCATATCCCAGCTCCTTTGCCCTTTCCAAACCCCAGTTCATGAATTGCTGTCCAACGCCCTTTCGCCGGTAATCGGGGTGAGTGAAAATGATGAAGAGGTCTGATTCAGTGGTAAGCCAAGAGATGAATCTGACGACGTGCTTTTATGGAGTCTACCAACAGAGGTGCGGCTTCTGAGCCACCCGGGCTCTCGGTGCGGAGTGGTTCTCGAGGGCTTTCTCAACGTAGGTGCGTGAGCCATCATCTGGGAACCAGGTCACCTGGGACGGCGGCGGGTCGGCAAACGGGTTCTCCTTGTGAATCTTCCACAAAGAGCCACCCACGACCTTGCCGTTCTCGGTGTCGACTACCTTTTGCCAGTAGCTGGACGGGTCATGGGTGTGCCAGAGCTTCAGGCGGGTTGCAGCCTCATCGATGGCCGCCTCCCTTGCCTCGTTGCCCGTGCCGTGGGTGGGGAAGAAGACGTGGAAGAACTTTTGTGGGGGGCTCTCATAGGACTCGAACATGCATCGGGCGAGGGCTGGGAAGTCGACCTCTTGGTCGATTTCTTGGAGTTGAAGAGCCATGGTTGCGTCGGTCCTGCGTTTGCTGAGAGTGAGGTCCAGGAAGTTGCCGGAGGAGGTTGGCTTGAGGCCAAAATTTCCAGATTAAGTGGCACAGAATACGTGGGTACAGACCAGAATGGGTAAGGTCGTCCAGTGATTCAGGACTGCCGGAACCAACGTTCCAAAGAAGGCAAATCGGAAAGATTTTGCTTCTTGCAAAGGGTCCTTTTGTGTCGCAAGCCACCAACAAGCCAATCACGATGACTAGGTAGGAACGATACCCTGGCACATTACGGAATGTCATACGTTCACGCCCAACTCCTCACCCATGGCCCGGAGAATTGAAGCCATCTCCTCTTTCGCTGCTCACGCTGCTGCCTGGTCCCTACGTATGCTGTATCTAGGTCCATGGGCACATGCATATTAAAGGAGCCTCTCCCAGAGACGTTGCCAAGGGGTTGCAACCAGGACACGAAATGATCGCTACGATCCCGCCTCAACTCGGGAGATACAAACTGCGGGCTTTTTTACACGGCCGCACTGCAGGGACGACTTTCGAGCCTCGGTAAACGTATTTTGCCCGGGCCTAGAATTCTTCACAATCCAGCCAAGGGTCTTCAGCTGGCAATATTTCTCACGCCATCCCAAAACAAGCCTGCAACGGTTCGGACCGTAACACGGCATGCCCCACCACACCAGAGCATTCCCTTGGCTACTTCCCGTCTCTGCGCTTGGCTGCAACTTAATGTGCGGTTCCGCCAACCCACCTGTTCGCTCTCGTATCCGCCCCTATCATTGCGGCCTGCCTATCAGTGCGCCCGCCAACCAGAGCCGACGACCTCGAGAGACATTTGGAAAGATGTACGCATCCGGTGTGAAGGTCTAGACCATTAAAAGAGAGTGGGTGGCCTCTTGGTCATGCCATGGGCCCATGGATCAGCTTGGCCATGCCACATGGCCAAAAGCAAGCAGGCAGAAGGACGCTCAGTGGAAGCAGCCGAGGTAGCCTGCTCCGTGTTCAGTCACTTGGTGCCAGTCGAGCCTGACCCATGCAGCCATGGCACTCACGGCGATCAGTGTTCACGTTCTGTGGCGTACGCCCCGTTGGAGTGAGAATGCCAAAACTCCGTTGGGAAGGTGTGCAAGACATATAGAACAGAATATTCCGCACTCTCCTGGCTGTCAGCCTCTTGTTACGCCGGTGGCTTCCTCCTAAGACGACTAAGTATGCCCGACCGGTTTTGCATTAGCTCCCGCAGGCGAAGCAAGCATCATGGATCTGGAACCCAGGTCTGGGCCGGCCGCCGGTGACAAGAGCCGAGTGAGCTTGGTCATCGTGTGGTTCCTGTTTCTGGCCGCGGTCCTGAGTGTCTGCGCTCGCCTGGGAACAAAATATGCCATGGCTAAGAGACTGGCCTCGGATGATGCCCTCATCATTATTGCTCAGGTTCGTCTTTATCTGAAACCAACGTCCATGATTTTGGGCTTACGCGATCTGGTCCAGGTCACATCTCTTGCCCAGTGCATCGCCATATCATTCGCCGCAACATCAGGGCTTGGGACGTCTTTGGGTGATCTGGCTCCAAGCCAAATTGATGGCTTTCTGAAGGTAGTTCTGTTCCTCACTTGAAAGAGATATTCTCGAAAAGGGACCTGACAGAACTTTTCAAAAGGCTGAATACGCCAGCACGCCATTCCTCCTTCTGACGCTCGCTTTAGTCAAATGGTCGATTTGCGTGTTCATCAACCACCTGAGCCCGACCGCTGTCAACCGCCATGTAGACATGGCTTTCCGTTCAACCATAGGCCTATGGTTCGTGTCTGGCACGGCCGTCTCTATATTTCAGTGCTCAATACCAAGACCCTGGGACTACGTCGATCGCACCGGCTGCACTGATCGGGTACGCCTCTCTCCCTACCTTGCACACCCTCAAGACATGCTGCTAACCTGCGAAGCGAGCTTGGTGGACTTATGTCAGCGTACTGAACATGGTCACTGAGTTTGGATTTGTTTTCTTGTACGTGTGGATCATCGGCAAGCTCCACATATCGGCCCTGAAAAAGACCACGGTTCTTCTGGTTTTCTTGACCAGGCTATTGTAAGTCTTGCCTCATAAACCCTTCAGGTTCGGCTATCTAATACTGCATTTTCCAGTGTCATTGGAGCAGCAGCAGCCCAGCTTGCAGTATTATGGAACGCATACATGAAACCAGATATCACTGAGAGCTTGTGGTTGCCGACAGTGTGTAATCAGATTGTTGTATTCCTGAGTGTCTTGACTGCTTGTCTGCCCTACCTGAGGCCGCTGATGGAAAGTCTTGAATCGGGAATTGTGCACGTGCCTGATGACGTGGAAGAGTTGAGATCATTTGCTAGAGCAGGATCAAGAACAAATTAATCTTCAGACCTTCAATGCAATATATGCACGCCACGTCGAGGTGATCTGATCTTAATAGTGAATACAGCGGTCGGGTGAGCTGGGCTTCGCCCTCGAGTCCAGAGAAAGAAGCAACATGTGAATTCGCCAATTGTCCGCCTCGGCTGACGACGTTCGTTAAGATCTCTCACTGTTCCACGGCACAAGCAGTGCGCATCGGACGATTTCAACTGCCTGCCTGGATCCGATGCCCCGGTAATGGAGTGAGGACTTTTGTGTGCATGATGCAGCATGAGATAGTCGTATGCAGCTGCAGACCGGTCTAGCCACCCGTCACAGCTGACCCCGAGCCGCCCTCCGCGGGCTGCTGTACAACGTGACTCCTCCCGCACGCCACAGGCTCATATTACCAATAGACGACCCCACCAGGACGAGCCAAGATCCCGCGGGCGAACCAGATTCGCCAACTAGGAATCGATTTCAGCTTCAATTACTTCGCAGGCTTTCATTGTCCAGCTCGAATGTGGAAGACCGATAAGTTGCAGATCGCGTTGCGCAATGAATTTGTCGGGCGTGAATTTTCGCGCGACCAATTCTTCCTAGTGTGAGGTTTTGCAAGAGCGTACAGTTTCTGATTGGCCATTCAAATTTGGTCATTTAGCAACAACTACACTGAACCAAGCACTGATATTATTGACTGATCATCGCTCTGATCGACAGTTTTTCGAATGGTTCTGCTCAACGCGATTCTTCTCTAACACCATCAGGTCCTTATTTACCGAAACTCATTGAACCTTTTGCACATCAAAGATGCCCTCCGAAGAGATCACGAAAGAGATGGAGGAGATGGGCGCATTTGGACCCATGGTCCGCGGCCCTGTCTCCCGCGACGACGCTGCCTTGACACGTCTGGGAAAGAAGCCTGTTCTGAAGAGGAACTTTGGTTTCATGACCATTCTGGGGTTCAGTTGTACCATTCTGATTACATGGGAAGGATCATTGATGTTGGTTTCCCTACCACATTATACAATTGCTTGTACCCGTAGCTAACGAAGCTCAGCACATTCTTGCAAGGACTTCAAAAGTATATGCCAATTCCTGATGCGACCTAGCGAAACACGTTGTCATGCTAACACTCACAAGTGGTGGTCCATCAGGCATTATCTACGGATTCATTCTCGTCTGGGCGGGCACGCTCTCTGTGTTTGCAACCCTCTCCGAGCTAGTCTCCATGGCGCCGACCTCTGGCGGGCAGTACCACTGGGTCTCCATGCTCGCACCGCCAAGCTCGCGAAAGTTCCTGGGGTACCTGACCGCATGGCTGGCTCTCACGGGCTGGCAGGCCCTGGTAGCATCAGGTGGCTTCGTGACCGGCACGATGATCCAGGGGCTGATCCTGCTCACCCACCCCGACTACGGCACTGCAATGCAGAATTGGCACGGCACGCTCCTCTTTTGGGGGGTCGTCCTGCTGGGTTTCGCCATCAACAGCGCCATCGGGTCTCTACTTGCCAAGTTTGAGGGCCTCGTCCTGGTCTTGCATCTTCTGGGGTTCTTCGCCATTATGTTGCCCTTGGCCTTGCTGAGTGAGCATGGGGACTCCTCGGCAGTGTTCAACAATTTTTACAACCTCGGTGATTGGCAGACGCAGGGTCTGTCTTTTTGCATCGGGCTCCTCGGTAATGTGTTCGCATTTCTTGGGGCCGATGGGGCCATTCACGTGAGTTCAGCTCTCTCTAATTCGTCGACGCTTCAGTTGCTAACTTTCATGCTCAGATGGCGGAAGAGATCCGTAACGCCGCGGTGGTGATACCCCGGTCACTCCTTACGGGGTTAGCGATAAACGGGGCGTTAGGGTTTTCAATGCTCACTGTCACTTTGTACTGCGTGGCAGTCGCCGACATCGATGCAGCACTCGCGGAGAACCCTTCCTACCCATTCATGTCAATCTTCCGAACAGCTGTCGGATCCACGGCGGGCGCGGCAGCGATGGCTTCCGTCATTGTGGTCATGGCGTTTAGTGCCACAACAGGCTGCGTGGCTTCTACGTCGCGGTTGTATTGGGCCTTCGCTCGCGATCGCGGCCTTCCTGGGTGGAAGATCCTGATGCGGACAAGTCAACGCACCAGCATCCCTCTGTATGCTGTGTTCACAACAACCATCATCGCCATCGTCCTGTCTCTGGTCAACATAGGAGACGCAACCGCCTTCAACGGCGTCATATCCATTTCGATCGCCGGGCTCTTCGGATCCTATCTCATGGCCTCCTCACTCTTGCTTTACCGACGGCTGCGCGGGCAAATTCGCAACCCCAGTCCGGAGGACCTGCTGGTCAACACTGTCGACTCTACCCTGACATGGGGCCCCTGGCGCCTGCCAGGGATTTTCGGGATTGCAAACAATGCCTTCTCGTGTTCATATTTACTGTTCATGTTCTTTTTTAGTTTTTGGCCGGCTACCAGGGAGGTCACACCTGCGCACATGAACTGGGCGGTCTTGGTTTTTGGCGCAGTCATCACCTTCAGCATGGTATACTACGTAACCTGGGCTAGGAGAGTATATTCCGGGCCAATCGTGGAGGTCTGATACACTGGACTGCTACCATGGAAATATCCTTACTATTTCCCACATTCATTGTAGTTTTCGCAGGCTGCCCTTCAACAGATCACACCAGGTAAGATTTCGGGGGGAAAATACTTCAAGCTATCTATTCTTGGAAATGCAGTTCAAGGGCCATACGTCCCAGATCAAGCGGTACCCAATGGGTGCCTGTGCCGCGACAAAACAATCTAGGCCCATCCTAACGGGTGTTGGTTGACCAAGCTCCAGAGCCTGACCCAGCCAAAGGCCCCGCTTTTGTCTTTCGGATCTGCACATTCTCTGAACATCATCCTCTGCTGCACGTCCCAGAAGACCTGTGCGATCACTTTCACTTCTCAGTTACGCGCCTCGTTGTGGCTGAAAGTCGACGACTGTTCCACAACGGCCCCCGGCTGACTTTGAATCCAGCCCCTATCCACGGGCCCTAGAATGAACAACATTGGGGATGAGCCATGGCCACCGGCGGCCCCGGACACGTCATACGGCGACATGGCAGCAAATGAAATACTCGAGGATCCAAATCATCCGTTCATCGTCCATCAAACCCAATTATCCAAAACCAAAAGACGGCAAAATGGTGTACAAAATGGGTGGCGAGCAGCGAGGGTACGACCTGCACAAAGCCGCTGGGGATTGTGCAATCGAGACCCATGGTAGAGTGCTCTTGAAAATCTCGTCGGATGAAGCGATATATTTTTGGGGCTTTTTTCATGGATCTCGCAAATCCCGTTTCGCACGCCACGACGACGGCCCCGCGGAGAAAGCAAATTATACGAGAATGATCGAGGCAATTGACGCACTTCACCACAAACACATCATCCACGGCGAACGTGAAGCTTGATAACATGCTTCTGGATACGGAAGGTAACCTACGACTGTGTGATTTCGAAGAAGGACACTGCGAGGATGAGGATGAGGACCTCTGGGAAGGGAATGTGACGTGGCACTATGTCTCACCGAACAGGAGACGGAGCGGTGAGGAAATGGGGCATGATGCTCCTCCTCGAAAGGAGGATGACTTGTACGGCCTGGGCCTGAGCATCTGGTCACTTTACACCGGCCAGGTCCCGTTCAAGGACATCGCCCAGGATGACCTTGCGCTTAGAGAGGTACTCCTGCAAGGGGATACGGTGAATCTAGGTTTGATTGACGATGAGGAGATAAGGGATATTGTGACAGAGTACCTTCGGCAAGGTGGAGCTCGCGCCTAGTGAGACATGGGAGGGCAGGATGGTGCTCGCAGATTCCAGAGACCTCGAGCGTCTGCCGATTCACGTGAAGACCAATGAGGACAAAATACAAATGAATACCCTTTTAATGCCTAGGTATAGAGTTTTTAAATCTAAAAACAAAACCGGGCTGCTGGACGCAGCATGGACTAGTGCCCATGCCCAAATTATCAGCATCCAGCCCCGAAACTCCCATCCGTCCATGCCGTAGAGATACTAGTACAGAGAAGTGAACACTGAACAGTAAAGACCGGCGAGAAGGATTACCCAGCCTCATCCAAGCTGCCTGCCCGGAAACCCTTTATAGAATCTTTGCAATGCCTGAAGAAGATTATGCCATCTTCTCAGGTGGCACATTGAACAGGTCCGTGCTGCTAGTTGTAGCGGTGTTGACCATGTTCACACTTTCCCTGTGCTCTTCCGTTGCACCCGTGGATGTTGGCTGTACCCGCCGTCCCTGGAACCTACTGGCCGGCCACCCCTGCATCGTCCAGCCCTTCTCGACCACATCGCCGCCCATGACAAGGGTGTGCTCGAGCAGTGCCGAGTCGTCCCGCATCATGGCGCCGCTCAGGAGCCTCGAGCCCGACCGCAGCACACATCGCTCACCGATCTCCAGCCTGTTGAGGTCGAACTTGCCCCTGGTGTTGATGTGCGCCACCACGCTCGCGTCATCGACGACCGTGCGGTCGCCGATCGTGACGAGGTCGGGCTCGGTGAACATCAGACTGGGCCTGCCGTTCGCAAACAGCGCGCAGTCATCCCCGATGGTCCCGCCCAGGGCGCGGAAGTACAAGACCAGCCAGTGCGTCCCAGTCAGCATGCCGAGGATGCCGTGCCCGCGGAAGCAGTACCGGCGCAGCTTCTCGATGGTGAGGTACAGCTGCCAGCTCTGGCAGTAGGGCGACTTGTCCCAGTCGTAGTTTCCCGGCAGCCTGCGGCCGAGGAGCAGCCACTTGGCGCCGACGACGGCGGCGGTGGCGAGTACCGTCTGGGCCGCGGTCAGGACGGCGATGAAGGCGAAGAAGAGGAGGAACATGACGGGCGCGTCGAACCAGCGCTCGCGGCCGAGGATGTGGTGCTGGTCGCGGAAGATGAGGGCGACGATCTGGATCGAGGAGATGGAGGGGACGTTCCAGTAGAGGGCGGTGAAGATTGTCGTCGCGGCGCTGTAGAAGACGATCGTGCCTAGGCCGTAGACCTTGTATGGGGCTTGCTTGAGGTAGAAGGCGCGGCCGAAGGGGGATGTGTCCTCGGGGTCTAGCCCGCTGGTGTTGTCTTTGGCCTTTGTGTCGATGGACGATATACTGGTGATGACCTCAACGTTTTGCTTCTTGTCGAGGTTTGCATCAGACGCGAAGTTGAGTGAATCTAGGCCCCGGCTTCCCTTGCGGGAGACAGTAGGAGTCGTTCCGGTGCTGAGACACACTGCGTCTCCCTTCTTGGAACCGACGTATGTACTGCCGTTAGAGTAGTACCCGTTCCTCTTTGCGAGCGCACCTGATCCCATGGTGGTCTTCTCGCCGACGACCACGCCCGGCAGCAGGGTGACTCGATCGGCGATCATGGCGCGGTCCTCGATCTTGACGGGCTCGGAACCCAGACCATCGGACGTTACGAGGTTTGCACGAGACCCAAAGACGACGTCGTTGCCAATGTTCAGCAGGTGGTAGTCACCGATAGAAGGCCCTGTGCCAGGCCAGTAGACCCGGCGTCCGACCCGGGCACCAAGCATTCGCAGCGCGATGGACGTGTACTCGTAGTGCTGCCCGGTGAGCTCCGTCATCTCGTGCAGCCTCTTGGCGCCAAACAGGCTCTTCATTACGTTCATCCTCCACTTCTGCATCTCACTCCTCACCTTGACGGGGCCGGGCTGCATGATGCCAAACATCACGTCGAGGAACCATTTGACGACGAGAGTGAAGCCGAACAGGACGAACGGGCTTAATGAAACCCTCAGCACGAGGGCGAGGTAGTGAAAGCCCACCCTGTGCGTCGCGGCAAACCACATGAGGATGCTGAACAGAGGGTTGTTCGTGTTGACGGGCTCTGAGATCACGAGGCCGACCAGACCAGCGTACCACGGCATCAGGCTGACGATCCAAGCGGCGATGACCAGCGGCCTCGTGATGAGCCATTCGAGAACCCAGTGTACACCCGGGATCTTGCTAACAAGAAGATCACGGTTGGCCTCGTCCGCGGCGTCCTCGACCTCCCAGCTGGAGCTGTTGGGCCCGATGCACGCGTCGTCCGGGACGGACGTGCCGGGCGCGACGATGGACTTCATGCCCACGCAGGCGTTGCGGCCGATGCGGATCCTCCCGAGATACATAGTAGTATTGCGCTCGCCCGCGAACGGCCTGACGGTGCAGTTCTCGAGCACGGCGCCGTCGTCGATGTGGATGAGGTCCCACTCGCCCGTCTGGACGCCCTTGAGCTTGACCCCGGCCCCGATCTTGGCGCCCATGAGCCGCAGGTACAGCACGTTGGTGAAGTTGGTCTGCGCGAAGAGCCCGTGGCCGCAGATGTCGACGATCTTCTGGACGAGCCACCACCTCGTGTGGTACGAGCCCCACATCGGGTACGTTCCCTCCTTGTAGCGCCCGATGATGAGCCACTTGGCCGCGATGCCGAACCACGGCGCGACGGCCTTTGTGGCGATGCGGGCGACGAGGATCGCGAGCGTCAGGTTGAAGAGACGCCCTGGGACGTACTGCGTGGTGCGCCAGTGTTGTGTTGTTGCCATGAAGACCATGAAGATGGTCCACTGTACTGCGCGGCGGATCGGGTAGATGACAACCATGGGGAGGAGCTGCAGTGCCATGAGCAGAGGGCGCTTGGAAGAGTATGTCTCCTCGCATCCTTCGGCAATGAAATCTTCCTCTTTCGAGTGTTGCGTTGACGCATCCCAGTTGTCAGGCAACCGCTGCCGTATGTCAGCCGACATGGCGTCTGGCGTGCTGTTCTGGAAAATTGCGTCGATCGGGATGTGGACGTTGAACTCTGCTCGCAGCACGGACAGCAGACGACCAGCTCTCAGAGAGTCACCACCCAAGTCAAAAAAGTCTCCACCTGGAGAGATGTCACTGGCACTCAAGCCCAGCACGGATGCAAATGCCTTGGTAACTGCGCCAATGATCGAGTACTCTCCCTCCATAACAGAGGCGGATGCTTCAAGCTCGTCAAGGAGTTTCTGCAAAGCATCATCGTCGACATTCCCGTCATCATCCTGAGGAAGGGGTGTCGGCAGTATTTGTATCTTTTGGGGTATCATGTATCCGGCAATATTCGCGTGAAGCCTCTCTTTCAAATAACCAGGCAGACTAGCATGCACAGGCGGCGTCTCCGGCGTCGATGGCGCGAGAACAACGTGCAGCGTCTTGTCCAAAGGAGTTTCTCGCAGACAGAATGCACTTTCCGACGGGATTATGCTGGTGAGCTCCTTGAATAGGAGGTCCAGGTCGACGGCGCAAGGGGTACACTTGATCGGAGTGGAGAGTTCCGTATCAGGCGCGGGACAGACCCCTTCCCAGTGTCTGCTCAGGTATGGCCAGTCATCTGTGATATTGGGTAGAGACAGTCGCTCGGCAAGCTTGATGCGCATGACCTTGTTGTTCCGCTTCGGGAGATCTTCCATGTAGACAACCAGAGTGGGCCACTTCACCGACTGGAGGCTCGACTTCAGGGCGCTCTGGAGCAGCTTGAGGTCGGCACGAGGCACTTTCTCAGGAGTCACCAGGACCACGCCGACTACCTCCTGCAGCACATCGTGCGGGACGGCAAAGGCAAGCGCCTGATTGACACGGCCGTACAGCGGAGAGTCGGACTTGAGCGAGGCTGCGACGATGGCATTCTCAACCTCGAATGGCGAGATCAGCTCGCCGCCGCGGTTGATGACCTCCTTGCTGCGCCCTGTGATGTACAGGTAACCGTCGTCGTCCATGTAGCCCAGATCGCCCGTGTCGAACCAGCCATCCTCGTTGAGTGCAGAGGTGTCAATTGTCCCGTCAGGCTGGAGATAGCCCGGGAACAACGGCGCACCGCGGACACAAATCCGGCCAATTTTTCCCGAGGGCACAATGACAAAGTCCTGGTCGAGGATCTTCATCTCCGGCCCAGCAGTTATACCCGACGTGCCGGGGCGGTCGAGTTTGTAGTCGACGGGCGGCGTGGAGATGGGCATGCACTCGGTCATCCCGTAGCTCGGCAGGACGACGCAGTCGAACGTATCGCGGATCTGGGTTGCCAGGGACGGCAGGAGACCGCCGGCGGCGTTGCATACGAGCCGGATCTCGGCATTGGCCAGGGCCTGGAGCCGCTGCGCCGACTCGGCAAGGATCAGGGAATGCATTGATGGCGAAGCATAATACCACGTGGGCAGCCCTGTCTCGACGACATCCCAAAAGCAGTTCGGGTCGAACGCCGGGCAGCAGACGGTTGAGCCGCCGGAAAAGACCGGTGCGAATATGTTGCGGATTAGTCCACCACTATTGAATGTTAGTATGGGTTGAGAGCGGTGAGGTGTAAGAGTTGGGTGATGACTTACACATGATAAAGAGGCATCATATTCAAGCAAACATCCTGCACAGTCAAAGCCCAGGACTCAATGACAAATGCAACGCCGGCAACGATACTGTGCGTTGTTATTGGGACAACCTTCTTCTTGCCCGATGTTCCACTAGTGAACAAGATCAGGGCAACATCATCTGGCCCATTTGGCGGTGTAGGGTCTTCGGCCGTAATTTGCTTTCCGTCAGGAGATGTGATGGCAATTTTCATGTCCTCATCAAGGTTGACTAGTAGTACCAGGAGGTTGTTTTCTGCGATCCATGCTCCGTCTAGCCCAAGTTTTTGAAAGTCCTCCTTGGTCGTCAGGATGCACTTGGCTCCCGCCTGGAGCACATCTGCTTGGAATTGCTCCGCTCCCGCAGCCGGGTTTACCGGAGAAGCGATGTAATGGGTGGTGACAGCCATGCACATGGCGGCCAACAGTGGGCCATTGGGCAACGCAATAGAAACGACTGGCTTGCGCGGGCCTGGGCTGTCTAGCGGAAGAGAGAACCCGCTCACAAGCTCCTTGAGGTAGTCATGACAGATGTATCTGTCAACGCTAAGGACGCGCAGAGCTGCTTCTGGCTTGTCCGGGATGAAATCAGCCATGGACTTGTATGTCTGCTTGATCTGGTTTGCCGTGTGCTCTATGAGGTCCGCAGAGTTGTTGGGGTCTGCGAACGGGTTGTCGCTGCGAGACGAGCGGCTGAGCTTCGAGTGATGCCGGATCAGGTCGAGCGTTGCCTCTGGACCAAGGCCCTGCTCCAGTGAGCGGGACAGTTTCTGAAGAGACTCCCATGACTCCCGTAAGCGAGGAGACTCGGGGATTGACGAAAGACTCTGAGCCATGGGCTCTGAGCCTCCCAATTCTTCGGAAGACATCTCGTCTAGGTAAACAAAGTTTAAAACAGTAAAAGAGCGTGGGTATCAAGACAGATTTCCAGTAGTTTGAAAAGAGGGAGCACGAGTCAACAATTGTGAGAAAACATCAAGTCTCTCAGAGCACAAGGCACGTAATATAGTCGTCAAGACTGTTGGCCACATAGGAGGAGTCCCTGTCTCCGTGTGACCGAGCAAACTGAAAGATCTCGTGTGTGGTGTGTAGGTGACGTTCGCAGGCTGACCTAAACCGGCATGTCGAGGTCTGTCAAGCTCGCGTTCGTGAACCTTGTGTCCGGTCAGTCGTAGCCCCTAACCGACGGATGTCACCAGCTTCTTGCGTACCTTGGTCCCATGTAAAGCTTGTAGTTGCAGTTGCAAGTCTGTGCAACGTCGTATAAACGAAGGAGTGTGGCGAGGGCCGTGCAAGGCTTCGAGATGAAAGGGGGCTCAGAGCAGGTGATGACCCTCGAAAATGACGCCGTCTGGCACTTATGCAACGTCTTGTGAGCGAGTGAGATGATTTCGGCCAGTATCGCACAGATTACGGTGGTAGCCCAACAGCAACAAGGTGGAGGAGGGATAGGCAGATTCGAGAGGGACGAAGGTGGTTTTGTTCCTGCGGTAAAGGTCGCCATGGTATTTACGAGACCAATACCGAAAATAACGCGAGATTGTCGACTATGGGGAGCTGCTAGATCTATCCCACATCCCTTCCCGGTGGGTGGGCCTGGAACATCGCCGTTTGCCTCATGGCTCGAGTACATGGACACCCAGCACGAGGCCAGCACATGATACTGTACTGCAGCATGGCCCAGGACAACGGGAGAGGCACAAAGCTCGGCGGATCGACTTGCTAAAACAAGCCAGGCGCCAGTGGAGCCCCCATAACCCTCGGTCGCCCGTTTGGAGCTCGAGGTCATCACTCAGATCGAGCGTCGTGGTGATACTAGGACAAGATCACAGTCCTCAGAGACAAGACGTCGATCAGGGCCCAGGGGTGGGGCGCCAAGAAGCATTGACTAGTAGATTGTTGCTCCTGTGCTACCCTCGTCCTCGGCCAGTGAGAGGTGGGAGGTGACACTGGAGTGAGGACACATGCGAGGGTACCTCGTCGACTTCGCAGTAGCTGGGGTAGCTAGGCTGAAGGACTCCGTGTGGGATGGCACCGACAAGGGGACATGTCCCGGGACTTGATGGATCCGGCGATTGTGCTGTCGGTCTAGAGGTCTTGGCGGCAGAGGCAAGGATGCGGGCCGTAGCCTCGCCGCCTGGCAGGGCCCGCCCGGTCGGTGTGCCTTTGTCCAGGGCGGCTGGCTAGTCATATTGATCGGGCATCACCTTTGTAGCACTGTCTTGCAATATGAGCCGTCACATCAAGTCACATCAACGGTCTCTCCGTGCGGGACCTAACGCAGCGCGGAGGTTCGGTAGGTGGCACAGTCCTAGAATTAGCTTCACACGATTGCCAGTCTTTGCCGATGGACTAGAAATTTTTGCAATATAGTGCTGCAGCGTTGAGCCGGTCATCTGGGGTGATAGTACAAAGACAAATATTATCCTGTGTATCGGACGATGGGTGATTGCCGCTGTACTCCTGGATAGGATGATCGGTGATCGTGAGTGACCCGAGTGAGTGACATTCCAAGGTTGTTGTTCAGATTGCATTTGTCTGCCCCTGTGTAGATGAAGACTATACTGTAACAGACACGGTGCCCAGACCATCTGAGCGTGATATCTGCATAGGGCAGGACGAAGTTGGAGTATACCTTGCGGTCTTGGCAGGCAACCTTCCACGTGCCTGTTCCTCTCCATCCCCTGTTCCCTCACTCTTTTTCCCCAGGGCTGACACCGACTCAAACCCCGAATTGGTATCTCCGTCCATCCCGGTGGGGGTATCCAATGAACGACTCTGTTCACACCGTCCATCTTTCGAGGCCTACCTTGCATTGTTTCGGGTATCTCAGATCCTTGCCAGTCTTTGCAGCGAAATAAAGTTTCGGGACAATATGTCATAATCTTCCTTTCATCTTCTCCTGCAGGGTGCCTTTAAATCTCCAAACAACCCTATTGGCCACTTTAAACAAGACCTTGACACTTCCTTGATGCCGCGAATCAAGCCCCTTGATGATACACGGTATAAAACAGAAAGGACAACGCGTTCGAGGACAAGTATCAGATCATCAAGGTCACTCCCCACCCTGACGCGATATATCAAGCTCATCACGAGGTCTAACGCGTAATTACGCTGCCAAGAAGTACAGGGCTGTGTCTAGGGCCCTTGCTAGTACGTCAATCATGTCCCAAAAGAACATGTAGCTGCCTTGGGAACGGCAATGTAGTAGTACACAGTTCTTCAGGTGAACAGGGGTCATTAGGTGAACCGGCAGGGTCAAATGCAGGCTGAGGAGGCCATGTGAACTATACCACGCACTTGTGCACTTGTCATTGCTACGCATGTGGTGCACTGACAGATTGCCACCTCAACGTCGCAATACCGCCTGCCAAAGTTCATCAAAAAAAAGGCCTTGCCTCCTGCCAAAAAGCAACGCAACCCATGAACAATCCGCTGGAGCCAATAATCATCAGTACAAATATGAAAAGAGGTGCATCACACTCTGTCAACGTGGTGTTGAGGCAAAAGAAATTGCACGCTCCGGCCAATTATCACCATGGCGAACGACGAAGCCCTCACGCAAACCGATCGACTGTGAGCTTCTCCTGAAGGGCGCAAGGGCACTGCAACACTGACAAAGTCCGTCCGTCTTGTCCCCGTATCAATGAGACTTGGGGGTCTGGAATCGAGTCAAGGCGGGTGAGTGCACCTGTGATGATGCCTGTGATGATGCAGACGCGGAAGTACGGACTCCGCCCAGTTCTGGCGCCCGATCAAAGACATTTCCAAACAAAAACAGGGTCGGGCCGCACAGCTGACGAGACGTGGGAGCAGCAGAGCCGAAACACTTTGTTGTCCATCAAAAAATGACTAAGGTAGGGTATCTTGAATAAGTGGCCGCGTCCTGATCGACGGCTCTCAGAAGGATTGGAAACACCCAAGACGAACCGCCGTGGCATTCACATGCACATCTATCAGCGATATCGTTCCAGGGCAGGCAATCCCGTGTGGGCGGGCGTCGGAGAAGTTGCGGCGTCCGCCCGCACGTCATCGTCCCAGCACTTCAGACGATGATTACCCAGCGGTGTCCTGTTGGGCCCGATGTCCAATCTTTTTGTTGCGATTTCCGGGCGGTGTGAACGGCATTACCTACATTAAGGTTAAATTGAATGGATCGGATGGAGTTAATTAAAGTGTCCCGACCAATGTCGAGCCGTGAACACCATCGAGCTCATCCAGCGCCATCGATAGGGCTGTCACTTAGAACGTCGACATGCCTCTCAAACGCGGGGGTTGTTTTCGTGATGGGTTAGGTGCGTTGGTTGCTGGGATGCTAGGACCGGAAAGGATGCGTTTTGGTCTTCAGGTATCGAGAGAGTACCATCCCAGAGCCATGCTTATTGCGACCTCAAGTGTGCTTCTGGATAGTATCATTTCCTATTCCACGTGGGAAGACGCCTGGAGCCGGAGTAGCACTGAGAGGACTCTGGACAATTTGTAAGACGTTGGTAACAAGGAATTTGAGCGCATTTGGTGCGGGCATGGATAGGAATCGAAGCAGCACAAAGTGGCGAATGGGCCAAGCCACCTTGTGCTTCCACCGGGGTCCTTGGCGTCCAGCAACCGTAACGGTGCGGTCTGATTACAAATCCGCGTGACTGAAGTTTAGTGACGTCGGTCGGTCGACAGAATGGTAATCGTCAATGCCATGAGATGAGAATAAGACCAACGTGAAATTGGAGCGATGATGAACAGATGAAAACGGACATTCGACGGGTGATGGTCGTGCCAAGCAACAGCGAAACGACCCAAAGTGTTAGGTATTAGGTTCACCAAGCTCTGGGCATCTGGAGGCTTGGGAAACAAGAACCAGTCAAGCCAACCTTGGATTCGATCGGGTTGAGCCGGCTGTCGCTTAGTAAGCGGAAAGAGTGCCTGACTCACCGCCTGCCAGATGCGGAGCATGCTAAAGCTTTATCGATAAGGATTTTTCTGATGGTGGGGGTTCAGATTGCTCAAATCCATCGCAACGACTCGCCCTTCAAATGCTGCGATCAACACATATCTCCTGGCTCTACCGTTCAATTTCAAGCTACCTCTCGACCAGTGCATATTGAACCGATCAGACTCATAAAGCCCGAATCGTTCTACCGGCGAAATTTCCGAACCTCATACCACAGAGAAGCGACCCCAAAGCCGACAGACCAAACCACTTCGCAAGCATTGAATCACCTTTCATCGAGGGTATTGCTTTTGGAGGAGAACATCCAATATGACGGCAGAGCAAAGCGCCGCGGCTCAGGGCCAGAAGCGCATCCACAGCCTGGTCGTCGATACCGGCCCTCTCATCAAGAACGAGCCAGCACTCTCCACCCTCATATCGGAGGCCGAAGAAATCTACACCATTCCCTCTGTTCTTAGCGAGATCAAGGTAAACTTTCCTCGCCAATTCCATACGGCGATCAATTCTTTATCGGACTGTAAAACTAACAACGTGCATAGGATGAAGCTACTCGAGCCCGAGTTCAGACGACCCTCCTCCCGTTCCTGAAGCTGCGAAGCCCGCGTCCCCAATCGATCAAGTTCATCACGGACTTTTCAAGACGGACGGGAGACCTTGAGGTTATGAGCAAGCCTGATATACATCTATTGGCTCTGTGCTACGAACTAGAGATAGAGCGGAATGGCGGAGATTGGAGGATACGGAATAACCCCACCCAGAAGGGCCTCAACGGCAAGCCTCCAGCGCAAGGGGAGCCTGCCTCAGAGAAGAAAGGGTCAAACGAGGGGGAGGTTGAATCAAAACTGGAAGAGTTGAGACTTGGAGATCAAGCAAAGACACTGGCTCCAGCGGCCGAACAGCAGGTCACTGAAACACCGGTCCAAGCAGAGCCTCAGGTGCCCGCTGCTCAGCCAGCAAGCGAGCCTACCGCAGAGGAAAGCGCAACTGAAGAGAGCGCCAGCCCCGAGAAGAATGAAAAGGTGGCTGCAGGCGAGGTTGTCAAAGACCAAGTTCAGCCAGAGGCCGCGCAGGAGGCGGATGATGCCGAACCAGAAGCTTCCGACGACGACAGCGACGGCTGGATAACACCTTCCAACTTGAAAAAAAAGCAAGCAGAAGACTCTCAAGTTTCTACGCCCTCTGAAATGATTGAGACAACTCTGCAAGCCGCCCTGCTCACCTCCGACTTTGCCATGCAAAACGTGGCATTGCGGATAAACCTCTTGTATGTGGATCCCTCGGACCAGTGCACATTGCATGAATGAACACTGACTGACATATCGCACCAGCCTCGTCTCCCCCTCGAACCTCAGCCGCATCAAGAAGCTCAAGACGTGGGTCCTGCGCTGCTACGGGTGCTTCAACGTGACGCGGCAGATGGACAAGCAGTTCTGCCCCAAGTGCGGGCAGGCGACGCTGACGCGGACGAGCTGCAGCACCGACAGCTCGGGCAAGATGCAGCTGCACCTCAAGCGCAACTTCCAGTACAACAAGCGCGGAAACGTCTACAGCATCCCAAAGCCGGTGCACGGCACGGCCAACGGCAAGATGGCGGGCGTGCAGGGCGGCGGCAAGGGCCACTGGGGCAAGGACCTCATCCTGGCCGAGGACCAGCGCGAGTACCAGCGCCGCGCCGACGAGGACCGCAGGCAGCGCCAGAGGGACCTCATGGACGAGGATTACCTGCCGAACCTGGTTACTGGCGAGAGGACTGGTGGGCATGGGCGGATCAAGGTTGGCGCGGGCAGGAACGTCAACGCAAAGAAGAGGCGCTGAATGGGATATGACCAGGCTGGCGGTTGAGAATTGCTTGGATTGATATTCCTACAACACCATATTTCGGCGTGGCCTTAGGCGGACCACTCACGGGGCTCCGGGTTTGTTATAGAAGTGATGCCAAAAAGACGAACAAAAGTGCAGCTTTTGCAGAGATCCTTATCCAGTTCCATTTTCCTGGCCTGTAAATGAAGCAAAATTTTGCTACGCACCAACGCCTCCCTGATCCCCAACTCCGCCTTGAACTGATGTCGATGCCAGGCCTTGCAATGCTCAGAACATTTCTGCCTTGATTGCCCGATGTCCCACCGCTCTAGGTCCTTCACCTCGCCTGTCGGAGGCGTTTCCCTGCCCAACTTGTCGGTATCGACTGGTCATTCCAACCTGTGCTGTGTGTTTCGATAGCGCGGTACGCTGACAGCTCCACGGGCAATCTTCATGCCCAGGGCATGCCCAGTGGTGTTTTCTTATCCGTCCGCCTCGATGTGTTCGATCGTTTCCCTGCTCTTGCTTTCGCATCCACTGAATTCTGCATTGGCCCACCGACGTAGCTCCTCCCAGCGAAACGGCAACAGCGCATTCGCGAGGACGGGCTTAAAGACCCTGGGGCAGGCGGCCGAATCTCTTGCGCAGCAGGTTGCGGTGCTTGCTCCACTTGTCGTCGGGGGAGAAGCGCGCCGGGTGCGCCGACTTGGTGACCTTGCCCTCGAGGACCTTCTTGAGGGTGTAGGTGCGCTTGCCCGAGGCCGGGTCGACGTTGCACATCAGATGCATCTTGGAGATGTGGTTTTGCGTGAGAAATTGATCGAGGGATTTGCAGGTTGGATGCGTTCGGCGCGAGTTGACTTGTACGCGCAAGATGATGCTTGGGTTGTCGTCGGTGGTGGTGGTGTTGTTTCTTAGCAAAAGGGCGAAGCTGCTCCCGGTCCAAATTTTCGAAAAGCCTCGAAGCTTGGTGGGGCCGGGGTCTGCGCTAGCGCCTCGGCTGGCTGGCCAATGATGGGGCTGGGCCCATGGGGCTAGTTAAGGCCGCTTGGACCCTGAACGTCAACAACACCTCTGTCCTCAAACACGTTTTCCATCAACAAGCATCAGTATTATAACCGCACTCTTTCCAGCGTTCATTTGTGAAATATCTTCCTACTCTTCCACCACAGATATCCTCAAATCTACAAGCATAATTTTCCCCATCTGTAGTCACTGTGTGTGTTTCCTTCTGGATGAGCCGTCTTCGCTTTGTGCACATGCAATAGATGGAACTGCTGGGATCTCAGTCTAACGTTCTTTAAAAATGCTATGTATGGTCAGACGAGTCGTGACGCAGACCGTCTGTGACTCAGTGATGAGCCCTTCCAAAAAAAGAACTCAAAAGTCCATGATAATCATTGTGGCCTCGTCATGGCTCCAGCTCCCGCCCCCCCCCCCCAAGTTTGTTTGTCGGATGGCCCATCATTGGAGACATGCTCTGCCAGCACCGTGTCTATCATCGTCCCCATGTCTCTGGTGTGTTCCTTCAAGTTGGTTAATGTGCACACAGCGACTTTGCTGGTCCACCACGCAGGGTCAAGAGGTTCGCAGGTGGGGTTTCCGAGCCGGCCGTTGTCTTCATCCCTCCCACTCCCAGTACTGGCCCATTTTATATATGAAGATGTCCATGTCGTTCATGAAGATAGGGTCCCAGCTCTCTGTTTGTCTGTTCCACTGCCCACAAGGATGATGAGACCCTAAATCGTACCCATCCTCAGTGCAGGAGAACACCTCCAGCTCCTGTCGACGATGGCACCGCACAACGTCTTGCAAATTCGTTGCATCGAGTCCAGAAAGGTAGATGCCGACTGCTTTTGCCACTCCATTGTTCGAGTCGGGCACAAACTTGTCGCCACAGGGCAGCATCTTGACAGCTTTGTCTGTTCTTGCGAAATTGCCGAGACGCATGCTGATCTTGAAAGCCTCGCTGAATTCTTTGTTGAAGATCATCCTGACCTGGAATGTGGTAGCCTTCGGCATGCTGGGCACTACCATGGCAAGTGCCTCGATGATACTGCTGCAGGTCTCCTCTGCGACAGCGCGTTGAACAGCGGAAGCCGGGTGAGTCCCATCACCTCTGACGTCCATAACCCCCACCAATTCGATGGTCTTCAAATTCGGCCAGATTGCCTTGCTGGCCTCCCGGAGAAACTCCGGCACGACGATGGTGTGGTGGACTTTGAGGCTTACAAGCCTGTCAGTCCATGTGGAAGGCGACGTGTTCAGACATCCCATGATGGGCAACAGCGTTGGGCTGAATATCTGAGGATTCAAATCGTAGACACAGCCAGCCCTGAGATCCAGATGGGTCAGTTTGGGCTTATGGACCTGTAGTGAGTCCATGGCATCTAGAAAGGTCAGTAAAATCACAGCCATCTGTGTTTCATGGAAGAGAAATGTCCATTCGCCTCGTGTGGGGTGTACACTCACTGATGACGTCTTGTGTCGAGACATAGTCAGAGGGCTTCGAAGGCAAAGTCAGACTTGCGTGGTGAATGTTTGGCAGCTTTTGGTAGAGAGAAGCCAAAACGCGCGGGTGTATGGGAACCTTGTCGTTTGAAGGCACTAGTTCATGAATGCTTCCGATGACAGGCACTTCAGGAAACCTGGCGAGGTCACAGGGGTATTCAGGTCCCCTTGAAAAATTTTGTCCCAAGCATTCGAAGTCCAGTCTGAGTTGGACCAGACCTGGTTGTTCCCTGTCTCCATGATTCCAGTTCTTCATGATTTCGAAGAGCGCGAAGAGGGTATGCAGACGTCGGTGGTAGCCAGGTGTGGGCGGCATGTAGTCGCTGAATCTCAATGTGATCCGGCTCAAGCGACCCGATCGCCTGCTGCAGATGGCTCCAAGTTCATCAAGTTCCTCTGCTCCGGGTCCAATTTTGATGCACCTGAAAAGCCGCAGCTCGACAGCCCGATTCCACTCTTGGTCAACACAGGCGTATGGGCTAATGTTGTGTTTCAGTGGCTCGTTTCGACGGGGCCAACCAATGTAGGGTGCAGAGTCCAAGGTTTCTTCGATCACTTGTAGTCGAAGCTCTGGCGGGAGCTGAGAATATTTCGGAAAAGCCATCATGGCCGGTGGAATGATTCCAGAAGTCGTCTTTGTTAGGTGTCGCCGCATCAGCAGTCTGCTGGGCCCATCAGTATGGAGATTTTGGAAGAAGGCTGGATCAGATAGAAATGGGTTATAATGGGAGGTTTTGGGAAGAGTCTCCATAAAGTCGCTTTGCTAATGGCACAGATCTTTTATATTGCGATACACCAGCAGAGAGTGCATCAGCATTTCATTCACAGATATGATCATTCACAATCACATTTCTTCAACTCTGTGAATATTGAAGTTACTTGGCAATACTTTAACAGGCTGGTTGCGCTTTTATAGCATTATCATCGTCACTTGAGTGGAGTCAGGGCATTAAGCTTGTCCTCCTTTCAGGCTTGCGAGTCACGCTTATTTACTCATTACCAACTACGATAGTCGCCATGAGGCAGCTTGAAATCACATTCCAGGTATGTCTAGATGAATCATGATTGCATTTGTCCCTAGGTGGTTTCGCCCCTGTTTGACCCTATCTAGGCATTCAAAGCATACTTCCTGGAAAGCTTGCTGCAGAAGAACTCTGCTACCATGGCCGTACCGTAATTTAACATGTTTGCATTTAGTAAATATGAACAATGACATTGGATTATGACAGCTGTTCTATGACATGGACCCCGTACTTGGTCAGCCATCGGTTCAGGTCGTCCACCAGTTCCCCAGCGAGAGTTGAATGGAGCAAGAATTCACTCCTCCCAGATAGACTTGACAAACGTGCATCTTCCCTATACGCCGGCAGTCATGTGTGACACTGATATTACAGCGTAAGGTATCTATGCGCTTGGCAAGGTCACATAGCCCCCAATCAATACCTGAAACAGCAAATTCCTAACAGGGGTGATTCTATGGCATTGACAAATGCATACGAGTACGCTCTTGTGACCATTCTCAGAAGTTTTCGTGTGAATTGGACTGGCCCGAGACTGACCCTTGAATAGAACAGCTCCGGGAGCAGAATTTGGGTTCGACAGACTAGAGCCTCCTAGAGCGGACGTAGGGCAAAATGCTCAGTGTTGGGAGCTCCATTGGATTGCAGACTATGCCTAGATGGATCTCACGGCCAAAACCCTCACTAAATTCCTCATAGATGTGAAACAGAGACTTGAGGTATTGAAAATGGTAATGGGATGACTTGTGGAGGAGGCCACATTAACCATTTCTCTCTTCCTTCTATCATAGAGCAAGGCCGAGGTATGGAAGTAATTACGTAGTATCTAGCATCCGTACGATATGTTAGCATCAGCTCAGAGCTATGGTCCTCTTGTCCATTGAGGAGGAAGGACAATAGGATGAAGATTTTCATTGCCATGCGAAAGTTGCCGGCCTGTGAACCATAGCCAACAAAGTAGCGACCAGCGCTTACCCGAATCGAGTGGTCCACAACAATTGAAGAGCATTTCCGCCCATGACAAATCTTCATAATTTTTCCAGCTACCAATTTATGTAAACAAAGATATGGCTGATGGAGTTTAAACTCGTCTCACCCGTAGGTCACAAGACCAAGGAGCCGAGTAGACTAGATATCTTTCTCAAAATGTCTGCAGGGATTGGGCGTACTTTTTGGCTAGAAGTCTGCCAATTTCTGCTGATTAATTGTGGACTTCAGTTCTCTTGGCCCTCCACCACTCCTACTCCATTGGGATACTTAGACAGGTTGCTTTCTGCAGGGCAACTGTGCACCGCGCTGGTGGTTACGACGGAGTGGGATTTTAGGGCCTAATGGTCTCTATTGATGATATTGGAAGGTAATTAATGAATACAGGTCCATTGTGGTTTGATCGAGAGGTCTTCCAAAGAGTTTGGATACCAGTTTGGACTTGGCATGGCTTTAGCCTGTCATGCTTGGTTTGTGAAATGCCTCTATCAGTCCGATTACCAATTCATCAAACCCCCCTCACTCTCCCTACTCCCGTGATACTCCATTTTTCTGCTCCTTTCCATAGACCCAGGACCACAGGATCACCACACAAACCCCAAAGTCTGCATTTGCAAAGCCCCCGATCTTCATCACCACCCGCTGCTCAGGTCTGCAACCAGTACTGGCCCATGTCGTATATGAGCACATCCATATCGTTCTTGAACGCCGGATCCCAGGAATCTGTCTCCTTATTCCATTGTGTACAGGAAGGTCCAGGCTCGAAGAACCCCCTTTCTGGATGTTCTTTACAACAGAAGACTGCCAAGTCCAGTCGACGTTGTTGCCACACAGTGTCTTGCAGCTCCTTCACTAGATGTCCCGCCAATGCGACATGATGTGCCTTGATTATGCCACTCACTGAAGTTGGAAGTGAGCCACAAGGGACAATCGGGTCTTTGCTGGGGTACGCAAGACGTAGGGATCCAGGCACCCAATCAGGCCACTCGGTATTGGCTTTCGGGGTCAGGTCCATGCCCAGAAGGCAGGGCGGGTGCCACCTTATGGGGCCTCGGAGGTCTCGGAGGCGGACACCAATTCTGGTCAGATTTCGCATGCTTGGCAAGGCTGCAATAAGCCCCCGAAGAAGATCGCTTGAGGCTTGCTCTCTGTCGTCCACAGCTCTTTCGGAGCTACCGTCGTCCTGGTCCAGGAATCCAGTCAGATCCAGCCTGTGAAGGCGCAGCCACACCGATCCGCTGGCGGTCAAGAGAAATTGGGCTATGTCCATGACAGAGTTGAGCTTGAGGCATACCAAGCTATTGCTCCAAAGCGACACCTGTGGAGTCAACGCTTCTGTGATGGTGATCCGGTTTCCGTGCTCAACCAGACGACCTGAATGAATATCTCTGTGAAAAATGCTCAGCTTGGCCAGACTCGGCTTAATTGCATGGAATGCAATTATCCTGTCTTGAAAGATTTCGTTAACATGTTTTAAGCAGATATCTTCTGTGGTTGTATTAATGTACTCACTGCTGGCATCGTTGATCGTCTCCTGTGGAAGAGCTCGACATGGAATCTCAAGCTTTGCGTTTTGGAGACCAAGCAACTTCTCGTGCAGAGAATCCAGAGCAGAATCATGTAATTGATACTTCGACCACCCACGCTGATTCGCACGCAAAGTCCCAATGACTGAGACCTCGGGTAGGCTTGTAAAGTCGCAGCAGAGGCTAGATGCGAGGTCTTGGGTAGATTCCAGCATTAGCCAAGGGGCAACGTGTATGAGGAGTTTGATTTGATCGTGTGGTCCCCTATCTGCACGGCTCCAGTCTTTCATCACATGGAAAAGCTGTGAGAGATAGCCGGCAACGAGTTTCTCCACCATGGCCAATGTTAACTCCGGGTGATGGAGATCTGAAATAGAAAAAGTGATTCGTTTCAGTAGTTCTTGACGTTTGCCACATATCTTTCCGAATTTGATGAGGTCTTTGTGGCTAATGCCGATGTTTCTGAAAAGGACCCGCTCGACGATTCGGTTCCACTGAGAGTCGATGGCTGCAAACTCTGCCAGACGTCTCGACATCTCCCATGGCTTGTAGGCTGCGATCACCCAGTCTTCAATGATCTGGAGGCGCAGCTCTGTTGGGAGCTCAGGGTACTTGGAAAATCCTGATGTTGATGAAGAATGGATCTGAGAGGCCGCCATCGTTTGCTTGCTGGCTGCCATAAATAATTCGCACAGTGGTGTAGAGAATTGTGGTGGATGTGGATGTTGCATGCAAAGTTGTTGTCGTTTCAAAATCCAAAGTTCCTGGTGGGAATTTGGTCTTTTATAATTGCACACGGGCATCGAAGTGAATTGAGATTTGATGAATACTGTGGTACACTGATCGCATATATTCATTCTTTTTATTAACCTATAACATTCATCTCCGTTTGACGTCACACACAATACCCAATTGAGGCCACACCAGTCATCATGGCTATTAAAAACAAGCACTATAAACGAACCAGTCGTTCTGGATGGTACATGAGTCACGAATAGAAATGTGACAAGGCCAGCAGTCATTGTACATTTTCAAATCAAAACACCTTGACTTGGTCTACCGTCACAGTTTCCGTCAGTCAGTACAAGCAGCTCTGAGACATTATTCGCCAGGCTCAGTAACTTCATAAAACGTCCAGCATTAGGCATTATCACACACATTGTATGAAATGAAGCTGCAATGACGATCAATTAATACACTCAATGACATTTCTCATAGCCTGTGTGCTGAGCAAGCCCAAGTCTTCTTCGGCCATGCTAGAGCTCAGTGTTTAGTTCCTCTTTCCAGATGTTTCTCGGCCTCCCTGTCTAACCAGCTGTTGCGTCAATTCCTCGCAATGTCCACTACTCCAACTCCAGTCACTTCATGCTCTTTTCTGTTCAGCATTGAGGGTTGATTGACTAGCAGATGCATTCACACTACAACATTCATTAAATCAATTCCTTGTATGCAGCATTCCATAGCTGACACTATGGCCACAGGGGGATTACCTGCTTAATGTAGTGAATATCAGTGAAAGAGGGGTTGTATAATTTAGAAGAACCTTCATATCACAAGCAACATCTGTAGTGAAATGGGCACTATATGACTGTTAAAAGACTGTCCCCAGCCAGCTGGTCTACGGAACAACTTGAGTCAGCAATATCGCATTCAGGACAACAGCCACTTTACTTTGCCAGATTACAATGCCTTTGTTTGTTCTGTCACCACAAAGTCTATGTACAAAAATGACAAGCCGAAATTTCTCAATTATTGCTTTGATAAACTCCCCAGTGATTTCAACCCATTGTGTCAAATCTTGTGGTGCAGGGTGAGACTGACCCATATCAAACAGCCAACTGGACCTCAACAATATGCGCACAGTAACATTCACAAGAAGATATCTTCCACAGTCGCACCAACATCCCTCGTGTCAGATCTTTTCTTTTCCACGCTCCGTGGTGCACACCACGTGATAGATTGCCGTTACTTACCATAGTGCCTGCTTACTTACTCCACTTGGATCTCTTTCCATGATGAAGGTCTAACACACCCACACGCAATCATACCTGGGACAATCACATACAACAGTACATCACTTTGGGTGGCACATATTCAATGCTCGTATTCATAAGCAAGATTGAGTAGCTTCCTGCAGGCTAACACAATCGGTTGCCTCATGTGACCTGACCTTTATCCCCAAGGAGTGATGCTTCCTTGAACTCCAGGTTGAGGTAGTTACTGACTTGTAAAGATACTCAGCATTACTAAAATCGCTGAAGATCCGATTGACAGACTGCATGGTGAATGGGCTCTGAGTTATCCCTTCCAGATCGGCTGAGACTTGGTTTATTGCAGTGTTGTAACAGGTCCTAAGGATTGACAAGCCTCGAGAAGCTTGTTCAGCAAGTATTTTGGCTTTTATCACCTCATGCAACCACACTGGCCTCCATATGCGTATTCTATCATGTCGATGAAGCCAAACTAGAACCTGGCATCAGAGGGCTGCAGAGAGAGCGTCTCTAGTTCGACACACACTCGTGCTTATTATAAACCTTGCACCTAACGGACAGAAACGTGCATACAAGAATGCGAAAGAATACACTGGAATTTGGAATATAAACATTTGATAAATATGCCCTGCTTGATACTTTGATGAATGTGCTCCTGCATACTCTCATATGCAATCAAAAGTATCAAGAAAAGTGGGTCCGTTCAGTTCACATCCCCTTATTTTTCATACAAGTTGATTTTTAAGTTTTTTAAACTAACTTTAATCTAATTAAAATTTATCTCATATAATAGCGCTTTCTTTTCTCATTATAGAACTACTCTTATTTTGGTTTTTAGATATGTATCAGGTGTGTAAATGTTAAAAGTAATTTAAAAAAGAGGAAATTGAGGAAAAAGGGGGGGGGTGAAGTGCGCAACTTCAGCGTCTTTTTGATACTTTTGATTGCATATGAGAGTATCAAACTGATAGGGGTCGTAAATGGATTGCAGTAAGATCAACGAGTTTTCAGCAGAAATGGGATCTTCTTCAATCCTCTGCTGACTCGCCAGGCCAAAACCTAAGGTTTCGCTCAAATGAAAGTTGACCTGAAATTACCACCAACACTGTCGTGTAGGTTTCTGTACTGGAACGTTGGCTGTCATTGTGCACAAGGTGAAAATAATACGGAAAGTGTTGACTGTAATTGCCATAACTTGTGAGACGGTATTTGGGGATTCGGTGCCACTTGGACATGCGAGACAACTAGTATTATGTATGCTTGCTCTAACAGCACTTGATCGTGTGTGCTCCGAGTCAAGAGCTCATACAGGCATCCACAGAAGGAAATTCATGGTCATTTAACAAGCGTAGCATGGTGGGGCTGATGGGTAATAACTTTCCAGCCAAGTTATCAAAGAGTGAACATGGTGGGCTTCTGAACGGGATGTGTCCCCTGATCCACGAGTATCCAAATTCCCACTTGTGACCATGCATATAAGACCGCACGTCCTGGTCTGCAGGCAGCTGGCGAGGAGCCCCATACGCCATGGACCGGTGACATTTCAACGACCAATCGACCATCTACTTGTGCCAGTTGCTCAAGAGACTCCAGATTCAACCACTACTGCCGATTATAGTCAGAGAATCGGAAGTAAATATGAAGACTGTCGCCGTCATTTCTGCACTCTTCTGTGCCACCCTCGCACTGGCAAACCCGCCCCCAACTCGTGTGGAAGTCAAGCGGGACCAATGCATTCCTCAGATCGGCACCCAGGAAAGTCCTGGGTGTCAGGCACCATACGTCCTGACCAATGCGCCCCATTACTCTACCGGTTGTCGTGATACTTCCAACTGCGAGCCTGAAAGCACGACGCTTGAGTGCTGTGTCTAGCATGCCTCGAGCAATCAAATGAAAGCTAGGTGAGACCTACGCTATTACGCTCTCAAGAGACCACCGTATGCATTCCAAAAATTTTTCTCCGGGTGAATCGATCACATGTGTCTCTGTTCCTTCGACCGACACGCTGTGAGTGTTTTCTGGTGCAAGGGGCTAAGCTGCCCTCCATATTCTTCAGCCCAGTTGTTGTGTTGTGCTGTTCTATTTTGCTGACGACTGGATGGTTGTTGTCAGTGGTACGTTGGCTGGAATGGACAGTTGGCAAAAGTTGGATGCTTTTCATGCAGTCAGTTTTATCAAGTGAAGTAGATATAGGTCAAAGTGATAGAGGCTTGAGGTCTGGATCGCTGCAAGGCTGTCCATGAAGTAGCACTGTGGAGGGAACTGGCATGCCTTGAAAGGAGTCACCAGGCTCGGTGGCAGCAATTGTCAGGGACTGCAATAATCACAGGAAAACGAGCAAGTTGGATGCAGGTCACTTCAAACGAGGCCCTGGGTCTTTGGGTCATGGTTCCCTCAATCGGTTCGCTCAATCACTTAACTTTCAAAGTTGATCATACCATGCCTCTGAAGGTCATCTCAGGCATTCTGGCAAATCGAAGCAGACTAAAAGAGCAGAATGCTCACTCCTTACTAAAGCCTCTCTGTTTGCCCTTGCAAACACCATATTTCTATTGTTTGATGCATTCAGCGTCACCACTTGTTAAGAAAATCTTGCTCCACTAAGTTTGTTGATCATTGTCTTATGGAAAGCTATTTATCACATGTAGCTGCTTTGTTTGTCAAGATGCCTAAGCGTTTTCCCTCGATCAGTTCCTGACTAGCACATAAACCTTGCAAGAGCGTTTTATCGACATGTCGCTCTGCATTGGATCATTGACCCCATGGGATGCACATTTCTTTTGGTTAAAAATGAGAAGCGCTGCTGAATCTCCATGGATCGCCCCTTGGGCACATTGTTGCTCACAGTGCTAAGTGGTGAGCAGCGGTGACACTGTACACAATGTGCATGATATCCCATCCAGAGGGCCAAATAAATGTCATACTTTGTCAACTACATATGCGACAATCCCCACAAAGTCTGCGGAATCTCCAATGTCTGACAAGCAGTCAAGCGTGACGAGAGTTCAGCTCTGCGTCATTGAGTGATCAGGCTGCGATTCCTCATTCTCCAAACGGGTGCAACTGTCAATCAACAACCGGCTTAGCCACTCTCTTTGGCAGCTTCCGCCTTCTCAAGCGGATCGTCCGCTGCGGAAGTAGCTTCAGGATCAACGTCATCTCCGCCTGCATCGGCAATGGCCTCATCCAGAGCTGCCTCGCCCTTGAGTCCTTCCTGGGCAGCCTGTCCGCTCTCCTTCTTGGCCTCGGCTTTCTCGAGGGGGTCTTCGACTGAAGTGGTCGCTTCTGGGTCTGCAGGCTCAGAGCCGTTAGTATCGGGCCCTCGATATGCTCGTCACACCAGAATCAATGCTCACCCTTGGTTGGAGCCATTGTTAGGATTTCAGTTGATGTTATAGTGTTATGCTTGGGAACTATATGATAGTGGAGAGAAGGCCTGGGTCTGAAAGGGAAAATAATGTGTATCGAATGGCAGCTTAAATACTCATCTCGATGTTGATCACCGTTGTGCTACTCACACCACAAGCCACCAAATTGTCAGTCATGCGCCACGCCGTTGTGTGGCGTTCAAAGACATCGTCATTTGAGGTCACAATCCTGCTTGCGGAGGCCAATCAAAGTGAAGTGACGTCAAATCTTGTCTATTGGCCTCATTCTAGGAGGGATCTAGAAGCTCCCGATTGGTGATCTGATCCACACCCCTTCAGGCTTGGCCCGTCGATGGGGCTCTAGCCGCAACCACCACGATCTGTACTCCTATGAGCAGGGCCAGCACAGCAATCCGTCCAAAAAAGAAACCACACCTCCTATCTATTTCGTTTACTTGCGCCGTAGCCCCAGCGCAAGTACTTCCATGATGATGGACAGCATCTGTCTGTAAAGGACCCGTCACCATCTCAAATTCTGTCCTTCACCATTCGCGTCCATCGCTGCCCCAGGTGTGCCTAGATTCTAGGCACTAAGTCAGGGTCTGCACATTCGGCCCACCCCCTGATTCGGCCCACTCCACACCCGTGTGCGCGTTAGGTCCACCCCATTATATATCACGTATTTTCTTTATAACGGAATTTTTTCTTTTTTTTAAACTTTTAATATATTATTATTTATTAATTATAAAGCTATATATAAAAAAAGATATAAATATAGCATTTAAGGCAATTTAGGCTAGCATTAATATTTAAAAAGCCTTTTTATATTAAGATATTTTAAGAATTATACTTTATAATTATTATTATAATGCTTAAAGCTATTTAAATACCTTAAAATTTTAAATAAGGTTATTATAAACTTAAGAAATATATTTATTTAATTAAGTAATTAATTAAATAATATTAAGGCTATTAATAATATATTTTAAAATAAAGTTTTTTATAGCTTAAGTAGCCATTCCTTAAAAATATTAATTACCTTTTAATAAGTATTAATTAAAAGCTTTTTTTATTAAAAATCTTAAGATTTAAAATATATAAAGCTATTAAATAACTTTAAGCTAAGTAAATAAAGTAAAAATAAATATAATTAAGAAGTAATTTAACTTCCTTTAATTATTAATAATTATAAATATTTACTTAGAAAATTATTATAATATTAATAAGGAGGGTATAATTAAAGATAAGGAAAAGAATAGTATTATTTTAAAATTTAAAGAAAGAAAGGTTATTATTTAAAAAAGCTATAAATTATATATATAAACTTCTTTCCTTAAATATATTTTTATAATAAGTAAATTATACCTTTCCTTTATTATTTTTAAAAGAAAGTTAGTTTAATAATAATAATTTAAGATTTTTAAAAGTTATAAGAATTAAAAGTTTATAATAATGCTAAATAGCTAAATAAATAATATTATAATATTTAAATAGCTATAAAAGATCTTTATTTTTTAAATAAAGCTAAATATTTTTAAAGAATAGCATTTATTAATAATAAATAAGTATAAAAGCTATTATATTTTAAAGTTTATATGGAAATACTTTTTATATAAAATTTATTACTTTTATTTATTACTATATACTTTATATATATTATAATTTCTTAATTTAAAAGTATTTTTTAACCTTAAGATAATATATAAAAAGAAAATAAGTTTTTTAAACTTTTATATTAATAATACTTATATTAAAAAGTAATTATTTTTTTATTGCTATTAAAAGGTAAAATTTATAGCATTTAAAGAAAAGTATATGCTTTTTAAGTAATAAGGAATTAATTTATAGCTAATTAATATAATTAAATTATTAATAAGTATAATTATGCTTAAAAACTTTAATAAAATAATATTTATATTTATTTTTAATAATATTATAAAAATTAAAAAACTTAAATTAATTATTTTAATATTTATTAAGCTATAAAAAAGAGTTTTTTTAATTCTTAAAATATTTTAAAAAATATAAGTTACTTTTATTAATTATAATTTATAAAAATACTTAATTATAATTTAATAAATACTTTTTAAAAAGATTTAAAAAGAATATAATAAGAAAGATTAATAATTAATAATGCTTTTATAAGAAAATTAAGTTTTTAAAAATAAATTAATAGCTATAATACTTTAAAAAAAAAAAGATTAAAATAAGCTTAAACTTTATATTTATTAAAATTAAGTATATATATAAAGTATAAATTAATATTAATATAATTAAAAATAACTTAGCAAAAATAAATGCTTTTAAAGATATTATAAATGCAAAGAAATACATTATTATGGGTAATAATAATGATTTAAAGTAACTTTAATTAAAAGGGTGGTGTGGTGAGGAGGACCGTTTTGGTGGGCCGAATTAGGGGGTGGGCCGAATGTGCAGACCCTGACTTACCTCCCCGCCGTAGACCTCGAATGGCTTTGAGCCCCGGTCGAGCCGCTTGTATCTCGTGGAACAATAGATCATGGACCTTGTAGCTGTCACACGTTCCTCGAGGTACCGTGGGTGTCTGCCACGTTGGACTGACCGCTCGAGCGGCTGCCCTAGAGCGTAGGTGAGCTCCAGCACGAAACCCGAGTCAGTTTGCAATGCCATTGTCGTCGTGCAATTTGCTGCCACGCATCCACCGTGTATTGGTCCGGCTCGGCACCACACAGGACTAGCTCTCCGTCCCGCGTCGCCGAGCGGTCATCTCGAGGCGGCACCCTTATGGAGATGGTAGCATTATCCCAGTACAATCTCTCATTGACATGAAACGGTGAAGTAAGCTCGACCTCGAACATGGTTATGTTTGGCATGTGTGGTAGGGCCTCCGTGACCGAGTCGTAGAACTCGGCGGCGACGGCGCGGTCGTCCGAAGGGCTCGAGCCGGAGACACCGTCGGCCAAAAGTATCCTTAAGTTGGGCCAGGCCGGTGTGCTCCGCGGCGTGCTCCTGCTGACGATGCATGCCTGTCTCAGGAAGGCTGACAGGTCGACCACGTAGCCGATGTACAGTTCCTCGAGCCTAGAGGTCATGGAAAAGATCGACTGGCTCAGTTGGAGCGAGGGGTGCGTGTACAAGCTAGGATCATGTTTTTCGTGCCATACGGCAGTCGACCGGAGGCAGAGTGCACTGAGTTTGGATCCTAAGAAGCTAGGAGTTGAAGATCCTTCTGCAGAATTGTCAGCGTTGTATTCTTAGGCAATTGAAAGACACCGGGACACTCACCTTGGACGATCTTGATGATGTCCGGCGATGCAAGGTCGTCGTCATGAAACTTCATGCTGGAACGCTTCACGTTCGGGAGTCTCGTAAGCAATTGAAACGTAGACTCCGGTTTGATTATCCAGTAGGAGCCTTCTTCAGGCATATAGAGAGAGCCGATACAGAGAACCTCAGGAAAACTGGAAGAGTCGATTGCCAGGCGAGTTACGTTGAGCGGGCGGCTCCTCCTTGGTCCCTGGCAGAAGAATTTGAATCTGAGGATGAGCGATTCCTGGCCACGTGTCCAACCAGCCACAATGCGGAAGAAATGGCCGATAGCTGCCGTGGCCACGCGCTCAGCATGAACGATGGAGGGTTCGGTGTCATCATCGGTATCGGCTTCGCTGCCCTGGTCGGTAGCAGCATTCATTAGGTCGGTCGATGATCCTGAGTACTGACTGCCAATATTATCGACGACAATCGAAAGCTCAATCTCCGAGATTTCGTCAATGCGATCCCCAACGCAAATCCGCTCAAGGTCGTCGAGGACGTTTGGATCATCAATACCAGCCACATTGAGGGCGAGCGTATGAAATGTGTGCTTCTCCACCACAGACTTCCACTGCTTGTCGATTGTAGCGTATCTTGCCAGTGGTTCTTCAGGGGGCCCGTACGTCTGGAATGCCGTGATGATCCCATCTTCCAGGACGGTTGGGCGCCAGTTTCTCAGAGATGATTTCGTGTATCCTATGCCCTGGAGGTACTCCTCAATGATGGCCAGGCGAAGTTCATAAGGGAGGCGAGGAAAAGGGTGGAATGAAGGAGTGAGTGCAACAGAGGATGCCATTGTTGGTGTTCTGACTCGAGGGCGAGGTCGGCCAACTACCAGTGGCACGGGGATAAGGGGTGGCATTGCAGGCTTAGGTGCTTCAGGTGGGACTACCTGCTCAGGGGTTGTGTCACGATGGATATCTTTTCTTTTTGTTGGTGTTTGTTGGGTGAATGTCCGAGGGGGTGAGTTGGACTGACTTTGTTGCTGATCGAAGGTACAAAGAAGACGATGAGCATGGAAAATCCATGAGAGGCATTAAAGGAAGGATGGAAGTGAGATGGCCAAAGCTTCAGGGCTATTAGATCTCGAATGGCCCTGAAGTGATTAGTGAATAGAACAAAATAGTGAGTCAAGGTCAGCATTCACTTTATAATGGCACCGATCGATATGAGCGGAAGTGATTGTAGACTTCAGCGATTGTGAATGAGCATAGGCCGTAGAACTAGAGGCACCAGTGAATACAACTGCCTGCTGTTATTTCGGTCAGGACAAGCCCTAATAGAATCTTCTTCATAGTATACACTTATTGAAATTGCTTTGGAGAGGTTCCGCGTGCGAAGACATGCAACAATGCTTCCTATGGTCTTGTGGCTATCTCCTAGTCTAGAGGGTTAGCCTTGTTTAGTGACAGCCTACAACACTCTCACACCAGATCCAAATGTCACCCAAGCAGTTGGTGCTGAACCTACTGGAGGCTAACTAGCTGCTCATGAACCGGCACCATTTCACGTTAACCCACAAAAGGGTGGATGAAATTGAAAGTTTGGCACGTTGGGCGCAGCCATGGGTTGATCAGATCTCTCCGGGCTGCTCAAGTACTCATACATTGGCAATGTCAATGCCTGGGCCAGAGCAGCAGATGCAGCCATAACATAGCCGGCAATGCTCACAAGATAGCCTGGTGAGTAGCTTCTGCTGCCTACCTATGGCAATATGCCTCAGAAGGTGCGACACGACCCTGATAGGCCTTTCCCCAGCAGAATCAGAGGTCAAGAAGAAGATGATGTTCTTTTCGGCGAAGACGAGGCACTCAAAGGGCTCGGCGAAGTAGAGCTTGAAGCTCCACAAGGCGCAGTCACAGAAACCGTAGCAGACAGTGGGAAAGATTTCACATCATCGACCTGCATTTCCTCATTCTGCCATTGAACCCTATTAACACCCGGAATCGACGGTCAACCTCATGGATAGGGCGAACTATTGAAGACCTCAATTACATGACTGGTGCGACGACAAATGCCCAGTCCTCGTTCTGGGGACTCGTAACATTCCCGAGGCTGCTACTTATTGGCGCGGGCAAGCGGTTTTGGACTGAACCACCAAAGCCAGGCGTGCATGACATAGGTGTTGGGGCTGTGGTTAAGCTTGAATGAAGGTGATGTCCCGTTGAAGGGCTACACGGCGTTGGGCCCCTTCTCTTGGTCGGAGGAAAGGCTTGATTGGTGTAGAAGGTGCCGATTGTTGTTGCTGGGGGTCTGTCCCGAGTGTCCCGAGTGTCCAGAGGAGCCGGGCTGGTAGTACGCGGGTCTGCCTTGGGCGACTGAGGCGCCATCTGTGTCGAAGCTCCTAAGGAGTTTGCGCATCATCGGGAGGCAACATGCAATGATGCTCAGGCCGGTCTCGACCACACTCCACAGGATGACCGAACCGAATCGGTATCCCTCATCGCTACCACCCGTGTTTTCGAGCCGGGACGGGATGCGAATAATGGAAGCGAGGCATGCGATGCCGCCCATGGCCAAGATCACCCCTAGTGACAGCTTGAGGCTCTTCTGCACTGCAGCAAAAGGAGTCAGCCATCAAAGAACTGAGGGAGAAGTTTCATCTGGATATAGGGAGGAACAGGACATAGTATGGCCATAGCTTGTTTCACAACCTGCAGCCTGATAATACCTTTGTGGTATTGGCTATAGATAGGAAATTGTTTTTCTTGAAGGGGTGAACATTGTATCCGGAAGCTGCTTACTGTTGAGACCGCGGATCATGAACAAAGGTACAGCGGCTAGCGCGATGTCGACGAGGATGTAGACGGCCACCCAGAGAAAATAGATGACGAGTATTGTGTAGGCGGAGTCTCGACAACCACTAAAAGGGTCGCAGCGCACGACGTAATAAAGGAATGAAGCGGTTGATGATGCAGCGACCACGATCATGATGAGCCAGAGAGCCCAGGTGGTCTTCCGATGGCCGGTCCCGTTGTTTATTCGTAGCAGTGTGCTGCAAATACTGGCTTTGGTAAACCCCATCGCCAGTGTGTACGTAACTTTGATCCCTAGGTTTGATTGCCTCAGTACCTTGCAAGAAAATAAGGAACTTAGTGTTCAAACGGGATTCGACCGTTTGATAGACCACAGGAGAACGAGATTTGGCTCGCTGAGAGACTTTCGAGGTTTGTGATGGCTTACAGTACGCTGCCTGGGAGAAGTTCCTTATCATGGGCTTGGACAGCATTGAATCCGGAGAGCCCATTCCTAGTACCGTTGTGCCCCACGCCACAAATGCGTACTGGATCAAGTTGAAGATCTGCTGCATGTCAGTGTTGCTGTAGAAATGCTCGCTTGCCGCTATATGTTGACTTACCAGCCCAAGCCATGTAACGCCGTCGTCAACATGAAAGCTTCGGTCTCGAATACGCTGCCAAGTGCGGGGAACGACTGCAATCATGCAAAAAAGGCCGAGCAGGATGGTGATGATCAGAATGGTCTCTGCAAAGCCGGTGGGGCGCAGGGAGCTAGGCCCCGTCGTGGGGATCCGTTGCGAGGACATGGCTCGGGGTCAAGTGGTGATAGAGGCGTCCTATGGCAGCTGCCTGTGTAACTGGACAGGATGGTGACGGTTTGTTCAGGTGGTGAGTTTGGTAGAAGAATAGAGGAAATGGTGCTCTCGGCACTCTGGGCAGGGAAGTAATGGCCCAAAAGAGATGGCTAGTCAGCACATCAAAATCAGCACCATGGACTTGACTCTGTTTACACAAACGCCCCCTTGAGCAGGAAGTGAAATGCGTCTGGCAAACGACCGTCCACTGATAGCAAGCTGTGCCTTGCAGCAGCAGCAGCGGAAACGATTCAGACCCGGATCAGCCACATCTCCTGAGGCTTTCCATCATATCCTGATTTTTCAAAGGCAGGAAATGCTCTGGAGATGACTCAATAATATTATCGGTACGGCCTGGCCATCGGAATGAGGGTTTAGTTCAGCTGAGTAGCAAACCTATGCAACTATGACTTTTGTCCAGGATTCCCACAAGCTTCTTTATCAATCAGGAGACACATCTTCACAGTGGTGAACGAATCTAGACCGCCTGAGCTCCTCTCGGCCGAGACATCATGCAGCTCGATGGCATGGGGGATTCAGGCGGTAGGCAGAGTATTCTGGTAAAGCCGACTCCTCAGCAGACACATGTCAGGACTGATAAAAGGTGCAGTGTCAACGACCAAATTGTCTTTGTGATATTTAAATGAACCACATATTTCTCGTCCATAGGGCCTTTTCCCATTACCAAAATGCAATGCCATATTTGATGCTGCCAGAATGCAATGCCCTATGCCATGATCTACCATAATGCAGACTTCCGAGGTGAGATACAGTAATGTCGTACAGCAATCCTTCCTTGGGCGCGATGCCACCCTTCAACTAATTGGAGAATGTTACAGATCGGGCGGTGGCGCAGCCAGATGTGTCAATGATAGACCAAAGCGCGCAGTTCTGCTGGGGGACAAGGCCGATGGAGCAGCCAGCCAAGATCCCAGTCAGCGTGACGGCCCGGCCATAGTTGGCAGGGCTGTTCTGATGTGTTCGTTTCTATGCATAATGGGCCAATGGTTCAGTTCAAACGTCGGGAGTGATGGAAAGGAGACGCGAGAGGCCAGCATCGCAATATCGCGGAACATCAGCGCTTCCATATCAAAAGGGTGAACAAAGCACAATTTGTTAGGTTAGTTCGTTGGGTATATATATATATATATATTTTTTTTTGGTTCTTCTATAACATTGTATGTCGTCTTATCTCATAATTCCTCCTTCTATAGGGTTCGTATCCAAGCAGTTTACCTGCATTTAAGGAGTGTGTCGGTCAAGGCGCAACCACTGTCAAAATCCTGTTCCCAAAAGGCCCTTCACCATTCTACAACCAATTGCAATGCGCACAAGTTCCAGCCTTGGTACCACATGCAGTCAGTGATAGTGTGAGCAACATGAGCTATGCTCACCGCGTCAACATCGGCTGGACCCGCATCTCAAACACACTCTTGATCGCCTGCTGGCCGATCCCCGGCAAAGCCTGCTTCATCCAACTCTTCAGGTTCTCCCACGCCTGCACGATCCATTTCATCAACGCCCCAAACGCAGAGCGGAACCAGCCCCAGACAGTGTCCCAGGGGATGAAGTAGATGGCGGCCGCGGCACCGACGCCAGCGAGTGCGAGCTGGGCCGGGGCCGGACAGGCACAGCAGCCCGGCGCCGATCTTGAAGGCGCCGTCGATGCCCGACTCGGCCGCCTTGGTGGCGACCTGGATGGCGATGCCGCCGGCGTAGCACTCGACGACGGACGCGAGGGTGGTGGTCCCCGCGGCGACGTCGAGCAGCTTGTTGACGGGGCTGCGCCACTTGTTCCACTCCGGGTTGCCCTCGCACTTTGCGTCGCACATCTCCTTGAAGTGCTTGGCGACCTCCTCGCGCTGCTGCTTCGAGATGATGCCCATGGCGTCGCGGGCCGTCCAGGGGATCCCGTTGCCCATGCTCACCTGGATGATGACGTCCGGCCCCAGGATGATGTTGTGCTCGCCGACGTGCTTGGTCTGCCACTCGTCCAGCCGGACGCCGCAGAAGGTCGAGCCGCCGTTGAGGACCAGCTTGCTGTTGCCCTCGACCGTGCCGGGGACCTTGGAGACGTTTGCGCACCGGATGATGTACAGGTTGTCGATGTTCTCCGGAACGGTGAACGTGGACGTCTGCAGGTCGATGTAGCGGCTGACCAGGAGGAACAGCTCGTGGACCTGCCCGTCGCTTGCGCTGCTGTCGATCTCCCGTTGCAGCGCCTCTGGTGTTGTGAAGCACATTGCGGCCTTGGCTGGGGATGAGATGCATGTTAGTGTATGGTTGGTTGGATGACACCGCAAACAGGCATGAAGCAAGTGACATACCCTTCCTTCCCTTCCACCATCGCGGCCTAGCCCGGTCCTTCAGGGATGGAATGGTACTCTTCCTGACCACCGGGATCAGGACAGCCCCTTCGTGTGCCTTCCATCGCTTGATTCCCTGGTACACCTGGTCGCACTCCAGCTGAGTTGATGAGCGGCCTTTGCCTTCTTCCTCATCCGCCTTTGTCTCACGTGAGCTCTGCTTGGTGAGGGACGATGTCTTGCTGAGGGATGACGTCTTGCTGAGGGACGACGTCTTGCTGAGGGACGTTGTGGACCGTCTGACTAGTGCCATCGTGTTGGACATTGTGTAATTGGACGTCTGCTGCCGGCGCAGACCTGGGTGTTGTTTTGAAAAGAGTGCTGTTGTCCTCGAAAGAAGCGTATAATTGACTGGTGTCAAGATTGTTTGTTCGATGAGTCAATGGGTCTGGCTCGTGGACGTCGATGGACGGCTTCCAGATAAAGGCTCAATGCCCCCTGCATGGGATGGAGCCACAAGGACCGTCCCGGTAGCTCCGCGAGGCCATAGTCGACTCCATATCGGGTCCATGTCAGGAGAGGATATCGTTGTTGCCGTCCACGGAGACGGCTTGCTTGATTGGGCTAGAGAGAACTGAGTGGAGGCCGGGAGCCACTTCATCGACACGTGTATGGTTGGTGGTTCATGCAATGGGGGCCCCGCTGCTTACTGTCATCACCAGGTACCCGGCACAACACTCTCACCGCTCTAGGGGGCCCTCTGGATCTTGTTTCTCGCCAACCCACTGGCACCACAATCGATAGGGCAGCGAATAACGCGGCACGAGGCATATATTTGCCGAGTCGACTTGCAGTGGGGATCGCGAGATCTGGAGCAGAAATGTCCGACGTACCGAGCTCCAAATGGGTTAGGGTTATAAGATTCATGAGAAATGAGAACAATGCAAGCTCGGGTCAACAGTGGATGAGCGATAAGAACGCATTGGCATGTTCTACCAGCAGCGCACCCTCCGGAGCATCCTCTCACGGGCTCACCTGTAGACTCTCTTCTCAGTCCCACTCGTAGTCGTCTTCGGGGTGGTGTGCTCATGACCTGGTAGGACGCGCGCATCTCCTCGCCTGTCTTCTCCGAGCTGAGTATGTGCTGCAGGCTTTTCCACTGTCCTTCAAACCTCGGCTTCTGGACCTACAGGGGCTTTTCGAACATGGCTATGTTCGCCAGGCCAGGTCAACTGTGATGACTCAGATCTCCTCGCAAAAGGCCACAGAAGTCATTGTATTCTTCGTCCTGATGCGACATTCGTACCGGTATCGACCGAGGTGCGACGATAGGGAGACGGTGTCCGCCCTCCACTTGGTCGAACTCTTATAGACCGGAACAGAGGTTCTTCTGGGTGAGAAGCAGTGACGAAAGGAAGGACAGTGTAACCCAACCCTAGGTCCCGATGGCATTGACAACCTGGGCTGCGAGGCAGACTCGTTGCCCGTCGAGTCGAGCCATTCTTTGTAATTGCATGTGTTGACTCCCGCTTAAGGCATCGGATGGCGGAAAGGGGAGCAGAAGGATTGTGTCCCACTTGTGGTCAGGCCTGGCTGTTTTTCGGATCTCAAAGCAGGTTGCGTAATTAGGGATCGGGGAGGGGCGCTCGGGCATCTGCAAGGTGTCCGTAAATCGAGGAAGCGCGGACAGGTTAGAGAGTCGACGTGCCCTGAAGTAGTACTCTTTACCCCAGCTGCACAGGGCCAATGCGATCCATTGTGCTCATCTCAAAGCCACCCCTCGAGATTTGCAATAGGGCCTGAGCAACGGTAGGGAGACATATCATTGACTGAGAGCAGCTCCTCCGAGGCAATGGCTGTAGATCCAGGTCGGTACTACGAAGCGCTCTGGATTGCATTCCCATAACTAGTATTATATGAGCTCTAGGGGCAGATGTATGTACGATTTACTTCAGTATTTAAGTTTCAAGTCGTAGACTCCTTGTATCTGTGAAACTTCCCAAGTTGTTCTTCCTTTTGGAATTGAATTATAAACATTAAGAGCCAAAATATGGACACAAGCCCATCCGCTACGTTCCATATGCACATAGCTGCGTAGCCACGTCATTTACTGCTCCGCTCCTCGAGCATCTCATACCCCATCAAGACAACTCATACCTTTGGGGGACAGGCAGTTCCGCCTGCGGCGTCGACCCGACGACTTCCGACCTCGGCGGCGCTTGCCCCGGCATCTCAGCGTGCGGCGCCGCGCCATATCGATTATCATAACCACCAGTGCCATAATACGTTTTCTCTCCCGCGCCTTGGGCTTCGATGTTCTGCTGCAGTGCCGCTCGTTTCGCCTTTCGTCGTCTCAGGAGGAAAAACACCGCCGCACCGATAAGAGCTACGCCCGCGACGCCGCCCACGACCCCGCCGGCTATGGCGCCTGTGCTGCTCGAACCTGTGGATTCTGAGCCGGAGCTGGAAGTCGATGTGCCCGAGGACGCACCGGACCCGCTCCCGGATTCTCCTGTGCCTGACGAGCTGTCGCCCGATCCGGTGTCGTCGGTCGCTGCGGCGGTAAAGTTCTGAACGGAAAAGAGATCCTTCAGGCCCGAGTAGGCAAAGTCGGCCATGCGGTCGCTACGGAACATCAAGTCAGTCAGCAATCGTACCCGACATGAACCCGCCCGTCGTTGAGTGAGGACCTACTGGTCATTGTAATAGTTCTGCACGTCTGTTGCCAGGTTGTACACCGTCTGGTTGCTCAGGTAACCCGTCGTGAACGACAAGCTGCTCATATCAAATATCGCCAGCCCCTGGTCGTGCGTGTCCCGCGTGTTGAACACGTCGTCGTAGAGGCTCGTCGGGCCATTCTGAGTCGTGTCGACGCCCCCGATCGCCAGGACCTGGCCGCCCCCGACGTGCTCGCACGTGAGGCCGTGGCGCGGGCGGAGGGCCTGGTAGTCGGCCTTGAACCAGTGGAAGGACGGCAGCGACAGCACGTACGCCTCGTCCCACGGGATCGAGGTCGAGCCCAGGTTCCCGTCCCAGCCCGCGTACACGAGGATCTCGTACGTGTTGTTGGACGACGCGGCGCCCGCCATGCAGTACTCCTTGCGGCCCGCGGGGATGTTCCCCGTCGTGGTCTGCTCGTACCACGTGTCGGTCGCGGGGTCGAAGACCTGGACTGAGTTGAAGGACAGCAGGTACTTCTCCGTTGACCCTTTCTGGAGCTGGTGGCCTCCGGCGGCGATGATGACGCCCGCGGGCCCGAAGTTGGGCACATATTGCATCTGGCCGCGCTGCACGTATCCAGATGTGGAAATACCCGAGACCGTCGCGTTGGTTGCGACCTTTGTGGCAAAATCGTATTTGAGGAGACCACTGACGGGCACCTCGGTCCTGTTATCCAAGATTTGGCCTGAGAGTATGGTTAGATCTCAGCAACGGCATCTGAGATTTTGTCAGGCATGGGCGCTGCCTGCGCTGGACCAACTTACCACCCAGGAAGTATCCAGCCCCGTTCCCACTGGCCACAGGTCCCGCGAAATGCCTGGGCTGCGCTGTGAAGTATTCGTCCGTGGTATCATTGAGGTTCGTCCACGTCCCCGTTGCTCCATCATCGCTAGGCTTGAATGACCACAAGCCTTGCGATACTGTTGGCTGATCGCCAAAATCCGATGAAAGACCCGCAAACCCCGTGTAAAGCAACCCCGACGCTTGATCGACCCATATGCCCGCCCTGTTCAGATCCGGCACGCCAGATGGCTTTTCTATTGACGTGTAGGCCACGGTATCTGGTTCGAAATTGGCCGACAGATCGATCGATAATAAAGTCGACGCTAGTGACACGTTTTAGAGACGCATGCCGCGAACACCAGTCTGCAAGGCCGAGTTGGGATGTGGCCAGGACATTAGCGATGGCTTACAGTATTGATATGTCGCCCCACTGCTGCTCGAATATGAGAATTCGCCGCCGTCAATATAGACTCTGCCATTGAGCACCGCAGCTGTTCCAACCTACGTGTCAGTACGACGTGATGTTGAACTCAATCTGAGTATAGATACTTACAAGAGTGATACGCTCTCCGCAGAAAAACATTATCTGAAACAGCACCATCGACCTGTCTCGATCGTAGTTCTGATCGAGAGTGCACAGGGTTAGCTAGTGCTACACCCACCGCCCAGGACCAGAGAAGCAGCTGCTATTATTGCCAGGATATTAGGCCGACACGTGGTGCGACATCCACAGCGCGGCCAATTTCTATGATCGTGGCGACTCTGTGTATTAGCGGGAAATAAATCGAGAGGTGGCCAGCAGGGTGGTCCTATCCTCAACCAGAAAGGAGAGACTACAGTACTAGTTCCTCAGGAACGCGCCGGAGATCCTAGAGGAGAGGGACATTGTCTTTTTGGTCAAGCCGGCCGGCTTACCAATGCGGGCCTTCAACGCTTATTGTGACACAGGAAGGATTCGCTCGCGTAGAGGGCCTGTCCTGGCTGTGTCGCTTGGGCGTGGGGAGCTGAAGGATCACCGCTCCTTGTGGGGGCGGACCGGCGTCTGCGGGCCCAATCCGGAGGCTGCAATCCGGGTTTGGCACGGCCGTCAAGATTGCGATGTCAGCGAGGCAGATTAGCTTCGCCTGGTGTGGGCCCCTTCCAGGCACCCAAAAGTCAAAAGTCTTGGCCCACAACAGCTGAGGCTTCGCGACATGCTGGAGAATGGCTCACTTCGGAGCAAGTGGTAAGCTTGACTTATCGCGTCCTTGAATCCTTCAGTTGATTTAGCAACTTGTATAAATGGGCAGTGTGGTTATTTCTTGGCTATTAGCATTCCGGTGTGCCATCCCGGACCTGGTGGAAAGCCCTCGGGGTAGTCCACGACCGGGGCCCGGGACACTGGATGCAAGAGTGGGTGGCCTATGTAGGACAGTACCTAATGAGAAATGATCTGATGTTTAGCGGTCGAACTGAATTGTGAATTGGGAACAGGATGCAAACTCGATTTTTTTCCGATTGGCTACGGTGGTGGCAGAAATTTGGAATCTGCCACAGTCGGCCCCCATCCACCGAAAGGGAAATCAGAGTCATGAACGCGGCAAGCACATCATCCCCCTACTCGCCATGCAACAGTCCAGGAAAGAGGGATAGGGTCACAGAGCTCTCTCTCATTTCGACGGAATTGTGCGGCTGGAAGAGACTTTCTGGTCGGAAATAATTCGAGTTCCTCGGCTACCACATAATCCACAGCAGACCTGCACGTTTTGACCCGCAATGACGTCTTTTCGAAGATGGGACATTTCCAGAGGCCGACAAGAACACTCGGGGCGTCAGATGACGCTACTCGTGCTGACTTTTGATCGTGTGCTCATGTCCGAAAGAATCACAACAACTGCGCTCAAAATTCACAATTAACTGTCCAGGGACGCTTGAAGTTGCGGGAGGGAGGATTCATCAACCAGCATGGCGACTGGACTTTGGCCCAGGGTCTTCGGACCCGGCTTCCGCTATTCTCACAAGCTTTGGGTCTTCCCCCTCGTAGCAGGCATTTCCTGGTTCTCCACGCTCACCATCCTCCTCGTCCGATGGCTGGCACTCGGCCAGCCCAGATATCCCGGCCAAATCAACCCAGATATCCCGTTCATCAGTGACATCGCGGCCTTCAACTTCCAGCCAGTGTTTATTGTGGGCTGTGCCGTCACCGGCGTCGCCTTCGCCGGCACCGTCTTTGCCGTGCACCATGTGCGGTACTCGCCCAAATTCTATGGGCTGACCGACGACGCCGAGTGGAGGCAGACCACGAGCTTCGTGGCCTTGTTCATGGGCCTCTTGGCGTCTGTGTGCCTCGTGTGTCTCAGCATCTTTGATACGTTTGAGAACAACGATGAGCACCGCTTCATTCTCATGTGCACGTTCGCCGGGCTTGGGCTGGCTGCGATACTGACGGCTATCGTGTGGTGGGACCAAGCCTGGGCAGCCACGGCGCAATTTCCTGGCTTGCGAAAATGGTGAGTTTTGTCCGTCCCGAGTTGCCCATTCCAGTCATTATTTTGCACGGCTGACACCCCACACCCCCATCATCAGGTGTATTGTCAATACGTTCCTGATGGTAATCCAGACAGCTCTTGGGTTCTCATTCACCGTCTTCTTCTGGATGGGACGGTACAGAGCCGCCGGGTTCCTGGAGTGGTCTCTGTGTTATGTTGGCTCCATTTGGCTCGTTTCCTTTGTCGGATATGTCAGGTGTGTATATGAAAGCCAAAAGAGTAGCACACGAGCTGATGTCCCTTCCGCAGATTTAGAAAAAACATCAGTGATACTGGTGCTGTGGGCGAGCGGCAGCCTTTGTTACACTCGGCGGACTGAAATGGTGGTATGCTGATGCCGCGCATCTAGATCGTCCATCCCTGCCGATCGAATGGAGGTCTGCCTGCGAAGAGGGATGCAATGATAGAAGAGTTTGTGTGTAACTCGAACGTCATCTTGAGCGATATGGCATCAGCCGTCGCAGGCCTCCGATAATCGATGACACCAAGCTGCCTTCCTCATCAAATCCATGCCTTTCACCTTCGAGTTTGGGCACAATTCTCTGTGGGATGATGTCAAAGAGGAAGTCCTTAGTGGACTTGTCGTACGGCGCGTTCTCCCAGCCAGGTATCAGCGTGGCAGCCATTTGTTGGTGGAAAGAAACCTTAACATCCTCGCAAAACAGCTTCACGACATCCCACGGATCCATGTCCTGCCTCTTCACGCGGCCAGGAGGGGCATGCCAGACTGCATCCCCCTCAAGGTAGTCCACAAGTTGGTACTGCAGAGCACCCGTGGGGACGTGGTCCCTTGGGACCCAACCCTCTTCGGAGAACACTATTGATACAGTGCGTAACCCAGTAAGGACGCCGAGGCATTCGACAAATGTCCTCACTTCAGCGGGTGAACCCAGCACGCGGGCGTCCAGGCCGAGATGGCGCAGATTCCCCGGCGATTCGGTCCAGCTCGCAAGGAACTCGCGGCAGAAGAAGGCCTCCCAGTCCCGGGCCGAGACATAAATGGCGTCCAATTCCAGGTCGAATGTCCTATACGGGCCCAAGCAGGCGCCCCTGTCGTAGTGGCGGAATTTGAGCTGTTTGCGAGCCATGGCGCGAGACTCGTGGCAGACATGCATGAGGGTGTTGTATCTAATGTCAAACGTGACAGATGCGGGGTCACCACTTGCAGAGTCCTCGGATCTGAAGATGTGTACGCTGGGCCCTGGAGACTCGTCCAGGCTTGCCTGCCATACTTCTCGCTGCAGCTCAAGAGGGAGGCTAGCGAGCTGTGGGAATGACGGCATCGAGAAGGAGAGTTTCGGCCTATTCCGCTTGAAATGACTGGAAAGGGCTTTGAGGAGAGATTAATTGTGGGACATGAATGAGAATGAATCTCGATACGCCTCCCATGCATTTCACTTCGTCAATGCAGTGTTAAGGGACAGATTGAGCATGTTGCCTGGTGGCAACTTAATGGTAGTTGTTAGATTGTATGTAATCATCGATATTGTTAATAATTGAATGGGTCCTTTTCAATAACTTGGTTATGTCTTATTTTCCTTTATTCTAGTGGACCGTTTCCTTTTTAATGGTTAGGCCTTTTTTATTAAAATTAATATTATTGCCTAAGGCACTTATTATTTAATATGCTTTGATAGTTAGTTTATAGCAAACCACTTAATTTAACATACCCTCTTAAACTTATAGGTATTAAAAAGCTAAATATAAGATTAGTTTATAGCAAACCACTTAATTTAACCTTATTTTAATTTTTTATTGCTTTATATTTATTTTTTATAAAATTTTTATTTAAAGTATTTTACTTTTTTTATTTTTTTTTATTTTTTAGCTTAAGTTAATAAAGAAATCTTGTTTATTTCCCAGCTAATAAGGATTTGATTTTATTAATCTATTTACTATTATTTTTACCATTAATATATATTTTATTAAAATTTAATTACTTTAAACTTTTTATTAAAGCTAGTAATTATAAATATTCATATGCTATAATTTTATTTTAAAAGTAATAACTTCCTTATTAATTAAGTTAATAATTTAAATATTATTATATTTAATTTAAATAATATTATTATTTAATTTTATTAATAGTTCTTTAAGGAGCTTGCTTATAAAAAGCGTTTCCTTTATAACTTATATAAGTATTAAAAGCTTAGCTTTTATTATTAATATAGTAATTATATCTTATTTATTTATTCTTTAGATAATAAGGCCTTTAAATAATTATATTATAAATACTTAAAAGCTTTTTTAATTAAGGGATTATTTATAAATAATGCATTATTTATAATTATAAGGTTATTAAAATTCTTAAAGTAAAGGGTAATATATTTAATACTATTAAAATAAAGAAGGATTTAATTAATAATATCTTAATGCTTTAAATTTAAATTTATTAATAATTAAGCAAGTTATAAAGTAATAAATATAATATTTAGTTATGTAAATATTATAATAAATAATAATAAATTAATCTTTTATTAATAAATATATATTTTAGCTAATAAGGCAGTATTTTCTTATAATAATAGCTTTTTAATTATTGTAAGAACTATATATAAAAAATTCTTTTTATTAGCTAATTTAATAATATTTTTAATATATAAGGTTTAGGGTAGCTAAATCCTTTTATTTAAATAATTTTAAATAATTTTTATGCTAAAGAATTATTATATTAAATCCCCTTTATTAATCTTATATTTTTCTTAAAGTTATTAAATAAAAGCATTAATTTATTTTTATTTATTATTTTAATAAGCTATAATAATATTATTAATATAAAAGAATATAAGAACTTTATTTTTAATATAATAATAAGGTTTATATAAAACTTATTTATAGCTTATAAAGTATTTTATTAAGTAATAAAATTATTTTTTTCTTTTTATATTTATAAAGCATTTTTATAAAGATACTTTAATTTATTAAAGTATAAATAAATGCATTAATAATATTATATTAAATTAATTTAAGATTAAACTTAAATATAATGGCAATAATTATTTAAAATAATTATTTAGCAAGAGTAATAATATAAATATTTTGCATTTATTTTTATACTTATTAATTTTTCTTAATAATAAGTTATACTTTATACTTTTAAAATATATTATGCTTATTAAATTTATAAATATATATTTATATATAGTTTAGGATTTATTTTTTAATTATATAAGTATCTTTTTTATTAATTTTAATTTATAGCTTTATGTTTTTATAGCTTTATAAATAATTAGCTTTTATCTTTTTAAATTATTATATTATTTTAATAAATTTAAAAGGTTGCTTTTATGCATTTTTACCCCTTAATATAAATGTTTTTTAATTTAAGCTTTATTAAGGATTTTCTTATTTAACTTTGCTATTAAGGCAGCTTTTATGCTTATATGTTATGGTTTGGGCTTTGCCCATTGTAATTAGTTAGTGGGCTTTGGCCCTATAAGAATAGGCTTTGGCGCGAGTATAAACGGGGAGTAAACCTTCTCCTTTGCACTTTAAATATAAACTTTATTTAAATACCTTATAGCAAATAACTTAAGGCTAGCCTATAATATATATTTAAAGTCCTCTTGCATTATAAACCTATAATGCAATTATATAAAACCCAATATAACAAGACTTAGAAAGAATAATAACAGCCCGTTAAGCTCTTTCCTATTTAAAGGAACTCTCATTTTAGGAATATTTAGCAACTTAGCTAATAGAAATAAGGGCTAAGTTTGCAGTAAATAAGGAAGCAATTAGCATTAAAGGGGCTTAATTTTTTTATATATTTAGTTAGCTAGGAACTTTTTATAATTACTTTTTACTTTATATTAATTTTATAAAGATATTTAAGGGGCAGCTAAAGAGCTTTTTAAAGAAGGTTTGCTTTATGCTTAGGAACCCTTTTAAGCGAAGGCGTGTTAAGCTTAGCTTAGTTGCGTTATAATAACGTTATAAGGAGGAAATAATAAAATTTCTTACTTAATTTAATTAATTAGCTTATATGGCAAAAGCTTAAAATTAGCTAAATAAGTATAAAATATTATTAATAGCTAATGGCTTAATCTTTATAATAAAAGCTTGGCTTAATTATAAGGAATGGCTAAATATATTTAAGGCTTTTTGCTTTGCCTTATAGCAATATAAAGGCATTTTTAGCATTACAATAAGGAAGAATAATACTTAACCTTAAAATAATAAAGTAATAAATATTAATATTATAGCGATTTTAATAAGTAAAGTTAAGTATTTTATATATAACTAACTTAGCTATTATAAGTATAATTACCTTAATTATTATAAAAAAATAAGGATGCAGCTTTTATTAATTAAGGCTAGCAAGGGGAAGGAATTTATTTAAAGGGGCGTAAAATTTTTCTTATAAGGTAGGGTTTAAAAATAATGCTAGCTTAGCGCTAGCTTAAATTTAAAGTAGATTAGCTGTATGTTAGCTAGTTTAGCCCTATGGGAATACTTAGAATTTAGGAAATTCCCGCTAATAAAATAATTAAGCATTAATTAATCGCAAATTATATAATAAATCTATAGTTTTAAGGTTTTAAATAAGAAAGCTTATGTAAAAGGCTTGCATTAAAGGATTATAAAAATGCTATTAGCTTAGCTATTAATTTATGCCTAAATAATTATTTTTCATTAGCTTGCTTTAATTAGCATATTAAATTATAAGGGCTAGGGTGTGCTAATTATAGATAATAAGCTGGGCTTTTAACGTAATTAAAAGGCATTAAGGTATAATTAAATGGCTAAGCAAAGAGCAATGTTTAATTTGCAATTAAACTATAATGTTCTTTATTTTTTATTATATAGCTACTCTTTAAGGCTCGTTATAAGGATTTAGAGAAGGAGGATATGTTATGGTTTAAGCTTTGCTTATTGTAATTAATTAATAGGCTTTAGCTTTATAAGAATAGGCTTTAGCATGGATATAAACGGGGAGTAAACCTTTTCCTTTATACTTTAAATATAAACCTTATTTAAATACCTTATGGCAAATGATTCAAGGCTAGCTTATAACATTATAAGAAATATAGCTTATTATATAAGAGTTTAATAAATTTCTTTATTAAATGAAATTTTATTATTTATCTTTATTTAAATTATATAAATTAGGAATATAAATAGTAATAATTATAAAAATATAAGCAAAAGAATAAATTTTATATTTATTTAAGCATTATTTTATTAATTTGCTTTAAAATATTCTTTCTTTTTAACTTTTATATTTCCTTTTAAAATGCTATAAGTATTGCTTTTTTTATTAGTTTTAAATTAGGTTTTATTTCTTTAAGTATTTACTTTAATTAAGTCTTTTTCTTTTAGCTTTAGGATTTTATCTTTATTTAAGAGGGAGTATTTCTTTGCTTATTTTATTAAATAATTAATATTTATAATTAAAAGTTTATTTTTAAACTCTTTTTAGTTTTTATTAAATATTTAATATTTATTAAAGATAATATTCTTTATATTATTATTTTTTTAATAAAGGAAATTTATATTTAATAAATATTTAAAGATTAATATTTAATAAGATATTTAATTTATATTTATAGTTTTAAATGTTTATATATCTTTTTCTTAAGTTATGCATTTAAAGTTAACGCATATATTTTATACCTAAAGATTTATAAGCATGTTTAATTTAATTTTAAATTTAGCTATAATATATTAAGGCATTTTATAATTATTAATTAAAATTTATAATATAGCAATTTTTATTTAAGGTTATAGTTTAACGTTTTATTATTAAGATATATATTATGCATTTAAATTTTAATTAAAGTAATTATAGGAATTTTAAGCTTATTTACATTGCTTATATTTTCTCTTTAATTATATTCCTTAAGTATTTAACATTATTAGTTTAAGCTTATATATTTAATTTTAAAAACTGAATTTTAATATATTTTATTTTAAGAAAGCCTTTAATTATTGATTATTTTATATAGATTTTATTATTATATTTAATAACTTTAATAATCATTTTACATTATATTTTTATTATTTTAAGGAATGATTTAAGTACTTTAAGAATTATTTTGCTTTTTTAATTTTTAATGTAATAATTTTAAATATATCTTAAAGTTTTATATATAAGCAGTAATTATAATATATATTTATATATTTTGGGTTTATAATTATAAAAGTTTAATGCAATTCTTTTACCTTTTTATTTAAGGATTTCTTTTAATGCTTAATAAATTTACTTTATAATTTTAGCTAAAGCGTACATTTTATATTTAATTATTATTAATTTTTAAATATATATCCCTTAAGATAAAAA